TAATGATTCATAAAATGTAATGCCCAGTACGAAATGGTACCAGATGGGACCAATCAGCTCCCAGTTCTCCTTCCAAATAGCACAATTAAGGGTATGATTTTGCAAGAATCTGATGATAAGATATACATACAACACAACAGATAATAAAAGCCAGGTAATATTTACAATTTTTAAGACTGACTAATTGGAAAACTCAGGACAGTCACTCTCCAAACACATCCAGTGTTATCGTGAGATTTTGTTTCTTTGTCAGAAGGAAGGGGGTAAAACTGCTGCCACCTAGCAGTTACCACCAATACCACCAACAGTAAATGTTTGCATGTTAACTCATTCGCTGCCAGCCGTTTTCTGATCGTTAAAGCCCTTCGCTGCCAGCGTTTCTCACCGTCTTTACTGATTTTTTAAGAGTCAGAACATCGCGCACTAGGAAGATGTTGACGCCAAAACGAAGAGGACACTCACCTCTTACATCAGGATGAATCCGCGCGTTTCGAGCATTATCGGTTCTTTCATAATCCGTTGTTGAATTGTGATCGGCAGAAGCTTTTCCGGTTCGCGCCTCACTTTTTTTACAGCAGCGGCCCAAAACGATCTCCTAACACATAGATTTTCTGCTTCCTGATCACGTGACGTATGCGGATGAACATCGACTTTAGAGCTGGCATGTTTGTTCTCACAGTGCGGGGGCTCGTTCCGATGCCCACACAGTAAAAAAACGCAAATGACGACTTTAGTAGTCATTGGCAGTGAACGGTTGGATTTAATGAGTTACTTATTCCAAAAAAAAAAAAAACTGTTTTTACTTGTGAAAAATAGCACGAGGGGATCAATAAACAGTGTAAAGTAACCTGCATGCTCCACAGAAACTCAACTCAGCTTACAAATGGTGGTGTTGCTGGACATTTTACTCAGTCTTATGGCTTTTTGTCAGACTCTAAACCAGGAAATGGCTGCAGGCAGTGAAACAGAGTAGAAGGAGTCACCACTCATCTGGGTAAGGTGCTGGATCAAAAGTGGAATGAACAATAATCCGCACACTTCAGTCTGCGATGTGAGAGCTTTATTAGTCGAGCTTTCGGTCAGAGACCTTCATCAGGAGTTGTGGAGGTTCACACAAAACAATTCTTTAGTTAAACAGGTTAGATGACGTCAAACATCTGTGTGGCTGAATACAGCAAAGCATCATGGGAAATAGAGTCTCAGTCAATGAAAACAGTGCACTTAACATTTAAAAAAAGCACATTGAAAACACTTCAACCATTAGGTTTAAATGAGGATTTTGAGATATCTGTGTTTCTTCAAAGAAAGCATATACTGCTGTATTTTTATATATTTCATTGCCTTGCTTTATGATGGCTTTTTTTAGCTTGATGTTTGCAATGTATAAATCTCTCCCCTCTTGAGCTGATTTAGAATGTTTTTTCAATCAATCAATCAATCAATCAATCAAAGATACTTTATTAATCCCAGAGGGAAATTAGAGTTTCAGTACACACAATTCAGAGATCAGACATACATGGGCAAGACACATGACAAGAATTGGTGACTGTGGTCATTCGCAACCCGAGTCGCGCTACCTTAATAGATTTATTGTTTCTTTATTGTTAAATACACTGTTTTCATTGACTGAGACTTCAGCTTACTAAGCACAGCTCGTTGATCTAAATGTCATTAAATAATAATAAGGAACTGAGCTGCAGCACTGAAGCTAGAGACATGTCTGAAAATCATTCAACCAAAGATCATAAATGGCCTGTATTTGTATAGCGACTTCTTAGAGGTTAACAACCCCCCCAAAGCGCTTCAACACACAATCAGTCATTCACCCATTCACAAGCTGGTGGGGATGAGCTATGATGTAGCCACAGCTGCCCTGGGGCGGACTGACAGAAGCGAGGCCTGCCATATACTGGTGGTGCAACCGGTCCCTCCGACCAGCACCAGCAGGCAAGGTGGATTAAGTGCCTTGCCCAAAGACACAACATTCTCTGGTCAGAGCCAGGATCTAACCTGCAATCTTCAATTAGTGGACAACTCTACCTCCCGAGCTACTGCTGTCCCATGCATTAATGTTCTACATGAATGTGTTTTTATCTCGCTGGATCACAGGGGTTTTACCAGACTTGTTAATTATTCTTTCATCTCAAAGTTTGATTTAAAAAGGCTAAGAAAAGGGTTCTAATTATGTGGGGGGGGGGGGGGGGGGGGTTCAGTTAAAAAAACAGCTGCCAACAATCTTTTAACAATGAATAATGTTTTATATTCATGTTTTAGAAATATATCTTGGTTATTTCCACCAGTCACCTTCATGAGGAGAAAATACGTTCCCCTACTTTCCATCTTTTAAAAAACATTCCTTGTGATAAGCCGGGGCACACATCCTCAAGTGACTGCTCCACCCTCTCAGGCTTGTGTACTTTACTATTTTCCTTGTTAACTCATCCGCCCACCTTGCTGTGCTTTCTTCCCGCCACATGACATGAGAATTACTCGTAGCCTGTCACAGGAAAGTCTGGCTTTGAACGCTATGCAGCAGAGTTACAATAAAACCTCTGGTGGCGTCACGGCGTAATTTGACGTGTTTCAGCTTGCGGTAGCTCCTCATGCATCAGAAAGTCTTAATAACATGTTTGTCATGAGAGAAGCTTGGTCTGTAATAAACTGCAATTAACTGGACTCGCCAAGGCTCAGTTCAGCAGCTCTGAGCTGAATGCATGAAATAGCCTGAAACATGCAAAAAAATAAAATAATAATAATAAAGAGCTTTGCAACCAGAAGGGACCAGGTAGAACATTGTGCAGTACTATACACAAATCTTAAAACATACAAATGTCATTATTAGAGCAAGACTTGCATTTTTTACCAGTTAACTGATGTCTAAATTCTTGATAAGGTGTCCAATCTGAGATGCAAATTTGTACTATTACCAATTTCCTTTTTTTATAGTTTATAAGGGTCAACATGCATGATTAAATATCTTTGTTACTTTCGTCCTGTGTTAGTTATCCAATTTTATTTTCTTCTGTTCTTCGTTAAACACAGAGTGACAAAACCAACCAACCAACAAAACTAAGAGTTAGGAAAAGACGAGTACTCCCAAAAGACAAGATGTCATCAGTGCAAAAATATAGAGTCATATATAAAATACCATGCAAACTTTGCAATGAAACATACATAGGAGAAACAGGATGCCAACTCAACACACAAAAAATAGATCATGAAAGGGTGTGAGAAGGAAACAAGTAGAAGACACACAAGAGCACCAAACAAGAGGCAGAAAACACAATAAAAAAATCAGCCATAACAGATCACTGTACAAGAGAAAATCATATATATATATATATCAAGAAATAGAGATAAGGAGGCGTGGACTCTGAACAGGGACGAAGGAGTTTACACCCTGGACCACTCATGGGACACAGTGATCAGCGGAGAAGATGCGGGCAGCAGAGGGCGATATCGTTCTCCGCTGCCCGCAGATAAAAGGAAGTGACGCCATCAACATCCAGCGATTGCTCTGACGAAGTGAACGTCGAAAAATGTCAAAAATATGTAACAAACCCTCATCGCTGTGTTTAACGAAGAACAAAAGAAAATGATTAAATATCACTAGACCTTTCAAACTTGCTCTACAAGACAAAGTTTCTCACTTACTGCATTCACATCACTCAAACTTCCTCATTTTAAGATATCTGGCACACCAAGCGTGCTAATACAGCAGGAATTTGCTCTCACTTTCCAAGTCACCAGTTGGGAAGGAGTAGAGCAACATGAAATGCCACTGGTGACGGTTGGACAAACAAGTTTGTACAACAGGGCCGGGCTCAGTTAATCATTAGCTGGGTTAAATTTTTCTTTTTTGAAGAAGTTTGCCCTGTGCCTAGCTTTGGACAAACAGAGCGCCCACACAGTTGACTAACAATGTGACCTGAAGCCTGCAGGTGAAGATGCTCGGAATGCTGTCACATCACTCAAAAAGTATGCAAATCATCCAGCTTGCTGAACAATGCCTCTTCAAATTCAGTTTCATTGGGAGACAACTCCTTTGTGACAATCAGGGGCGGTTGTTTAAAATATGTGGGAGAGGTTTCATTGTTCAAAACGCATTCCTGGGCTCAGATTGTAGTAAATGCATGAGGAAAAAGGAGGGAAGTGTAGATATCACTGACTATAGGCGTTTGCAGGCATTGTGATGTTGACCGGTGAGATGTGAGGAAACAGGAGGGCAGCATAAAGAAACAGATGAACAAAAGTGGTGAAAACGTTATTGGAGGCTGCTGAAAACGTGCAACACAGATAGTGGGCGTTCAGATTTTAATAGCTGAGGGGGAAATGAACTGAGGTGCCTTTGCCAGATCAGATAAAACATTATTCCTGACAAGCAGTTAAGATATATAGATCAACAACCAGCGGGAGAAATTAAAGGCAATTACAGATTATTTTTTGTGGATTAGAATCAGTAAATTTTAACAATATAACGTGATTGGCCGTGCACGGTAGCTTTGGAGTTAAAGTCATGTGTAAATCGGGCCTCAGCACCGTGGTTTCTCGGTGCAGAAACTCGTCTTCAACAGCAAGTCTTTATCGGCCTGAAACCAGCCAAACAAGCCTGCAGACAAGAAGGGCAGTCCGCCTCGAAACCGCCCTCCAGCCTTCACTTTAACATCGCCTGATATGTTATCATGAGGCCGAAACCGCTGCACAATCTCAGTTTGGATTTCCGAAACAATGTGGCGCCCAGTTTCCGCTCAGAGGGGGAAAAGTGACAGAAAATAAGGAGAAAATCTATAAAAGAGTGAAAGCAACTCCACAAATAACCGGGGACTCTCTCCAGGAGACCGGGCCGAGAGGAGAGCCAGGAGCGGATGTATGTGGGGCTGAGGCGAGGCCCATGCTCGGTGTCTGACCTCCACTGCCATTTTCTTTCAGCCCTGCCGCCTCCTCCTCCTTTAAGCCCGGCTCCTCTCGGCCCAACCGGGCCTGACTCGGGGATGCCTTACCTTCCTCTGTTGTTTCTCCCAGGCAGGGTCCAGCAGCAGGTCCCGGTCCCAGTCATTCTCCTGCTCCATGTAGGCGTTCACCTCGCCAGCGGACTGCTGGTTATTGGAAGCGTGATAATCTACCATGTCAGCAAAAGAAACCTGAGTTCGCCACGGAGAAACTGTCAAGGGTTTAAAAATTAAAAAATTAAAACGGGAGAAACGAAGACGGGTTCTAACCAACGAGGTAGGGTGAGGAGGGATACTCGAGCCGGGAACGTGTCCTTGTTCTTCTTCTGTCGCCGCTTCCAGCCGTGAGAGGCTTTTTCAACGTGATGAATGTCCGGTGTGCGCAGTCAGAAGCTGCTGCTGTGAGAAAAGCTCCAGTGTGAACGGTGTGGCTGTTAGGAGGAGGTACCGGCCGCTCCTACGGGCTGTACAAACTCCGTAAGCAGTGCGTAGCTAGCAGTGTTGCTTCCGGACGAGATTTCAAAATAAAATGTACCTTTCCCATTGCATCTGAAAAGGACAGTGCGGGTCTTGTGGAGTGTGGCATGAATGGCAAGGGGAAAATGTATAGAATAACGTGTGTAAACTGTTTTCTAGGTTGAATAACGCAACAATTACAACAAGATTGCTCATTAATATTTTCAAAACTAATTCCCATTTTTCCAAACTCAGTCCATTCAACAATCCATTCACAACAGTCGAAATATTAACAGATATGTTTTTTTTACATATCTTCATTTCAAAACATTTCAACATCCAACTCCAACCCTAGCTTTCCAGTAGACGCTTAAGTGTGGCATAATGTCTGCGTTTAGCCACCGTTACAATGGGTGGGTGGGTTTTCTTTGGCCACAAAGCATCTTGATTTGGATGAGTCCCAGAAAGTAAGAACGCGTTGCTTTCCTATGCTTCAAGTGTATCTTTTTACGCACTTTTTTAAACACATTTACACATTTTACACATTCAGATTCAGAGCACATCAAGCTCAGTAGTTCAGACCAAGTGTGAAAGAGGCAGTGTAAAAGATGTGGAAATGTCCCTGCACCTGCAGCTGTGTTTTTGCTACTAATGTTGAAATGTTGAAATTGAAAGATTTGTGCAGATTTTGATGTTGCTCAACTAGTAAAGAAAATTACATCTTAACCAACATCTCCAGTTAACAAAACATAAATAAAACAAAGACCTCCTGAATACATATTCATCTTTCTCCTTGCTTGTTATCATTTGAACTGTCATTCTTAAAATTACCCTGTGACTTTGTGACCTTGCAGGACCAACTGCGTGGAGCTGTGGAGCCAGTTGCTTCTGAAACACTCCCAGAGACGCACAACTAAACTTGTGTCTATTATGTTATGCGCCGCTCACGCATCCATCTACCTTACATATCTAATGGAAAGCTGGAGTTGTTTTTCAGATCCAATAATGCTGAGTTTTTTGTATTCTTGAAGTTGTTCTGTGTAATATTTTACAAGATTTCTAAATTTCCTTTTACTTTTTATCTTTTATTTTGAGTTGTTTTTAGTCCTGCTGAGACCTATTTTCAACGCCAAAGAGTTACAGCAGATTGATCAACATCTCAGTTTTTATCAGTTCTTTGCTAGACTTTTAATTTTTAATAATTATCAGCAATAGACCATGCATTAAATAATTAAGTTTTATTTTGAAAGTCTTGCAACTGGTTTACCGCTTTTAACTTCCGCCAACTTGCCAGACTCGTCTTCAGCGGCATGGAGAACAGCTCATGAATATAGATGCTCTGGTCACAACTCAGAGGAAAAACCCATGAAAAAGAGAAGAAAAAGCAAATTCATAATAAAAAAGTTAATTTAAAGAAAGCTTATCCATTGAAGGGAACAATGAAAGTTTTACGAGAACATTCACTTAGAATTCACGGCCTACATCACCGCTCATCTCGTGAGAACGAATATTTTCTAACTGAAGAGGTCGCCATAATCGCGAAATAAAAAATTAGACAAATTTTTAAAAATTAATCTAAATTTCCTGCATTAAAATGCTTTATGAAATACAAATTATGCAGCAGTTACTTTAAATAGTATAATTAGTATATAAAGAGTGTATATAGTAGTTTATTTTTAAAATTACAGGTCAAATGTAAAGTTTGTTATCAGTGATGACCCTTACGTTGCTTTTATTGTACTTTTATTTAAAAAAACGTCACCTGCAGATTAAAATTGTTCAAATAGAATTAAAGGAATGAGTGCAGTTAATAAAGAGTTAAACACCATCCCCCCCATACAGTTTTGTTTTATGTAAAGATTTGAGAAGTTGCAAAACAAAAGATCATTTCTCCACTCCTTGTCATCCCCTTCATATTATTGATGTTAATTATATTAATTTAAAATTGAATTTCAATTGAATAGTTTGGTTGGAGAACAACTCGTGATCAATTCTTTCAAATATTAACAAGCTTTTATTTTCAGCTTACTCCAATGAATTAAAAAAGAAAAACAGACTAATGTGGAATAGAACAGACTTTATTGATCCCACAGTGAGGAAATTCACTTGCTTGTGACAGAAGCACAGACACTTAAGAGAATAATTTGAAGGAAAAATAATAACGAACGTCCACATACACACAGGCAGTAAGCTATTGTAACCTTAGACCACTAAAACCACAGATAAAAATGAAAAAATATGTTCTCAATAGCTAATTTATGCCAACTTTTGTTGAGAACAGCTGATCCAACAGTACCATAAAGCACAGAAGCCTGAAGTGCTGTTTCATCAAAACTGCCAGGAGGAGCCTGGGATCAATGCTGAGGGTGACCGTCCTGCAGCAGCAGGTCATGCTCAGGCTGTCCTGAGAGATTAATGCCACTAAGGCTGCAGCAGCATATAGAGCACAATTCAGCGGCTGTGACCAGTAGCAACAGCCTGCAGTCACAGTTTAAATCATGAGTAGCATGAAAGAAAGGCCTGGTCGTGTTTCATAGAGCAACTTAACAAAGTGGCTCCCATAGTTTGAAGGCCATGATAGGTCAAACGGCTTTATTATTCAGCTTTTTTCTTTTTCTTTGCAGAAGTCACAAACTCTGGACAGCAAGTGCTTTTTTTCAAAGTTCAGAACATAATAAACCAGTTTACTTCTGTTTTTCAGGCTGTAATCAACATTTTCAGACGTCTCAAAGAGAGGAGAAAATTTTTTATCAACTGACATAATTTGTTTGATTAACATCAAGGATTACAAGATGGCCAAGTTGGCTGAAAATCAGTCATGAACAGGGATTTCAAATCTTTGCACAACATGTGGAACCTCGATGGCTTCAGGAAAAACTCTGCAGCAAAGAGAAATTCTCTGACATGTTCACTGATGCATGTCGTTCTTTTCTGCCAGTCATTTAAAGATCTCAACTGGATTTATTGAAAAGTGTTTGTGTGCAAAAATGCTTTTCAAAAAGCTCTGCGTTTGACTACATTTTTTACATGCACAGTTCAAAAATGTTGTAAATGTGGGAAAATGTGAAATATTAATTATTTAGACATATTTGCAAAATGTACTTTTTCCCCCTCCTGACCATAAAAAATAAACGCTTCAAATTTCAGTGCAAATTATTGTTTTCCAGCATTTATTTTTAGTAACCCTTTATTCCTCTTTAAACCTTTCATCACAGAATAGATGATCGTAAGCCTTCTTTTTCCATATAGGGTTCAATTTTCAACCGGAATGTTTTTATCACCGTAAAGACATTTCCATGGTAATGGTTGCATCGTTCAGAAAATAACTTTTTCTTTTATTTGTTATTTTTCTACATTTAGCAAATAAACAAACAATCACAATGTGTCACTCTACAGAGGTCTGCTCAAAATATAAAATGTTTGACATAAAAACTGCAATCCTGGTGACTCCATCAGGGTGGGCTGGGTTGGGTCAGTTGTACATTGTCATGTAGAGCCACTGAAACCAAAATGAGAAAGAGCAGACACGATTAACATTAATGTTTTGAAGTTTCTAAGGTTTTCTATTCATCAGACAAGAAGTTCCCGTTTTTCCTTTCACTGTTATCTTGAAGGGAGGACGTCTCTGTGACATTTCTTTCTGAGTCGTTCTCTGCTTTGTAGGCATCGATATGCGAGGTGTGGAGGAGCAGAAAGTAAATCTGTTGACATTTGCTGATGGGAACCCTTGACATGATCATTTTGAGACTTTACAAGCAAAAGGAAACCTTTGTTCAGGTTAAGCAAAATGAGAAAAACGTTGGCCTTTCAAGCTCTTTTGCTTTTGCAACACGACTCTACCACTGATTTGCAACGTTGATGTTTTATCTCCACAAATAACACAAGCCTAGAGGAGTTATGCTGTGTGGTGAAGTTGCTAATGCTAACAGTTAGCTTCCACTAACCAAGACGTTCTCTGCTGATTCTTGGATAGTAAACCTACAACAGCATTCCCCGTCACGAGCCATGATGGATGAGTCCATGAATGTTAAAGCCTAATTTATACTTCTCCGTCTGCGTCGGGACGGACGCACGCAACGCCATTATCCGTCCTTGCGAGCCTGCTGGAGAGCCCTCGGAGACGAGCTCTCTTTTCTAAACATCCGTCCGTTGAGACGGAGAACGCAAGCTTGTGATTGGTCAGGATGCCGCTGTCGTCTACAGTGCCGCCATTGTGCCTTCAAAAGCAAAGAGAGCCAAGGATATCTAGTGGCAGACACAGAGCAGCTTGGGGAATATCATGCAGAAAAACTCTAAAATAGGAACGTTCTATTCCCCCGTGACTGGAGGAGTGAAAAGATTCACAGCAAGCATTTTTTTCATGGACGAAAATGATGAAAAACGTGGGATTAGAGGTGGTGAGCGCATGAAGAGGTGGAGGAGGATGAGAGACAAATTTGTCCATGTTAAAAAGTCTCTTCAATGCAAAAAAAAAAAAAAAACACACTATCTTTGAGCGAATACATGACAGGATACCACAGAACAGCACTATGCCCTCTGTTGTCCTGGTGGGGAATTGCTTTGCAACACTCTTTAGGAGACGGAGAAGTATGAGGGTGTGTCTCTCCCTCCAGGAGCTGACAGAGAAGTATAAACTAAGCTCAAGTGTCGGTGTGATGTAGATCTGTCAGTCTTTTCAAATCCTAGAGTTTCACCGTCTATTTTCTATCAGAAGCTAATGGAGGAGGTAGGTGTGGGAGACTATATTCATGTTCAGCCGGCATTGAAAATTCAGGAGGACAGATTATAATCAGAAATAATAATAAAAATATTGTTTTTTCAATGTTCCACACTTTTAAAATTTCATTTTTATTTGGTCGATGTTCATACCTGTCTGTAGTTGATGGTTATTGCTCCTTGTCCCACCATGTCGTATGCCTGAAATTTATCTGTAAAAGAAAAAAATTATATATAATGCTGTGATAATGCTGATTCGGACCTAAAAGTTTTTTTTTCTTTTTGTCCCCCGTGTCCTGTCTGGCTGTGAAGCAAACAGAATTGATGTCTGACTGCTGGTGACCAGCCTTACAGATTTACTCTCAGGTGGAGCATCAAAGCGTCTGCTTTTAATGTCACGCCTGATACTTTAAACTTTATTGTTAGTTTTTGAATGCTTTGTAATTCCGACCAGACACGGAGTCAGAGGTGAAAGAGAAAGGAAAAGACAAAAGGTGGGGGGGGGGGGGGGGTCCACAAAAATAAACAATAATGAACAAAAGTTTGCTTCTAGACCTGCAGAAAGAGAATGAATAGAAAAAAATGGGACACAACAATACATCAAGAGCAAGCTATCACTGCGTCAACCTGATGATGAAGTATAAAATCAACATTGTTTAACTGAACAATCACACGATAATAAATCATAGTGCATTTAGTGGCAACGACAGCCTTAAGACCTGTGTTGAACGTGCCCAAGCCCATACTTTTGAGAGCACCATGTGAGCACCTGTGTGTGTGTTCACACACTTGTTTATGTAAGGTTTCTCTATAAAAGCGTCCAATAGAGAGTGTGAGGGACCACAGATCTGCCCCCCAAAGATGTGTAGGAGACAGAGGGAACTCCAAGTCCCAGAGATCCAGGTGCTGCCCCAGAACACAGGAACCCCAAGGAGACTGCAACCAGAAAGGCCCCCGCCCCCCTCGAGAGGCACAGAGGATCGCCCCGGGGAGCCACAACCAGCAGCCGGCAGAGTCCCGGGAGATATCAGCGGCAAGCCCACAGGCCCGCCCGCAGCCTCCCACCCCCTAGCCGGCCGAGCCCGGGACCGAGCAACCCGGGACCCAGGGGTGACCACCCCCGCCGGGGACCCAGCAGAGCCCAGGGACCCAGACCCCACCAGACAGCCACCGGGATTGATCGGGCAGATGCCAAAAACCTTAAACCCCCAGACCCGGGAGCCATGAACACTCAGGCAGACCAAGGCACAACCTCACACACCAGGTGTGGCAGGGGGAGGGGAGACGAAGATCTACATCATCAAAAGAAGTCCCAGGAGAAGAGAGGAGTCAAAGGCCCCACCTGACATATACAGTCATACACAAACACAGTCACACACGCCCTCCCTCATGCTCACACATGCACATACAACCAAAGGCTTATAAAAATGCACGCCGGACACCCACTCATGCTCTCCATTCACACCCTGTTCACTCTGGTCCCGGTACTGCTGCACATGGGGTACAACCATTATTGTTACCAGAGTTTGACCCTTTCGAACCTAAAAGTTTAAGAAATCACAAAGGAGTTGACAAGTTTCCAGGATTTTACAAAATTGTCAGTTCAGGGATGGACAATGACCCATTTGGCCATCCCAAACAATTAAAATAACCTTTAGGGTAATGTCAACAGATGGACATTTAACTGAATTTATGCACCAACATAGTGATGGTTGCAACATTGCCTTGAATTAATTGTTTTTCTTGTTCATGCCAAACAAAGAGGAAAATTGATTAGAATCACTAAAAGACTGACCGGATCATTTGATTGATTTGACCAGGAACCTGGGGTCTCATTTATCAAACGTTGCGTAGAATCCTTACTAAAACTGCACTTAAGCTCAGCAAAAAAATGTACTTACGCCAAGTAGGTTTGTGATCTATCAAACCTGGAGTACGAACAGCTGCACACAATCTCCGCTTCATAAATCAGAGACTAACGAGAATGTTTCTCAGCTGCTTTTAGTCACATCCTGCCCTCACCACGCCCACTTACTGCCATAAATAGTCGATGCAAAATGCCTTGTGGATCTCATGCATATACATAAGCCTGCTCGTTGCAGCATTTCGATCGCCACCGCAGATAAGGAAGCGCAATTTCACAAGCAGAAATTGAGGTACTTGTGGGTGAGGTGGAGAAATATAACAAATAACAGAAAATCCACGGAGTGGCACAGCGTTGCTGAAGCCGTCAATGCTGAGTTCTTCAGAGATCTGTGGCGGATGAAAGAAAATTGTCCGATCAGGATTCGATCCCCAGACTCCTGGGCAAAAGTCACACACGCTAACCAGTCAGCCAAAGGTACATCTCCCTTGAACAAGTAGCCATAGCGCATCATCAATGGGGTGACAGTGACGGGACGCTTACACGGTCACAGACGCACGACATTCTGTCTCAATCTGCCCCCCTGTTGATATTCAGCATTCCGTATTCTGAGCTTCAGGCTGTGTGTGCGTGTGTGTGTGTGTGTGTGTGTGCGCGCGTGGGGGGTGGCATGTTCTGTGTGTGCACGAAGCAGTACAAGTGATAATGCTGCTGGAATTCATAATTTTATCCTTCTCAGCAGCAGCACTGCAGGTGCTCCCCATGTCCAAAATGTGTGTAAGCCAGGTCCTTAGTCAACTTAAAGTTGCACACATTTTTCCTCTAAGTTTTCTTTCATAAATCCCAAAGTTTGCGTGGAAAGTTGCTTACGCAGTTTTCCGACCCCATTTTGTGTGTAAGCAAGCTTGATAATTGAGGCCCCTGGTCTGTTTGTTACATCAGTGGTTGGTTCCCTAAGAGGAGCTCGGGGCCACAAAATTTTAAGTTTAGGGTCTTGGGATGATTCCAAGAAGTAAATAAAACATAAAATTATTTTTAATAGAGTATTTATACTCAAGCTTATGTAAAAGCTTACGGATCATTCTCTCCAGCTTCATGACCAGGTACAAGAAGCCGGGGTAGCTGATGGTCATGTCGGGTTCTGTGTATCTCAGTCCGACCAGCTGCATCACCAGATCATCCACCATGATGCCTGCAGGACAGGAGACAATTAACGCAACTGAGTCACACCTGTTTGTGACATTCAGTCCTATTCATTCCCAAGCTAAAGAAAACGGAAGAGAGAGCACAATGAAGTTCCTCTGTTTTACAATAACAGAAGTACAGAAAGTGGAAGTTAAATAACTTTAAAGGGGATTTTGGACAGAAAATTATGCCCTTTTGAGAGTTTATGTAAAACACAAACAGGAGAAGCGTTAGGTTCATTGTATTCTGAGTTTCAGCTGATTAAAACTGAACAATGTCTACAAAAACACCCTGACATTGTTGACAGTTACACAAATAAAACCAGTAAACAATGAAATTAAAACATAAAGCCTGTTTAAACATAATCTCCACATCTAGAAAAATGAAAAAAGTTTTTGCATTTATATTCATTTGACTGAGTTAATATAGTTGTGTGCAAAGAGAAGGTTTAATCATTGTAAAAGTGAATAAATAGGCCAATAAAAAATAAAAACCAAACAAAATAAGCATTTTTTATATTTAAACAGTAATACCAATATAAGTAGCCTATAACTGAATTTAACAAATGAGTCTATCTGAGTATTGTTGGTGACCATGTCAATATGGATCAATATCTCTGATGAATGTTTCTAGTACCTTGATGAATCTATGCCACAAATGATTAAGGCAGTTGGCAAAATGGGGTCCAACCCAGTACTAGCAAGGTGTGACCAGTGAGAGTATGTCACAATATTCATTTGATTACATTTTTTTGTAAAGGGAGAGAAGTGAAGTGTTGCGTTTTAGCGCACTCTGCTGGTCACATCACGGTGCAACGAAAGCATCACTAAACTAGCCTCTTTACGTTTTAATATCAGATTTTCTGTATTTCATTTACATTTTGCATGCCTTACCTGCAGCCTTCAGAGCGGGACAGACCTCTTCATACTCAAGACGCTTAGTTTTATTTTTGTCAAATACCAGAAAGATGTCCTGAAGGGAGACAAAGCACCACAAAGATGGACTTAATGTATGTTTTCTTCCAAGTCAAATACTGTTCAAATTCTAAATAGTTTGTAAATTCCAATACTATTCATACTTATATAATCATAATTTTATTTTACATATATACATATTATTATTATTATTATTATTATTATTATTTATTTCTTCTTTTTTTTACAATGTACCGTCCACTTCCTGATTTTGTCCCACAGAGTCTGGAACTCTGACCAGTTCAGCCGAGCAATGCCTTGGCTCTGAAAAAATTCCCCAGGTCAAGAAAACGTAACCAAAAGAGACCCACACAGTTTATAATGAACGAATGTCAGCATCCCATTCTGCTTCAGCAAAACGCCAGAAACAAGACAGAAGTGGATGTTTGATCCAAAATGATCTCAGTTTGGAGAATCAGGTAGAATCAAGTCTAAAACCTCTCAAGAGTGAACTCTTGTCATGTTTAAGTGGAGAAAAGGAAAATTAAGTAAACTGTTATGCTGCATCAATCGTTGCAGGTAGATACTGATCCTCTACAGCAATCTACTTCAAAAAATTATAAAACATTCCTTAAAAAATGCGACAGGATTTGACTAAAGTTTCAATATTAGACCCTTCTTTATCTTTCATGAAGGATTTGAATATGTTGACAATCTGCCAGAGCAGAGAGATGTTGAAATCGTCACATTTGTCCAGTGGTACAAAAAAGAACAGACAGCAGTTTCTACCCAGACCGTTTTAGACGTGACACATTCTGAGCCTGATCTCTTTTAGGTTGGATTCACAAAAATAAAGCAAATGCTGTCAAAATGTTATTTTCACCTTTAGTCTGTTAATCTGTCTGAGTGAGTTATTAAAGTTAATTGCTAGCTGTAGCAAAATGTTTGCGTGACTAGCAAGTGTTAGCTAACTATGCTGAGAATCGTTCAAAGGTAATGAGTGCTCACAGATTGTGTGATAGTGTGCATAACAAAATGGTTTAATCCACTGAAAGGTGCTATTTGAATAAATTATTAAATAAAGTTTTATTGTGATTTAACCAAAACAACTTCACTTTCACAACATAAGATGATCTAAGTTTAAAGAGTGGAAGATCATGGGCGATACGCATTCCTTCAAGAAATTCTAGAGTTTTATATTTTGAAAGGATACATCCATCAAGACCACCAGACTCTTGCAGTGCTCCAGTGCCAAGAATTTCTCACTTCCAGCCAACACTGAACACAAAAAGTCATCAGAGGTCACTTTAACACTAATTGTGTCCATAAGTTTTGAATACACAATAAATCTGTGCTGAAAAACAGTCCCAAATAGTTCCTTTTTATAATGACCTGTTTCAATTTGAACATCTTGTTCGCAAAACGGAGCAGTTAAAGATCAGCTGAGAGAATCTGTTGTTTTCTGTGTAAACTTTGACTTATGAGAGGATTAAACTGAGCATAAAAACAGATTACCAACCTCCCTGCTGTAAAGCCTCAGTCAGAAGTCTGTAGAGGTGAAGCGGTTTGCAAAATCCCTTCTGATGACAAAGCAAGAAAAATTCACTGCACAGATAAACCACTCTCCACACACCCATGAAGCACAAAACCAGCTATTGCACATAACTTATTGGTTTTAGTAGCCTGCTTGGATCTGGATTTTTGTGCACTGTTAACTCTTACCTTGTCGCAATACTTCTGAAACAGAGTTCTGATGGATTTAGGAGAAGGCAGCGCTGCTTCATGAGGATATGAAGGCTACAGGGGAAAAACAAAGATGCCCGATTTAAAAATAAAAGGCTGCATTTCACTCAGACAGTGGCTTTTTAATTAATCTGTATATTTTAACATCTGAGTTCTATAGACTTCTCTAAAATGAATCACCCAATGCTAAACCATCATTATTTTCTTAACCATGAGGAAAGCAAAGAACAAGATTTAGTTAGGATAAAGCTGTAAAAATCCTTTTGCAAAATTCAGAATTAACTAAATAACCATTTTCATATAAAGGAATGAAAAGGAAAAAGTCAGAAGAATCTCCAGAGCCGGCGTGGTTCAGCTGATAGAGCATCAGACTTTAATCTGAGGGTCCACGGTTCAAGAAAAGCTGTAAACCTATGCATTAAATATGATTCATTCTAATTTAAAAGCATAAAAATACATCAGATTAGTGGAACTGCAAAGACCGCAGGTTCAAATAAGAAAAAGGTGTACTGTCCCTTTAAACATTCTTCATTTCCAGCTTTAAAGTCTGTTTAAAATGTTTTCAAGCTGCTTTTTTTGTCAAGCTTTAAGTAAAAATAAGATTTAATGTTGAATAAGTACAGAAGTGTGATAACTTCGATTAAATAAAGGCCATCGCTAGAGTCTGACCTGCTTTTAGACCAGATTAAACGGTGTGAATCTTCTTTCAGACATAATAATTCATCCTACTTGTTATTTTATAAACTTTTTGTACCTCTGTGTCTGAAGGGACATCTTGCGGAGCAGGTCTGTGAGCTGGACTGGAAAAGGGGAGGTAGTAGGAATAAACATACTTCTAACAACAATTTATAAAAGTTGTGACAACAATAACAAATGCTGGGGGTTATTTGTTTAGCTTTTCAGTTCAGGAATAATTAAAATAAAACATCTAAATCACCAGTTTGACTCATGACTCACGTGGCTTTGTTGCCAGGCTCCATCAGTACCCGCAGGAGGAAGTCTCCCGGCTGATTGGGCTCCGCCGTAGACGGGATTATGATGTAGTGGCCCGGAGGAAGCGAGCCACGCAGAACCACCTCCCGACGTGAGGAATACTGGATGCCGAGAACCGGCTGGAGCTTAAGCAGGTCGTCAGGTGACAAGTGTTTGTTCTGAGACTGAGCCTACAGACACAAAACCCTCTACTGAGCTCAATTCTTTCAAAGCACTAAAACTGTCTTCTGAGAGTTTTTATAAGAGCTTTTGAATTTGATTTTTTTTATTTGTTTGTATAAAATCTTCTAAATTGACTCAGCAAAAAAAAAATACTTTTCTTTCGGGACATTAAAGGACACATAAGTAACAGCATGTGTGTGTACCGGGTATATGTGCAGGCCAATGGTGAGGTGAATGCCTTGGCGTCTCTGGTATTTCTGCATCAGAGCTAAAATGAAGGAGCAGGTCTTCTGAGTGCTGCCAGGGGTTTCATCCATCTCTGACAGGACAAAACAGTACTGCGGATTCTGCCAGTACCAACCTAGACAACAAAATCACACAAGTTTTTAGAAACATAAAAGCTAAGAGCTCATGGTCGCTAACAGCTGTTCTGTCATCCCAGTTCCTTTGAGAAATACTTAGACCTACATTTTTATGTTTTGGATAAATTACATTTTTGCACTAAGAGAAGCTAGCAGAACATAAGGCAACTTTTGCTTCTTTGCACATTTTTCAGAACAAACCGACTCCAGAACTCCTTTATCACATGCCATCAAACTCCTGGCTAGGGTGGAGGAGGAACAAGACCAATAGGTGCCGGAGTAACAAAAACAGTAAGCGACATAATATTACATTTTAAGTGCAATAGACCAGAAGAATGTAAAATATGCAATAACCTTTGCTAAAAAATCAAGAATTGTTTGTATCTATCTATCTATCTATCTATCTATCTATCTATCTATCTATCTATCTATCTATCTATCTATCTATCTATCTATCTATCTATCTATCTATCTATCTATCTATCTAGATATAGATATGCTCAACATGAATGAGTACAACCCCTTTAAAAAGTTTGAGTTTCATCAGTGGCTCAATGAACAAAAGAACAATTTCCAGAATTTTCACAAGGCTGGGATTTATTGAATATTTGTTTAACTCCATAACATGAAATTAATATTAATACAGTTTTTCTCAGTCGCTTTGGTGCATTTCTCAGAACACTATTAACATTTGCACAGCAGTTAGTGCGTTTCTCAAAACAATTAGTGCAAACTGCAAAACCTAGTGGATAGCCTGCAAAAGCACGTCACATGCTCAAAATTGATAATCCATTCCTCAAAAGCAAGTATTCATGTCAATGAAACTGTCAGTGCCATCAAAATGAAAAGTCTTGACACCATCTCTATGAACAAGATAGTCAAATGGCTTTGTCATGTTTTCACTATGACAGTTTATAATTTCAGTGTTTTCCATTGCAAGAATATTTGGTGACACCTGAAAATGCTCAAGACAGCACTATGCCCTACTTGTACAGCCACTTGAAATGTGCAGTAAAGTTACTGTAGATGTTATGGGAGTTTTGGGAGTAACTGAGACACTGAATACGTACGTTTTACATTTTTACTGTATAGAAGTGTTTGTAATTCTACAGCATTGTGCAAAAGAAAAATATGCTACAGTCACTTGTTTACTGTAGAATACATGTAAACAAAAAATCACCCTTTTGGTAGAGCTGTGCACAAATGTGAACAATATACAGTACATGTAACAGTACATACAGTATTGCACAGTACTGTAACATACAGGTACAGTAAACCATTCTGGCACATCCAGACGTTTCTGTCTGTCTGGCCACATATTTTCATCCACATCACAATGGATGACATCCCTCACAATGCAGCGAGGAAAGTATCTCCTGGAGTGGAGAAGTATACAGAAGTATAGAAATGGTACACACTAGCTCCTGCTCAGTTCATATATGCTTGCCAATTGAGGACTCACCTCCTCATGAGTGACAGATGAAATTAACCTGTGATCAATTGTTCAATTTAGGAGACATTTCCAGAATAAAATGATAAAGAAAGGTATAGAATTTGCTTGAAAGATGACTGATATTTGACATTTGATAACTAGTTCAACAATTTTGTGTGTAATGACTCAAGCAATGAAAGTAAGACTATTAGTTTTATTGAGAGTGACTATTCAGCATCCATAAGTATAATTCATTTTGACTGACATGACATAAGCAAATGGAAATGTCAAAAAACAGCAGAGAAATGTATGAAAGCAACTGATACATGTCCAAAATCATTTGCAGTTTGTTCAGAGAAAGGAGAAATTGCTACTATGATGTGCTCAAATGACTAAATGGTGTGGAGGTTGAACTAATAGTTATGAGAATTTTAATTCTGATCTGAGAAATGTACCAAAGTGACTGAGAAAATCTGTAATCTAACTTAGATCACAAACTTTTCAGTTTTACTAAAATTGCTTGAAGCAAAAATGAATACACTCTGCAACAAAAACTACTACATCTAGTATTTTGTATGAACACCATGATTTCCAAGGACAGCACCAAGTCTTCTAGGCATGGAATGAACAAGTTGGTGACATATTGCAACCTCGATCTTTTTCCATCCTTCAAGAATAACCTCTTTTAGAGCCTGGATGCTGGCTGGAGAGTGATGCTCAACTTGCCGCTTCAGAATTCCACCCGGGGGTGAATGTTACTGTGGCCGTGCGCAAGACGCAGATGCCGGTGGAGCGCATGAGCGCTCTGCCTCTGTTCATCTTCTCCGCTCAAAAGAATCCTCGATGCGGAGAGTCCATAATATGGGTAGAAACTTGATCTTTTTCAGGCACAGGAAATGATGGTTTAGCAGTATTGTCCAGGGGGAAATATGGAGAAATTTTGGAGAATGGTGGCTCCGGGTTGGAGAGATTGTCAAATTAATTGCGTCATTTACTTTTAATAAGTTAAAATAACAAAATTAACGCTAATAATTACCACGCAAATTTTCCCGGCCCTAATTTATACACATATATATATATGTATGTATGTATATGTATGTATATATTAGGGTTGGCACTCTATTTTAATTAATGAGAGGCTTTATAATTAATTAATCTTGATTAATCACAGTTTAATCATTCAAGCCAAGATTTTTTTAATCAAAAAAAACGTTATAAGGCACAGATGGCATACTCACACGTTAATGAGTATACTTCTGAAACCACAAGGTTTATTTGGTTACCTTGGTGTTTTTATAAAGGTAACTATTGTGGGATTTGTTGGGATGTGTAAATATTAGTATATGTATTACTGATAAAGTATGGTAGACTGTAAATGGACATGGAACATTGTAAATGTTGTGTACTGAACTGAGTTTAATCTGTGATATTTTTGTCAACAGGAGTTATTTTTCTGCCAGGTCGGACCAGACCACACCTTCACTAAAAGACAAGCAGACTGAGGCTGAGCAAATAAGCTTGTCTAAACTTTATGCCACTCTGGTCAATACACTGAATTAGAGATAAAGTTTTGTTTTTATTGGAGTGACAGTTTCAGAGTTGACCAACCCTCCACTCCAAAGTGAATCTTACTGCTGCGAGGTGAACCTCCAGATGTGAAGCTTGGCACCCAGCTCCCATGATGCATCACACAGCTCCACGGCTGCTCGCTGGATCCCGGCTCATTCAGACCTTCTGTCAGGTGGCACACCTCCATTACGTCAAAGTTCAGCTGGAAGTCTAACACTGACATCCTGACGGAGGCAGAATCATGAGAAACTGAATTGTCTGTTTTTAGTTTGAGACTTCTAAATTAAAGTCTGAGTGTGTTTACACAAAGGTGTGTTTGTGTTTTGGTGCAAAGGTGCAAAGTCACACTTCATTCTTCTCTTTTATGTAAAACAGAGGTTGTGTTTACAAAGGGCGGAGTTGAACTCACCAGAACTCCCCATCCTCCTGCTGGACTCTACCAAGTCGTCTCTGCTCCTCTTTGCTCACCGTGCTCCACTCTGAGCTAAGGAAAAGAAAAAAATAACACACACACACAAAAACTAAACATTTCCACTATTTCTGTAAACGCACACATCCAGTATATATATATATAGATAGATAGATAGATAGATAGATAGATAGATAGATAGATAGATAGATAGATAGATAGATAGATAGATAGATAGACAGATAGACAGACAGACAGACAGACAGACAGACAGACAGACAGATAGATAGATAGATAGATAGATAGATAGATAGATAGATAGATAGATAGATAGATAGATAGATAGATAGATAGATAGATAGATAGATAGATAGATAGATAGATACTCACCTAAAGGATTATTAGGAACACCTGTTCAACTTCTCCTTAATGCAATTTTCTAATTAACCAATCACATGGCAGTCGATTCAATGCATTTAGTGGTGTGGTCCTGGTCAAGACAACCTCCTGAATTCCAAACTGAATGTCAGAATGGGAAAAAAAGGTGATTTAAGCTGTTTTGAGTGTGGCACGGTTGTTGGTGCCAGACAGGCTGGTCTGAGCATTTCACAATCTGCTCAGTTACTGGGATTTTCACGAACAACCATTTCTAGGGTTTACAAAGAATGGTGTGAAAAAGGAAAAACATCCAGTATGCGGCAGTCCTGTGGGTGAAAATGCCTTGTTGATGCTAGAGGTCAGACGAGAATGGGCCGACTGATTCAAGCTGATAGAAGAGCAACTTTGACTGAAATAACCACTCGTTACAACCGAGGAACGCAGCAAAGCATTTGTAAAGCCACACCACGCACAACATTGAGGCGGATGGGCTACAAACAGAAGAAGACCCCACCGGGTACCACTCATCTCCACTACTAATAGGAAAAAGAGGCTACAATTTGCACAAGCTCACCAAAAATTGGACAGTTGAAGACTGGAAAAATGTTGCCTGGTTTGATGAGTCTTGATTTCTGTTGAGACATTCAAATAGAGTCAGAATTTGGCGTAAACCGAATGAGAACATGGATCCATCATGCCTTGTTACCACTGTGCAAGCTGGTGGTGGCAGTGTAATGGTGTGGGGGATGTTTTGTTAGCACACTTTAGGCCCCTTAGTGCAGATTGGGTATCGTTTAAATGCCACGGGCTACCTGAGCATTGTTTCTGGCCATGTCCATCCCTTCATGACCACCATGTACCCATCCTCTGATGGCTACTTCCAGCAGGATAATGCACCATGTCATCAAGCTCCAATTATTTCAAATTGGTTTCTTGAACATGACAATGTGCAAGATTCACTGTACTACACTACACTACTACACTGACACTGTACTACAATGGCCCCCACAGTTACCAGATCTTAACCCGATAGAGCATCTTTGGGATGTGGTGGAGTGGGAGCCTCACGCCCTGGATGAGCATCCCACAAATCTCCATCAACTGCAAGATGCTATCCTATCAATATGGGCCAGCATTTCTAAAGAATGCTTCACCACCTTGTTGAATCAATGTCACGTAGAATTAAGGATGTTCTGAAGGTGAAAGAGGGTCAAACACCGTACTAGTATGGTGTTCCTAATAATCCATTGGGTGAATGTGTGTGTGTGTATATATATATATATATATATATATATATATATATATATAATGGCTTGCAAGCTATTTCTAATATGCACTAACCCATTGAAGTCACTCCAGGGTCCGTTCCATTCTGTGCCGCCCCAGGGATTGAGAATTCGCACCAAATCTACAACCCCGTGTGTCGTCTTCACCTGACAGAGGAAGAAAAATGGAGATTAAACACCAAGATTCAAGAATAGAATTTTTTGAGCACATTAAAAATATTTTCACGTTTATAAAAATATTTCTTATTAAACATTAATTCTCTTAGCAGGACCTTTGAGCTAGATGCATGGTGAATACCTTCTCAACTGCTGTCAAAGAGTAAGCATGTCTGAACATGATGCCCAGATCATTCTTCTGTTCCAGTGAGCCCTAAAAAGAAGAAAACACCCATCCACGTAAACAGGACAACAACATCATTTGACATAAGAGAGAGATCAAATAACTAATGATCATCGCAAATCCCTCCTGCCTACCCTGTTGCTGGCACAGTTAATGAGTGCTCCTTTAAACAGCAGGTATGAAAGGAAATCAGGCAGATTTCTGGACATTGAGCTGACGCTGAAAACCTCAGCCACGCCGCCTGTCATGTCCACCATGGCTTCATGAGGGAAGCCCATATCCAGAGCTCTGTACCCTCCTTTCAGCCTGGAGACAACACATAAAAACCAACAATGTAAACAACAAAACTGAGGAATAAATTTAGGATTTTTGCCAAGTTGTCCCCACCATGTCATTAAAGTAACCACTCTGCACACAGTACCGACTATTTGTTGCAAGTTATTGCAGGGACCAACTCCATATGACCCAGCTTCATTTCACAGCCAACACTAACTAATTTTCTACAAATAGGTTGTTACTGTACTTAAGTAGGGTATTTATACTTCATTTGGGGTAATTTTCTATTAGTTGACTTTTTACTTCTACTCCTTACATCCAAATAGTGTGAATTTGATTATGGCTTGATAATAATTTTAAACATCAACCGTTCTGAAGCCCTATTGGTTTGTACTCAATCACTGCATAAAACAAACCATGTCACAGTCCAGCCAGGACATTCATGCGTTCATTTTGACAGAACTAATAAAGGCTGTACAAAGACCACCATACAAGGGTGGTAGTTACTAAGCCTGTAACATTTACATTCCGACAATGAATACTGATTTCATGTCTTTGAAGATTAACGTTTTTACACCATCGCAATACTGATAGGTATGTGATTACTTTTGACACCTCTGAGGATAAACTGCCACATGCGGTGAACATGAAGTATGCAGCTGCCAAGGTGTGTATCACGTGGGTGGAGGTGAATAAACAAAGTCCTGCGGCAGTTTCTGTTTTTTGTCTCGTCTTGCCTTGAATGCTTGTTAAAAACACATAAAACCTTATTGCAACTCACTTATAGGCTCATTACAATATATTACATTTGTTTGTCACAAATAACGATACACAAGAATCTTATTCATGGATTTTTCTTCTGCATTTAATACAGTAGACACCAGCATTTTGCTGGAACAGCTTTCAGATCTCCATCTCCACATGAAGCTGCTTTTATGGATCTACAACTTTTTGAAAGACAGGCCACAACAAGTGTTTTTAAGAGGATTTAAATCCACGAAAAGTGTCATTAGCATTGGACTGGCACAAGGCTGTGTTTTGTCTCCAGTGCTTTTCTCAGTCTACACAAACAACATCCGGTGCCATAGTGAGAGAATGGCCCTGTATAAGTATGCAGACGACATGGCACTGGTGGCATCAGTGAAGACATCGGAGGACCTGTCTAAATATCAGCAGGCGGTCAGCAATCTGGTTCAGACATTTGGAGACTTTCACCTGGGGCTGAATATCTCAAAAACTAAAGAAATGTGCTGTGGGGCAGTCAGTGAGGCAGACACATCCCTGTTCAATCCCCTCAGCATACAGGGTCAGCCTGTGGAGCAGGTTCAGTCATTTAGGTACCTGGGAACAGAAATGGATGACCACCTGTCCTTTGCAAATCACAGCAACGGTGTCTACAAGAAAGCGCTGCAAAGACTCCACCTGCTAAGGAAGCTAAGAGCACTCAGTGTGAACAAGGACATCCTAACATTGTATATAAATCACTGATTGAATCCATTCTAACTTTCAATATTACAGCTTGGTATAACTTTCTTACAGTTAAAAACAAAACACAACTCTCTTGCATTGTTAAATTAGGCAGCAAAATTACAGGTTCACCTCAGATCCCACTTTCTGTTTTTCACGAGTGAGCAGCGCACAGGAAGGCTACCCTGATCAGTGCAGACTCAACCCATCCATTGAACCCACATTTTCAGTTACTTCCGTCAGGAAGGAGGTACAGGGTTCCATTGGCCATGAAAGGTGTCTATAAGAAATCATTTGTTCCCACCGCAGTTACAATTTTGAATTCTTAAAGTTTTTTTTTTACGACAATAACATTCTAATACCTTTTAATTGTCTTTTTATATATTTGTGTGAATGCGATATGGATTGTATTGTAAGGTGAGCCATGTCAAAGGTGAATTTCTGCCTCAATTTGAGGTGGACAATAAAGTTTATCTGTCTATCCATCTATCTATCTATCCATCTATCCATCTATCTATCTATCTATCTATCTATCTATCTATCTGTCTGTCTGTCTGTCTGTCTGTCTGTCTGTCTGTCTATCTATCTATCTATCTATCTATCTACTCCTCTCTGTCCTGTGCTGAATTGCTCTTTGAATGGGTTGGAAAAGAAAGATCCCGTTCATTTAAAAACGATCAAACTCACTTTATCTTTAACATGACTCTATAGGTTCTTACTTGGCATAAGCCTTCTCCAGCAGCGAGCTCCAGAACTCCTGTCGTTCAGGGGAACTGAGATAAATCAGTTGATTTTCCTGAGTTGGCAGAAAATCATCAATCCTGACTTCCTCCCATTGCCCGTACTGCCAGAACTGCACAGAGAGGTGTTCGTGTCTCAAAAAGACTTTGAAAAAATCAAAAGGTTTCAGAGTGTACCATCAAACCAAATGTTGCACCTTCAAATAAAAATAATACATGAAGAAATGAAGATGTTTTAGTAGATTCATACTCTGAATATGAAGCTGCCATTGTAGTCATCCTGGAAGCTCTGATTGAGCGGAACAACCTTCTTGAGTAGTGATGGATGCACCGACAGAGACGCTATAGCAGAGAGTACCCAGCAGTCGCCTGCAGTGAACAGGTCAGGTCATCAGTGTCAAATGGGATATTAGAATATTAAACTAACTCAACTAAAGTAATGCAAACACCTGGTGTTTCTTTTTTATAGTGCAAATATTATTAGTTTGATATTTTCTTTATTATATACTCAAAGTATGATAATTAGTCATTGATGTTCATAATAAAGCCTGTAACCCAGTGTTCACTACTTCCAATTAATTATGTTTGATATCTTCTTTTGTTTTACCAATGTCTGATATATCAATATAGCCTGACTCTTAATTTTAGATAGAATAAAAAAAGAAAAATCAAATCATTTTAGTTAACCGCCATGACAAATCTCCAATCATTGATGATTAAAGTTTAAACCTCTGTGCAAAATATGACAACTACTCCAAATTAAGTTAGGCTAGTTGTGCCAAACAAACAAAAATATGTCAAAAACGGTCCCTAGATTTGTCATGCTTTGACATGTTGAATGAGATGAGGAGTAGCTGAAGAGTTTGATGTATTATATGTGTATGGTATGTAAAGGTTGTGATATTAAAAGAATAAAAACCGATACCAATAATTTCAGATTTTATTTTAAATGCCAATATTGGTGGACATCCCTAGTTTAATTGCTTTGATTTTTATAATAGGGTTAAAACAGAATTGGGTACCATCAATAAATGTATATAATACTGGCAGCATGAGAGGTTTGGGAAGCAGAGCTGAAGCACAGCAGAGAGGGAGGAGGAGTCTAAAAGTTGTATTTGTCCACATTTTCAAAAATAAAACGAACGTCTTCTCAGGTATCAACATTCTTTTCGATCAGTTTGAGTGTTTTCTGTCTGCGTCACATAAAGACTGAATGTAAAAACTCACGTACTGAGTTTTCCCTGGCAGATGTCGAGTCGTGACGCTCCATCTATGATGAACTGAGGTGAAGGGCAGAGATCCTGGACGTGGAGTTTGATGATTAGTTGAGAAGAGGATGGAAAGAGTCCAACAAAGAACAAAACTAAAGTTTATACAAACAGCTTTGTCTCAAGCTTCGGTCAGAAGAATCAATCTATGGATAAATATTAATCGAAACAACATATTTCATAAACTCTAAATGCAAGTCAATGTAAAAATTCTACAAATCCCTAAACATGATAACTTCTTATCAATCAGTTTTTTTCCAAATATTGTAAGGATGGTGGTGATGAGACTTATGAATAAATTAGGGGTAGGAATTTAACAAGTTAATTACGATTAATTAATTAGAAAAAAATAACAACATTAAACGTTTACCCCTTTGAGCTCGAGCGTCCCCCAATTGCGGGCTGGAAAAATTTAGCATAGCAATTTGTGCCCTAAATATCAATAAATATCATCAAGCTGCACCTCTAACAAGACTGCAGAGCCTGAGCAACAAGACTTTTTTACATGCAGCAAAAACAACTAAAACTAAATTAATCATGACAACTCGCTCTTCACGAAGAAAAGAAAGAAAGAAATCCCATTTTACTGTTATGTTTTCTAGTTGGTAGAAAGCAGTCAGACAGTACCTTTGTCTACATGAACTTTATTACAACAGGAGGGACAAGCACACATGCAGCATTCATCTTGTAACTCTCAGCAGAACTTCCCCTGAACTCTACACTACACCTCTAAAAATATACATTGGTAATGTTCTGCTGCCACCTAGTGTTCAGTTCAGTACACAACATATACATGAATGTTCCATGTCCATTTACACTTCAATAATAACACACATTCTAATATTTACACATCTCAACAAATCCCACAATGGCTGCCTTTATAATGAGGCCAAAGTGATCAAATAGACTGTGGTGACAGAAATATACTTATTAAAGTGCGGGTATGTCATCTGTGCTTCACTGGCATTCCCTTTGACTAAAAAAAATTGCTTAGGTGCTAATTGTCTTGAACGATTAAAATGCATTTAATAAAGATTAATTAATTAAATAGATTAATCTTATTAATCCAGTCCCACCTCTAAAATTAACATTTTTCTCCTGTAACACTGCCTTGAAAGCAGTTATAAACGATCCTTTTAATTTGTAAATGAGCTGATTTATCACTGGGACATCTTCAGAACTCTTGAATGCTTCAGTAAATAAAGCATTTAGAAAGAAATATGTTTTTAACCCTCTGGAGGCAGACGTTGCAGATTTGCAACATTAAAACCTGCCTACCTGGTTACTCCACATACGTATTTCATGAGTATTTTTGAACTCAGAAGTACCCCTGAAGAACTCTGTTGTTCGTCCTTTTATCAAAACTTTATTTGAGCCTGAGAGGGTTAAGTCAAAAAAGTCTAAGAGACTGGAGTTCAACTTATTTTCACTGCAAAATACATCCTTTGTTATGTTTCCAGGAAATGAAATGACAGTTAATCCTTTTGACAAAAAACACTTTCTATGTGTGCCTGAGAGAGGATGAAGTTGCACTGCAGTAGACACCATGCCCCGGCTGATCTCAGACACAAATGAGACGTTCAGGTTTTAACAGGTCTGGATCTAAATCCACAAAATACACATTTCTCAGAATCTGACACTGACATAAACTTCTAGGATTTAACAATGAGACAATGAATCACAGAAGGTGCCTGTCACTGGGACCTGTTTTCAGCTTCTACGGGAACATACTGAATTGTGCAAATTTGTAAAGAGTTAATCGTCATTTCTTCATCAAAACTTTTTACAAGAAGTCTTTCACAATAGTTCTCTGGACTTTTTGAAGGTCTTTTTTAAACTAAAATCGCTTTGTGGCACGCTGCCTGACACTAAAATTCTTCCATATTTTAAAGACACCTGCTTTAACTAATTTTAGATCACAAAAGTCAAACACAATGCTGTCACTCATGAGTCCTGCTCCTCTGAACAGAAAAGCTGCTCATTTCTAAGTTTTCATTATGTTTCAGCAAAAACTTAACACGTTCAAGACCAAATTACTTTTGGCCTACATACCAAAGATCTATTCGTTATACGGATGAAAGTAATTAACACTGTAGGTCATCGGGTGCAAACACTGCAAGCAGAACTAATAGATCAGAGCCAGTGTTTTGTTACAAAGTTCTTCACATTGTCTGCAAAACCGGTTTGCTGATTTAACATTCACTTTAAACTCAACTCACAACATCAGATTCTTAGAAGTAGCTTCTCTGCAAACATCTGTGGACTTTGTTATAATCACAAAGTGGCACTTCGGCTTCTTAGGAGATAATCAATAATCTTTACTTTTCATCAACAGCATCATCTAGGACTCAACTTCCTGTCATTTGCGTGTACATTTGCATGTTTGTTCTGCAGCAGGAGTCCAGAGTTAAGCATGTGAGCTAGTCTGAAATACATTAAGTGCTAAAAGAAAGTATTTCTGTAAACCTGTGTGAGATTTGGCATGCATATACTGTTATGTAGTAGGGGCAGCAGTAGCTCAGGTGGTAGAGCGGGTTGCCTCATGATCGGAGGGTCATGGGTTCGATTCCAGATCCCGCCAGGGGTGTCCTGCTGTTGTGTCCTTGGGCAAGACACTTCACCCAACTTGCCTGTGTTAGTGGTGTTAGTGGTGGTCAGAGGGGCCGACGGAGCCAAACCCTCGCCTCTGTCAGACCTCCCCAGGGCGGCTGTGGCTACACGTAGCCTACCATCACTAGCAGTGTGTGAATGTGAGAGTGCGTGAAAGCGTCTTTGGGTGTCTAGAAAAGCGCCATATAAGTTCAATGCATTATTATTATTATGTAAACCCTTATTTTATTACTGTTCTCACTTGCATGAGTCTGGTAGTGTTAGGCTGTATTCCTAGAAACTAAAGATGAACTAATTCAGTTTACTTTAAGTCACGTATTTGGGCTACAGGTCTCAGCTAAGAGTTCATCCTCTTTTTATGATTGTACCTTTGATAAATAAAAAAAATGACTTTCTACTGAAAAAAAACAACTGTGATCAATCAATAAATCAAGATAGAATTACAGCCCGGTCAGCATGTGGGTGCTTAGGCATAAACTTTGGAAGATTTGGATGTGGGCTTTTCTTTGAGACATGCAGATAGGCGTACTTTTATTATTTTCTTTAAAAAAAAAGATGTATTTGCTTCTTCTCCAACTTCTTTGGTGGTATATGGCGGACTGCCCCGTTGACTGATTTCCATATAGGGAAATATACAGGATGGCTTGCCCATGACAGGTCACTGGTCCACCACAGAAACACACACACACACACACACACACACACACACCTTATAAATGATTTAGGATTACCAATTAACCTTGCATCATGCATGTTTTTGGTCTGTGATAGTTATCCAGAGACCTGGATGAAACCCATGGATGCATGGGGAGAACATGCTAAACACCACGCCACAGCTGGGATTCGAACCTGTGACCTTAGCTCCTAGTGCGACAAACTGCACCACCATGAAGCCTATTACATGTGAAATATGTCAGTGCTTTGATTCTTGGCTTACATGTAATGAAAACCCATCATTTCAGTGTCTCTGAAAATGAGAATAACACTTTTAAGGATTATTAAATTATGTGTTCATGTTTATGTTCTCAGTAGGTGGTTCCTGTATGATTTACTGCATCGGTATAATAAAGAACACGTTTGGTGTTAAACAAGCATCAGTGAATGACAGTTGTCAGATTTTATTGCATTTACTTTCATTTAATCCCATAAAACAGAATAAAACGATCATTTATTTGCTTTTTTGTCTAAATATCACAATAATTAGACCAGTGTTATAAAAACGTAATTTCTCCAAGAAAAATGAAGGATTACTTTTCTGTATCAGCAGGTGAATCAGACCTAAACGTTCCCGCATTCTGGGATCATAAACCTGGATTTACCTTAGGTCGCTTCCACTTGACCCCGCTCTGCATCTCCAGCTCTCCCACTGGGAAGTTGAAGTCCACGAACAGTCCGTCCCGGGCGGCCGTGCTCGCGTCCCCGCTCCGTGATGCTAGGCCCCCGGGCAGCAGTTCCGAGAGCCAGCGGCGGGACTGGGAGCCCATCAGCTCGTCCGGGTCCACATCATCGGCGTCCGGCGGCGGCAGGGAGCTAACAGAGGATGACCTCCGAGACATGATCAGATAGGATACTAGCAGAGTTTGCACAAACCTGCAGCTAAATCATAAACCTGGAGGCCACGCCCACTGGAGGAAGAACTGCTCACCTTTAGCTGAAGGTGTGGCTCCTGTAAGGTTTACTGTAAACTTAAAACCTTTTTACACACAGTCATTAACCTTCAGGGGTTTATCTTTTCCATTTGTGCCTATATTTGATTTAAAATAAAAATGTAGAACATTAATACTTGTAGATGTTTGGATAATTTTCCCACAAGTTTCAAGTTCTGTTGAAACACACACACACACACACACACACACACACACACACACCTCAGAAAAATAAAAGAAAATAAATGCATCCTAGATCTGAACGAATATTCGTATTAAATACGTTGTTCTTTACATTTTGAATGCATTGACATCAAAATCACACAACAATTATCAATGGAAATCAAATTTATCAACCCATGGAGGTCTGAGTCACACTCAGAGCTAAAGTGGAAAAACACAAGCTGATCCATCTTTGATGTAATGTCCTTAAAACAAGTCAAAACAAGACTCAGAAGTGTGTGGCATCCAGGGGTGACTCTGGCATCAGAGGTTTAGGGGGTGCTGAGCCCCCAGAGAGCTACCAAGATAAATTTTAACATTGTGAAAAAGAAGAAAGAAAGAAAGAAAGAAAGAAAGAAAGAAAGAAAGAAAGAAAGAAAGAAAGAAAGAAAGAAAGAAAGAAAGAAAGAAAGAAAGAAAGAAAGAAAGAAAGAAAGAAAGAGAAGCAGCAGCTAAAATATTGTCTTATAAAAGGCTAAAAAGAACACAAGTGCAGTAACAGCATTCAGACACTGGAGGGCAGCAACCCCCCAACTTCCCTTGTTTTACTTTTTTGTCAGCAGAGGGCGCAAAATTCCTATTTCAAGGCAACAAAACTGGAAGATTTTTTTTACTTTTTCATTTACAAACAACATGGCACAAATTCCTTTGTTTGACATTTCCAAGGATCAGGTGCGAAGAATAATAAAAGAGACTTTGCATAGAGAGCAAAGAATATTTGTGAAAGCAACGAACAAACAAACAAAAAAAGAGACAAAGAGCTAGGGCTTTGTTTTCAAATCATACTTTTCAGAAGGATTAAGGAGTTTCATTGCATGTTAAGTTAAGGGCTTTGGAGAAAGAAAGACACTCGTTATGAAACACATAGAAAAACTGTGGAAGAATTTTGGAAGTGTTTATACAGAAAAGGAACAAAGAGTATAAATAAATCTCAAACTTTAGGAGTGCTTCAGCACCCCCAAAAGCAATGTAGAAACACCAATGGTGGCCTCCATGTGCCTTATGACCTCCCTACAAAGCCTGCACATGTGAACCTGCTTTCATCTGTGAAGAGCATAGGGCATCAGTGGCAAACTGGCTAATCTTGGTTTTCTCTGGCAAATGCCAAACGTCCTGCACGGTGTGTGGCTGCAAGCACAACCCCCACCTGTGGACGTCGGGCCCTCATACCACCCTCAGAGACCATTTCAGTAGACACATGCACATCTATGGTCTGCTGGAGATTATTTTGCAGGGCTCTGGCAGTGCTCCTCCTATTCCTCCTGCCACAAAGGCAGAGGTGGCAGTCCTGCTGTTGGGTTGTTGTCCTCCTACGGCCTCCTCCACATCTCCTGATATACTGGCCAGTCTCCTGGTAGCTCCAGATATGTGCAGTGGCCCAGTCTGGTTTCTGTCACTTGAGGCAACTTGCAAAGGTTAAGTGCTATTTGCCGGAAACTGTCTTTCAACATGTTATTCATTTCTTTGTCTCCTGTCGACTAGATTACTGCAATTCCCTGTACTATGGATTAGGGCATTCCTCCTTAAACCACTTGCAACTGGTTCAAAACGCAGCAGCCCGCTTTTTAACAGGTACTAGGAAGCATGACCACATCTCTCCAGTGCTTGCTTCCCTTCACTGGCTGCCAGTGCATTACAGGATTCAGTTTAAATGATTGCTTTTTGTTTAAAAATCACTTTATGGTCTAGCCCCTCCTTACATAGATGATTTATTGTCACCCTACACTCCTGCCAGGAATTTGCGGTCGGGCTCACAGTTTTTATTATCAGTGCCAAAGGCTCGCCTAAAGACGAGAGGAGATAGGGCATTTTCTGTGGCCGGTCCAACACTCTGGAACAGTCTTCCTCTGCAGATCAGGACCTCACAAAGTCTGGATGTCTTTAAGTCCTTGCTTAAAACGTCCAGTATGTACAGTCTATGCTTAAAACTCATTTTTTCAACCTGGCTTTTATGTAGGATGATTTGATTTTGTCATTGTCATTCTCATTTTTATTGATTTTATAATTGTGTGATGTAATGCAGTTTTTATCCTAACTTGCTGATTTTTATGGTTTTTAGTTATACTTGTTTGCAATTTTATCTTCTGTGTTGTACAGCACTTTGGGTTGCGGAAGCAATAAGTATGCTTCAGAAATAAATGTGACCTTGACCTCCATGCCAACACAGCAAACCTTGCCACAGCTCACACTGATGTGCCAACCTAGATGAGCTGCACTACCTGAGCCGCTTGTGTGGGTTGTAGACTCTGTCTTATGCTACCACTAGAGAGAAAGCACCACCAGCATTCAAAAGTGACCAAAACATCATCCAGAAAGCAGGAACTGAGAAGTGGTCAGCGGTCACCACCAGCAGAACCACTACTTTTATCAGGGATGTCTTGCTAATCGCCTATAATTCCCACCTGTTTTCTATTCCATTTGCACAACAGCAGGTGAAATTGAGGACACTATAAGTAAAGTTTATTATTTTCAACAACAAAATTCAAAAAGTAAAACTTATTGAGTTTTTGTTCATGAGTTTAGCAATAAACTTGCATATATTTCCTTTAAAATTTTCAGTAAATTTAGCATTTTGATGATTCCATTCTCACAGAGAAAAGCTATTTTCTGCTCACACCTGATATATTAATCAAAACCAGAGGCTTTTAGAAGAGTAAAAATGACACAGACACCAAAAATGTTTGACGTTTAATCTGATCGTCGTTTCTTAATATTGTTCAGCCTGAACTCTGCTGAGGTGGTGAAAAACAAAATGATTCAACTTTTGAAACTAATAATAATAATAATCATCGAACTTCTATAGCGCTAGTTTAGGACACCCAAAGACGCTTCCATGCACTCTCACATTCACGCACTGCTAATGATGGTAAGCTACTTTGTAGCCACAGCCGCCCTGGGGCGGTCTGACAGAGGCGAGGCTGCCATTTGGCGCCGTCGGCCCCTCTGACCACCACCAACTACAGAGGGACAAAGCTGATGTAGTAACGACAGTTACAATTAAACACCTGATGTAATGACTGAGTTGCAGGAGACCAATAAACAGACTGGATGATAATTTACATTTATTCAAAAGAGTGTGTTCATGACGACTGAGGTGAGTCTTGGTGTCACTGAGAGGTGGCCATGATGCTGGAAACACCTGGAAAATAAAAGAAAACAAGACTTAGATTGGATCTGCTAATTAGGACTTAAAAACATCTCAGATCCTCCATCTGAAAGTGATGCTGCTACTTAAAGTGATGGTGTGTATTTTTTCTGGCGATAGGGGGCAGTAGATACCTAAATCGTTGCAAGCAAGCAGTATTTTTGTGTTGGAGTAAGACCTTACCAACGGATTCCCATTAGGGTCAAAAAGCCCTGGGGAGTGCAAACTTTAGCAAAATAACGAGCACATCAGACTCTCTTTCATCACTGGCAACAAGTGAAGAGGTAAATGTGGAAAACAACAACATTTACAAATGGTTCAAGTTTTATAACCGTTTCTTACAAATCAGTAAATGCAATTTGTCCTCATGAGCTCCCGTAGAAGGAAACATGGCATCTAATATGTTTATGTTTATTTATTAGGCAGACGTTTTTACCCAAAGCAGCTTACAATTTATAACCTATAGGGCATGTTGTGATCTGTGGGGGAAACTGGACTACCCGGAGGAAACCCACACATGCATGGGGAGAACACGCAACTCCACGCAGAAAGGCTGCAGTCGAGTTTCAAACCTGCAAACCTTCGTGCTGCGAGGCAACAGTGCTAACAACTGTGCCACCATGCAGTCATAATATGGTATCGCCCAGAGACCTAGACCCGCTCCCATGTATTTTAGACATGATTTTTATGGTTCTATGTTACAAAGTCGCCAATATTTTTCAAACAGCCGGGCATCATTTCATTCATTTTCAACATTATTTTGATTAGGGCTGCACGATATTAGGAAAACCTGTGATATTCGATAACAGTGATTAATATTGCGATGATGATATTACTTGCAATAAATAAAAACTTAACTCAGGAACTAAAATAATCAAAAACAAAGAAATTTAAAAAGTCATAAAAATGAGAAAAGCAAAAGATGTGAGGAAAGGGAAAAAGAAAATAAACAAGAAAATGCAATCAGTGGATCCCAAGAAAAGCAGAATCAGCAGAACTAACCTAACTCAGGTGTTTGCTAACCATCAAAATTAAGGGCCGTCCGCCTTGGGGGCGGGACTCTAACCTATAAGAACCCACCCAATCAGTGGAGGTGTGAATCTTCACTTGTCTCCCGATTTGATTTGATTACGATTATTGGGTCAACGATTCAATTCGATTCGATATCCAGATGCATCCCGATGCATCACGATTATTTCATATTGATTTGTTTTCATCGATGAATAGAAGATGTCAGATAATTGCTTTGTATTTCTTTTTATCAAAAACGTAAGTGACACAACCTGCCATCCCACAAAAGCTCTCCATGCACAACAGGTTAGGACAAAACATTTAAGAAGATTTAACAAAGTAAAACATCTGTTTCCTCGTTCAACACCACGCCTCAGGCTGAGAAAAACACGCTTAGCAAAAACTCACAAAATATAAAAAAGTACTGAAAACCTACAGGACACATAATTTAATAATAAAATACATAATGGGTTCATATGAGTGTTTAATGTCTCTGAGAAGCTTTAGAGTCCAATGTTTATGCCACAGTTGAAGGGTGTCAGAAATAACACCAAATTAAATGTTTGACTTAGTTTGTTTTATTTGAACCCAGTGGTTCATTTCTGAAATGTTGGAGAATGAATCAAGTTCTGTTTGATGCAGAAAATAATAAAACATAAAACAAATTCTACAATTCCAATAATATTTAAGATGTGTGTTTTATTCTTTCTGATAATGACACCAGCAGAAGGCTGTGGGCTGGATTAGGATTAAATTACCCAGCTGATGGATCTCCTTCACTAACCAGCTAACTACAAACCTTTCCACTAACCTGTCCTGTGGGACCCCCTCATGTCCATGCTGTCTCTGGAGGAGCAGATAGGAGACAAGATCTCCTGTAACTTAAAATGAACCAAAGCTTCCTCCCAGCTTCTCTTTAAGCAGAATTTAACATCAGTTCATCATCATGAAACAAAAGAATAAAGTGGAACAAGAACTTCTATCTTCTATTTCTCTCTCCTTTTAACTTCTCCGTGTCCCTAAATAAAAGAGACAGACGATCACGATGCAGCCGCCGTCATTGACCCCGCCCCCTCCCCATGACCGAATCTCCCTACATTACAACACTCGGTCTGACTGAGCGCTTCCAGGAGAAATAATAATTAAATTATGAAAATAATAATGCGTGTTTAGAGCATCGGTTTGGAGGAGTGTCCTCTGATCCTCTCTCTTGTGTGAGCGGACAGTCTCTCTCTCTCTCAGTTGCTGAGCGAGCGAGCGGAGTGTGCCGTATGACAAACCACTCAATTAACTTAATTCACGGCCAAATCCAACAGAACCGGTAGGGCGGATTCGGTTCAGGTTCGGTCTCAGGTTACAACTCTAACGCTCAGCCCTGCAGTACCACATTAAGGCGGAACCACTTGGTAAATGTGGAGACGCTCACTCTGACAGATTTGGATGCTGCACTGGTGCCGCCGTTAAAAAAACAAAACTACATTCCACTATAATCGATTATGGAGTACTCTTCTACGATGCAGAATCGTTTATGTCCGCATCCCGATGCATCGATTATTTGATTATTTTCCTCAGAACTACCAATTAGCCAAATGGGTGAAGAGCTTTATTTGTTTTGTTAAAAAAACGTAATCCTTTCGTTTGATTGACAGAATGCATTATGTGTAGCAAACATTTGAGCTGACCATTCATTACAATATTAATTTGTTCTTTGTGATACGCATATTGTGCATGCTGATATCGCGATAACGATATATTTACGATATATTGCGCAGCCCTAATTTTGATGGATATTTCAAGAAATTAATAGTAAAAACTACACATTGTCTCTTTAAAGGGGAACTAGACAGTTATGGCTACTACCGTTTGCAGAACCGAAAGCAAAACTTACCCCCTTGCTGTGCGTTTGCATTTTTAACACCTTAATCTAACAGCAGAAATGTCTCCCCAGCCTTCCTTAGTGTCTACAGGAGTGATTCATCACCAAATTTAAAAAAAAAATCAGCTGTGTTCAGGATCTAAATCATGCAGGAAATGTTCTAGAACCAAACTGCAGTGCCAGGTATGTCAGCTCAATTTTTTTCCCCAACAGAGCAGAAGTTGCAAATTCGGTATTGTGGCCACAGGGAGCGATAGGAGCTGGATGACCTTTAATTAGCCCTGTAAAGAATCATTTTAGCACATACTGGCTCAAGAAAATTACTTAAAAACATGAAAAAGTTGCTGAGTATCCCTTTAAAGCTCCTCTGAAGCCTCATTTCACAATCTGAACCGAATCAGCACTCACTCTCAAAGTCGATCTTCTCCACGATGTTCTTAGGCTTGATGCTCTCCTCCTGGTTGTAGACAAAGATCTGTCCGTCCTCGTTCTCCGTCCAGCCATATTTATTCATCCACACCTTCAGCTGCGTGTCTGCAGAAACACATTAAACCTCATTAGCTCTGACAGCTCCACAGAGATGCGACGACGATACTGCTAGGATCTGAGCTCCTCCGTTTCATTTGCCTCTTGGAAACGCGTTGCAGTTGCTAACTGGGATAACGCTACTTCAAAGATCTCCACTAGGTGGGAGGAGGGTCCACGTTAACAACACGTCACAACAAGAGCACCAACTTTACATCCCTTTCAGCACAGGATTAAAGTTAAAAGGTGGTGGGATGTAGGGATGCAAATATAGAAAAGAAACTGTTGTTTCTGTTTTTAAAACACACAATTATGGCAGAAATGCACCAAAATGACAAAAAATAAAATCTCCCTTTTCTCAATGAAACTGAAGACAGGAAATGGAAATGTAACAGAAAACAGAAGTTTTTCATTTTGAAGGCAAACAAAGCTGCAGCTAGATTTTATCTTTAAATAATAAAACTAAAATAGTAAGAAACTTCAGTTGTGTTTTATTAGTAAGGTTATATTTCGACATATTCTTCTATTAACACCCATTCCTGACTTTAGGTAAAACCCTGAAAAACTACTTAAAAGAGGTTTTAGCTTGTTTTTAATCAACAAATTTGTATTTGTAAAGAAATGTGTTAACCCTCTGGAGGCAGGCGTTGCAGATTTGCAACGTTAAAATCTACCTACCTGGTTACTCCACAAACGTATTTCATCAGCATTTTTTTTAACTCAGAAGTACCCCTGAAGGACTTAATTGTTCATCCTTTTATCAAAACTTAATTTGAGCCTGAGAGGGTTAACACTGTCACCAACAAATAAATAAATCTCAGATTTAAGCTGAGCTTTTTCTATCCACAGGTGTCAGGAGTCCTTACCCAGTGGGTCTCCGAGCATCTCGCCCAGTAACCGGTGCTCGATGGTCTGGTAGGTGATCCCCACGACGTGGCAGATGACTGAGGAGGAAGATGAATAAAATTATGTTTTCTGTTATTCTCCACATCCATTTAAATTTGTTTGGATTCAGAAAGTAATACTCACACTTGCGAACAGAGTCCTCAAAACCTGTGATCCCATCAATGAGCTCCCTGTTCTCCTCCAGACTCGTCTGTCAGGAAGATGAAATAAACAAACTGATGTGAGAATTTGCTCACTCAGCTCTCCCCACTGAATGAAGAGCAGGAGCCTCCTGACAGGTACAGTGTCATACCCAGAAGCTCTGGAAGTGGCAGGTCTCCAGCAGGTTCCCCAGGTAGAGGATCTGTCTGATGGGACGCTCCTCTTGCTGCGACACTGCTGTCAAGGAAAGTCCCCCCCCCCAACCCCATGACAAAAACAACCACTAATCTACAGAAAATACAATGAAATATATGTTTTCTTTGCCAGAGGGGTGACGGGAGCATACGGGAAAAGCACCAAAAGGATACGTGTGTTTGGTCAATCATACACTTGCAGAGAGTGAAGTCTGTGTGCGGCAGGTTGGTCAGAGCTTTCAGCAGAATCTGGGATGTCACATGAGTCTGGAAGTAGGCTGGATTAAACTGGTATCTGTGGGTTTAACAAGTCATCATAAAAACAGACAAACAAAGCTTTAATAAATAAGAATTTAGTTCAAATTTATTCAAATACTGCACAGCCAAAAACCTCACCACCTGGATTTAACTAAGGAAACAGGTAGGAGCTTTCTATTGGATAATTGCTGCATGGGTGATTAACTTTCAGATGGCAACAAGTTATTTAAGCCCAACTGGTGCAATGAGTTGATTCTCATTTCTTAAACAACCATGTGGAAAGAAACATCTGGAAGTTGTGGACAGTTAGTCTGTCTGAGAATGGTCAGATCGCTGGCACGCATCAAGCAGAGAAAACATCTAAGGAGATTACAGAAACGACTAAAATTGGGTTAAGAACTGTCCAATGCATTATTAAAACTGGTTTGATGAGTCCAGATGGACTCTGTTCCAGAGTGATGGTGAATCTGGGTAAGAAGAGAAGCAGATGAAGTGATGCACCCATCATGCTTAGTGCCTACTGTACAAGCCTGTGGGGGCAGTGCTACGATCTGGGATTGCTGCAGTTGGTCAGGTCTAGGTTCAGCAACAGGATGTGCTCCAAGAATGAGGTCAGCTGACTACCTGAATATACTGAATAACCAGGTTATTCCATCTTCCCTCTCAACCATCATCAATGAAAGATCTTGGTGAAAAATTAATGCAACACTAGACGGAAGTTAATCTTGTGTCTTTGCAGAAGCTTGCAAATACTCAAAGTTGAAGGTAGTCCAATGAAATATGAGTGTGTGACCATTTTGTTTTGGGGCGACCTTTTTGGGGGGCCGGGCAGTGTATAAATCTTTGATTCATTTATTAAGCTCGTAATTTTCTGAGTGTTTTGTATCAAATGATGCACACTGCTCGGTTAGAACACAAAGTTTTGTGAAATAATGTTGACATTTCCAGGTATTTGACTCCTAAACACGTACAGTTTCAGCACGGCCAGGTTCGCCTCCAGGTCATAAGCGTTTTCTCTGGCTTGTGTCTCCACGTAGCGCTCCAAAGTTGTGAGGTTTTCAGGGTTGTACCTGCAAATATAAAAGTTGCGTTATTAATTTGAAAATTTTGAAGATGAATTCAGTACCATCAATAAACAGCTGTGAAACGAAATCCTACTCTGAACACACTAGATCTAATATTTATATCATCAAATTAATATTCAGCAGTTGAAATATTTAATCCGAAATTGCAAGTGATAAATCCTGTAGTCTGGTAACGGTCTTTACTTCCGCTGAAAACTCAAAATGTTAGCAAACAGGCTAGGCTAATCGTTAGCTCGACGTGGTTATCAATCCTTTAGATTGAGTGGTCTCACCTATCGATCCCTCGCAGGAGTTTGCCTACGTTCGCCCTCATCTGCTCGAAAGATGACGCCATTTGGTCCAAATGTTTCCTGAAATCTACAGGATAGAAATGTATTTTCTTCTCACGTGGGCCACAAAGCAAAAAAGACACTGGAGCGGAGAGAGAAAAGGGTCGGACCGGAAACAACACAGACCGGATGTAGCAACAGTCGATCAAGATAAAAAAAATAGTTTGTGTCTCGTTTCTTTCTTGCTCAGTTCAGCGCTTTCTATCTTTAAATCGACGTAGTTTGGTAATTATTTATCCGCTTTTTAACAGGGCTGTAAATATTTTGTGCAGGTTAAATGCATGTCTGCAATGTCAAGTAGAATGGGTTTATTTCCCATGAACAGTAGTTCTTTGCAGTAGTTCTTGAATCTTTGGCTTCCGCTCACGCTTTAAAAGTGTCGCCCTCTAGCAGCTGAATTGTGACATTACAACCAACCCTCAAAATAAACATGGTTGAGTTTTAGCTCCTTTGACCATTTAATCATTTGCTTAAGCTCCTTTAGCACCATGTCTTATTATAGAAATGAACGAAAAAATGCTGAAATTTATGAGGATTTGAATCGCGCAAGATCCACGTTTATGAGGACCATCTAACACCATTGTAAGACGATAATTGACCTGTCATGGAATTTACACTCAACGTTTAATCACATTTGTTGAGATGTTTACTAGCACACGTATTTAATATATTATATATTTGCCATTTTACAGTCAGAGGGGATGCACCGTTCCTGGAGGTACTGCAATACCAGGTCGATGCGTGGAGTGGACGGAGCAAGCCCCTATTCCATCTCCCTGTTCCAAAAATCAATTTAATATATGGTCCCCGGATAGGGGACGTATCAGATATTAAACTGATAAGAACAGATACTACACTTGATCTTAGCCAAAAGGCCGAGAAGCGATACTACAATGTGATCGAGGACAAGTGTTCTATACGCAGACGTTCGTTCTAACTCATGGTTCAAAAGCAAAATCCATTCTCCGATCAATGAGACACAAAATAATATACAAAACGGAACGTAATAATAGTTTACTTGAATAACGGGTTTACGTCGGAAAATTAAACTAATCTATGTTTGAAAAGAAAAAAAATCACGTTATTCTGGGCCACGTGGTACTCTTTGGTCCAATAGGAAGCAGAAAAATGCGGACAACTGATTATAACGATGTTTCTTATCAATTGTAGTAATTATTAGATAATAATAGTAATGAATTTACGGATTGAAATTGTAGGAATCAATTTATTGTCCAAGGGTTTTGGTAAATGGCTAATAAACGTGTGAATTTGTAATTTTTTTTACAAACGCAAACATTAAATTTATCTATCGCCCCCTATTGGATTGGAAGACTAACGGCGCTAACTAACGCAAAGAAAACTGGGAAAATTTGACCAAAGCCCTATCATACAGAGAATTTCAATGGCGCTGCATTTGACAAACAACTTTGAGATTTGTAAGGTTACTTTCCCAGACCTGGGCAACGGTGGTGTGTATTTCTTCATTATTCCAGACAATTTTTCCTGCATCATAATACGTATATTGCTGCAACTAAGAATCTGGGCTTTTTTGTTAAGAGTAACATATTAATTAATTCAGATACTATAATAATAAAAAAACAAAGCTATGGGACTAGTTTGTCTTTGTGATCTGTTTAGTGTCACACAACACTTGAATTTTTAAGCACTTTTGCAGCTTGAGCTCTCTTTTGGTGCTTTCTGATGGTCAAGAGGTCTATTTTTACTTGATTTAGAGAACAAAAAATTAAGTGACTTAACAAACAAACAAACAAACAACACTACTCTGTACATGATCAGTTATTGGACAACTTCACTTTATATAAGGCTACTTTGGAAGAAAAATATTACAAAAATGAGAGAGAATTAATGTTTGGTTGGGTTTCCCAAAAAAGAAACCTTTCGTAAGCTGAAACAAAAACTGATGAAATCAGACATAAATCCAATGAAATTCGGTTCATTTCTTAAAAAGATACTCAGATGGTTTTAAGTGCTTTGCATGTATGCAAACTTCCTGTTTGACATGTTTTACCAGGTGTGTCAGAGAATGACTGTTCCAACCCACCCTGGTTTGATTTCTCACTGTGTTTGGTTACAGATTAAGGAGAAGTTGTCTTTCTCTTTGTTCTACAGCTCTACTCCTTGAGGTGTGTGTGTGCGTGTGTGCGTGCGTACGTGCGTGCGCGCGCATGTGTGAACACACTGAGTCTCGGTGTGTGTTTGCTTAACAGTCTCTGGCTAAACCTGTCTGATAGGTGTGGGCTGGCTGGCTCTGACATGCGCAGGTATGAAAGGAAATCCTGCACAGTGGAAGGAAGGAAAGCGACTCAGCACTCCTGAACACACTCCCTGGTTTCCAACAAGGAAAAACGAAATCCGACTGACAGCTGTAACTTACAGAAACCAGAAACAGGATAGAGAGGGAAGCACGAGGATAGGGGAGGAAGATGACGAGGAAAACAATTCATAATGTGAAATGATCTGAAGGAGATTCTTCTGGGGAGGTTCAACAGATGGGTCTGCGATTCTAATGTGGCATTTCAGGCTCTGGAATGTGAAGGATATTGCTGTGTTTCTCAGCATCTCTCTGATTATGATCCACTCAGGTAAGCTTCCCAACACTGTGTTTTGATTCAACAATACTGCATTTGTTTGGCACTAAAAACAAAGGGCAAGGTCACACTGATATTGGTCAGAAGAGCAAACTGAGAGGTAAATGCTGAACATTTTAAAAGCTTTAAGTGTTTACTTGTGTCTTTATGACTACACAGACCATTAAGTTGTTCTGAAATGGGTTCAGCACTCAAGAGAAACTCAAAATTAGCTCTGATGTTGCTCAAAAAACTGATCTTGGAACGGTGAAAACTGCAAACCCAAAACCTCCTGTGTGAATCAGTCATGATTAATCCACCTGTCTTCTTAGTCAGCAGTGGTATTCTCATGAGAAATTCTTTCCTTGGGCTTCACTGAACAAACACTTGACCTGCACAACCAGATCTTCCACTGACTTTCATGCAAACATCTGCATCTATATGAGGCAAATACAACATCTTCAGCTTGTTCAACTAGTTTGTTGTTTCAGTAACAAATTCGTTGGCGTTGAACAGTAAATCTGAACATCTCTGCTCTTCAGGATATAAACACCAGATAACAACTCAATAGTAAAACATTTTTCTTTTTATTTGAGGCTGCGTGAAGCCGGTGAGTTTCTGTTGTATAAAAGCTGAAGAGTAGCTAAAGGGGTAAAGGACAGTTGATTTTCTGTACTTTATGCTGACTTGCTCCAATGGAGGGTGGTATATTTAAAGATGTTTATTTTGACCAGATCATATAATCACCTTTGCATGTCTGTCCTGATTTTGAGTCAATCTACCTCAGCTTAATTTAGCTTTACTTAACATTTAAATGCAAATAATTCAATTTATATTGAATTATTAAATTAAATGTATCTACTTTGTGTAAGTAATTACATTTAAATGTACTCAAATCAACCTAACTGAATTTTATTTCAACTTAGTATAACTAAACTCAGTTTACTCAAGTTATTTAACTCAATTTAATTAAGATTACTTCAACTCAATTTGACTCAGATTTACTTAAATCAAATAAAATTCACCTCAACTCCATTTCATTCAACTCAATTTACATTTAAGTCAATTTATTTAAAGTCCGTTTAAACACCAGGCTGTCCTGACCCTCAAGGTTCCAGAGTTATCGAGTTATAATCATGTACAAATCATCCTCACAAGTTTGATTTTGCTCTTTTATTGTTAGCTGGAGCCATCGTGATTGATTCTTCCCAGAGGAGCCTCATCAGGTCTGTGCAGGAGGATGTCTTCTTCTCAGTAAATGTGACATGCAGTGGGACCCCAACGATACAATGGACCTTTATGTCAGGAGCAGTGAGCCGTGCCGTGGGGACCTGGCGGCCGGAGGTGTTCACCAACATAACCATGGATTATAGCAGCAGAGTGAGGCCCTATGATAACGGCTCTATGGTCCTACTGGACCTGAGGCTGCAGGATGCTGGTTATTATCTGATCAGTGTTGAAGATTCAACGGGACGCAGCAAGGAACTTGGTTTTATCCTGAAAGTAAACGGTGAGCTTCGCTGGGCCAAAATGTAATTCCTCTGTTATGATTTTTTTGTAATCCTTTAAAAGGAGTCTTGATTGGTAGCTCATTAGATGGTTTCCTTTGTACCTTTACTCCTTTTTCACTAGTTTGGTGTTTAGTGTTTGTTCTTGATCACAGCGGTTGAGCAGAGTGTGTTTTTATGAGGGAACTGAACAAAATTAAGGATCAGTCAGCAAACAGCTCTTTGGGAATGCACCCTGTTGTCACTATTTTCCACTAAACTTTGTTTTGCTTTGCTATTTTTTTTTGCATCTTTACCTAAACTACTGATAACATTTAAAACTGGTTCTAAGTTAACTGTTTTGTGGTTCACCCAGGGGCAGTACTAGGGTGAGTCCTGGGTGGGCCAGTTCCACCCTGATAACAAGCTTGGAACCCCCAAATTTGTAATCTACTCGAACAATTGTCGCTGTAGCAGGATTTTTCGTGTGTTTGCTTTTTTGTACTGTTCATCTCACAGCCTCTAGGTCACACAACGTCCGAGTGAGATAGATTTGGTTCAAGTCAAACATCCCAAAACAAATGGATGTTAGTCCCTTGTTAAGATTTGCAGGCATGAATAATCAATAGCTTTATGTGTCTTCTTTCATCAAGCGCCACTCTCATTTTGACACGACCTTCAGTTCTCCCACAGCGTGTCCCAGACCACAGCAGACCCCCAAAACTGCTCCATCAATGCTATAAACAAGCTCCATTTCCCTCTCAAAACCCATTCACGCTCACGCTTTTGACTCTTCATAACTTGGACAAAAAACAACTTAGGACACATAAAACGTCACACTTTTGTTCATCAGACCCTTGACGTTCACATTTCCAAGGGCTCTGGAATGTGTTCCTGCTCCTTGTTGGTCCTCAAATGCCCTTCTGCTCCTGCTCCCTTGTTGTCTGCCCCCGTGCCACACACTTATTCAAAGTACATAATAATAATAACAATAATGCATTGAACTTATATAGCACTTTTCAAGACCCCCAAAGACGCTTTCACACACTCTCACATTCACACACTGCTAGTGATGGTAAGCTACTTGTAGCCACAGCCGCCCTGGGGAGATCTGACAGAGGCGAGGCCGCCATTTGGCGTCGCCATCGGCCCCTCTGACCACCACTAACACAGGCAAGTTGGGTGAAGTGTCTTGCCCAAGGACTCAACAGCAGGATACCCCTGGCGAGAGCTGGAATCGAACCCATGACCCTCCGATCATGAGTCAACCCGCTCTACCACCTGAGCTACTGTTCAGTTTGATCTCACTCCTGTCTGGTTCCTAATGGCACAGAAGATTACTTTAATCCTTTCAGGCTCAAAATAAGTTTTGATAAAAGGACAAACAACTAAGTCCTTCAGGGTTACTTCTGAGTTAACAAATGCTCATGAAATACGTATGTGGAGTAACCAGATAGGTAGGTTTTGACGTTGCGAATCTGCAACGCCTGCCTCCAGAGGGTTAACAGGGTTCTTCTGCACCCTACAATCTCATGCTCCAGCTGGTAGGCCCCTTCAACATTTTTTTCAGGAATTTTCTAGTTAGTCGTTAACATCTGAAAGACTCAAAGGCATGTTTTTTGGTTTGTGCCTCTCCAACAAAGCAGCCCTCCTAGTCTAGACCAGTGGTTCCCCAACCTTTTTTTCACAAGAACCCATCATGTGTCCAAAACAGGCCAGGGCCCCCCACATGCACACAATTATTAATTCATAGAGAAATACAGAGTTACGACTTTTATACAGAGTTTGATGATAATATTGGGTGTGGTAATGGGATTTTATGAATGCAATTTTTACAAATAGAAACTTAGTAACCTCAACCTCAGCACAGACAGAATTGTAGGGACCCCTTGGGGGCACACACCCCAGGCAGTGGCGCCCCCAAGGGGTGACCAGGGGTGGTTATGGCCATCCCTAGAAAATTGCTGCACTTTGAGTTAAGCGTTGTGGATACAGATTGTTTATATATATATATATATATATATATATATATATATATATATATATATATATATATATATATATATATATATATATATGTATATATAATTAAGGAGCAATGCAAGGACCACAAGGACCAATTACATGTGCCACCCCAAAACATTTTTTGGCTCCATCTGGCCACCCTTATAAAAAAATTCTGGAGGTGCCCCTGAGCCCAAGGTGGGAACCACTGGTCTAGACCCACCTCTGGGTTCATCGGTTCAGCAAGCAGAACTAAAAGTGGTTAAACTGGGTGAAAAATCATCCAAAGTTCAATGAAAAACTGCAAAAAAAAATCTCCAGAAAGTCTGAAGAATTGTTAACTTTGACTACTTTTATAGATTTTGCTTTGAAAAAAAGTGTCTAAGATGATTATTTTGAGCCTGTTAAGTCTTTGCTTTTATCACCTGTTGAGATGAAAAAGGAAACTGATAAAGATTTAACACGCATGGCTTATCCTAAATGTTGAAAAGAGCCTCAGTTTTAGCTGATCTTGTTTCTAAAAACGTCCGTGGACATGATAACAAAATGGTATCTGATGGAAGATTATTATTGGTATTTTAGTATTTTCTAATCCTCGTCAACTTTTTTAAATCATCTGGTGTCAAAGCTGCAAACTCCTCGTGTTTCCTGTCATCAGCCTGTTGTTTTGACACGGAGCAGAAATATGTGTCACAAATCTACAAGCGACTAAAATTATTTCACTTTTGTTTTCTTTGTTGCTCCTGAGAGTCAGAAAGAACTTTTACACACTGATGGCAAGAATCGGTCAGTGGGAGCGTTTCAGAGGGCTTCAAAGTAAAATCAATCTTACACACACGTTATTACGATTTCAGAAGAAATGACACAATTAGGTCAAATGTTAATCAATAATCTTTGAGAACACCTGATTCTGGATTCTAGTTGAATCTGATCATTCTCCCGTGTTTCTGCCCTCAAGAGGTTCTGTATGAGGACCTTCAGTACCTCTCCGTTACCGCTTTGGCTCTGTTCGTTTTGGCCGGCCTCCTCATGCTGGCCATGTGGCTGCTGCACAAAGCCTGCAGGAGGATCGAAGCGTGGAGACGCAAGAGACAAATGCCAGGTAAGGAAAAGGGTTTTTTATCAGATCAAACTTTCAAAACAGAATAAAAAAATCCCCTACAGCTGAACAGTTTGGAGGAAATTACAATTTTACGAGGATTTTTAAACCGTTGTGTAACTCGGCACACGTCCATGCAGGTGTGTTTAGTACAAAGGTCAGGGGAGCCTCTCTCAACAGCCATTACATAAATGTTTTAGGTTTTATATTTGTTTATTTTATCTGCATGCAGAACAAGATGAGACGGAGCTGCAGCCCTTTGATGGAGCAGGGAATCGCTCCAACCACCAGAACCCACCGGAGACTGCTCAGACACGCCCGTGCTTCAACACAAGGACCTGTTTTTAAACCTGCGTCCTGTTTACATTTTATGCCTCATGCGAACGGCACTGAAATAGTGTAAATAGATCACTCATCACACTGGAAAACAACACAGCACGTATTTATTGTGACATGAAAAAGAAATTGTGTGTTGCTACTGAAAATCTGCTTGTTTCTGACTTTATACAAGAAGTTTAACCAAACTGTGTTTTGGATTTTGACCGGTTTTAAACACAAACAAAGCAGAACCTGCATGCTTTTAGTTCAAAGAGCTGCTGTTTAGCCATCCATGAACCAGAGACGATCAGCAGCTGCTAAGGACAAGGAGTGAGCGCTGCCATGAGGAGCTCCATCTTGTAGACAAAGTTACGTCCCTCCATTCGGCTCCACTGCACCTCCTTGTGTGGACCTCTGAGGTGGCTCCACTTGGTGTCCTGAATGACGTCGCTCTTGGGCAGATCTTTCACCTGGCTGCGGGGGAACTGGACCAGGACTTTGCAGCCACTCTCCGGACCATTACGCACTGATAAAAAGCAGAAAGGAACGAGAGAGGCATAAAGAGGTTCATGTTTAAGTTATTAAAAATTATTCTGCAGTCATCTATTGAGAGGCTTCTAGACATTCCTCTGTGGTGAGGTTTGATTCCTCAGCATGTCTAAATCTAACCTGTTGAACTCTCTGAACTTAGAACTGCAGGAACAAATCAGAATATTTATTGTGCTTTTTTAAATTTAATTTAGATCTGAGAGAATTATTATTTTATGGTACTTGACTTTGTTGGTCCACAGCACCGAAGCCACAGGAATGTCCTCAGGGAGAAAAGAGGTGTGTGGCAGAGGTGGAAAGTAAGGAATTACATTTACTCACGTTAATGTAACTGAGTAGCTTTTTTGTGTATTTATGCTTTTTAAGTCATTTTTAAAATCTGTACTTTTACTTGAGTATGTTTTTAAAAAAGAATTGTAATTCGCTACATTTTAAATCATATCCGTTACTGAGTGAAAATAAATTGTTGGCTTAATGCATTAAACATATTACGTGTAGCAGCGTCGGAACAGAAAGAGACACCTGCATGAGCACCGCGTCTAAACCGTGGGGGGCGTGGGTGTACACGTTTGATAATGAGGACAAACAGCCATTTTTACCGCAGTTTTGCTCAAAAACATCAGTTCAGTCCCTGTGATCCACTCGCTGTTTCCCTCCTCTCTCCCTCCTCTACCGTGGGTTGGAACCCGCACCTTCGCGCACCGGTGTGACGTCATCAGAATTCCGCTCGGTTCGGCCATAGATATGTATATAAACACGTGTTTATATACATATCTATGGGTTCGGTAGCCGGACTCGGTTCCGTGTTTGAAATGTGTTTTCCCAACCGCTCCGCACAGCAGCGGCAAAATAACGTTTAGCGCTCATAACAAGTGGATTCTCAGCGCTTTGCTCATAAAACAGAAGACCTGCAGGCCTCTGTGAGTTAAAACATCCTAATTCTATTTCAGGTGTAAACATTGTGCTCCATCCCTGTGTTTGAACTCAGAAGATGCTCCTTGATGCCACAGATATGTGATGATTTCGCTTGTTTCTTTATTTTACTCCAGAATAAGAGATTAAATTATTACTAAAGCAGTTCAGTGTAGTTAAATTAGTCATTCAAAAGATTCTAACATGCTGCTGTGTGTGTGTGTGTGTGTGTGTGTGTGTGTGTGTGTGTGTGTGTGTGTGTGTGTGTGTGTGTGTGTGTGTGTGTGTGTGTGTGTGTTACACATATAGGACTGCATGAGACAGTGTGGTTTCATCAAATCCATGCATCTTAATTCTTGGTTGAAGTAATGGTGAACAAAAATAACTTGTATTTCATAAATGACGTCTCAATAGTTTCTACGATAATGTTTTATCTCATCTTTGGTCTGGGGGGTGTAACTTATCATGATGCAAGCCTTTTAAAACATGTTAAAGTGTTACAAGAGCAGATAAATGCATGAATTTAAAGTTCATGTTTGGAGACCAACCTTCTCTGTTTGGAGGCTCACGCTGGTGAGGAGACACCGTTAGTTCTAGTAACACCTGGGCTCCCAAGGCCTGTTCTGAAAGGATGGATGTTACGGGACCCTTAAGGATTCCAGTTGGATGATTGGAGGATTATTTAGGAGGATTGGAATGAACAAACTGATTTCAGTGGTGAAGGGTTAAATGAGTGAGTGAACCCACCACCAAGGATGAACTCTGCTAACTTTAAAAGTCAGCTGCTCTAAATAAGCATGGTGGCGCAGTGGTTAGCACTGTTGCCTCGCAGCACGAAGGTTGCAGGTTGGAAACTCGGCTCGGCTGCGGCCTTTCTGCGTGGAGTTGCGTGTGCATTACTTGTATGTGTGTGTGCATGTAGTTGCATGTATGCATGTGTATGTGTGTGTGTGTGAGCCAAAGGTTTACTCATTGTTGGTCATTCACATGTGAGGTTATGACACAAATGCGTAAATAGGTTTTATGGGTTTTACAAATGTGTAAATTGGTTGTGTTTTTAGAATTTAGAGATTTTAGTGCCGGCTGCTTCACAGTGCTGTCTCGAATTGCCCCTCGGGGACTAATAAAGTTGTCTTGAGTCTTCTCCTCATGCATGTGTGGGTTTCCTCTGGGTACTGCGGTTTCTCCCACATATCACAACATGCCCTATAGGTTATAAATTGTAAGTCGCTTTGGATAAAAGCGTCTGCTAAATGAATAAACATAAACATAAACATAAACATGAAGGTCAGAGAGGAGCTCTAGGATGGACATGGATAAAGGAACTGTAATGTAGAGGTAAAGTAGGGCAGGGCCAACGTTAGCAGCTGTCATACGGTCCATCTGAAATGTTTGAATTTCATTTGGCTTGTTACATTATAAACGATAAATGACCCGCTCTTGTATAGCGCCTCTCAGAGTAAGGACTCCAAAGCGCTTTACACTACAGTGTATCATTCATCCATTCACACACACATTCACACACTGATGGTGATGAGCTACCATGTAGCCACAGCTGCCCTGGGGCGCGCTGACAGGTTAGAGCACAATCTCATGTTAGAGTTTGTCATGAAAACATTGAGATACCTCACATGCTGATGGCATCATTTCTCAAAATAAAAACTAATTTTAATCACAAATGAAACCTATAATCCTAGAGAAACCTCGTCCAATCAATGTGCACATCCTGTTCTCACTGATTGGATAGAAATCCCTCCATCAAACTGTGTGTGTGTGTGTGCGCGTGGCATGCGTGTGTGTGTGTGCGTGCGCGTGCACACACATGAGCGAATTGTGAACTGGCATTTTGATTTTGCACTACTTAGATGTAGCCATCCTTACGCTGACAAAGAGGTAACTAAGTAACTTTTACTTTAAGTACATTTTATTTACAATACTTTTTACTTTTACTTGAGTAAAAATTTAGGCAAGTACTTTTACTTGAGTAAAAAAATTATCAAAGTATTGGTACTCGTACTTAAGTAGGAAATTTTAGTACTCTTTCCACCTCTGGTGTGTGGTCAACCAACTTCACAGGAAGTCAATTTAATGCCATCTAGTGGTCAAATTGGGAATACCGACCACTCCACCAAAAATCTACTATTATTCTAGTGACAAACTTCACTGTAGATGTTTTTATTGGTGTTCATACTTACTTCTTAAAATTACACAATTAAAAGGTAAAACCCCATTTTTCCTCCTAAGCCACGCCTCCAGAATCCAGGAACACAATACTTGTTACTTATGGGCTCGACACACGGGAGGCGATATCGCCTCTCCTCCATTCATTTTCAATGAGACATGCGTGACAAAGCGATAATCGCGGGTCTCCCTCCTACTAAGCAAAACGCGAAAAACGTGCATGTGAAATTTTGCGCTCGTGCACGTGTCGTGCACAGGCGACCCAGCGACGCGATCCCAGAAAGTTGAAACATTTTCAACTTTTCATCGCCGTCGCTCAGATGAGGACCAATCAATGGAGGTTTCATTCACTGACCAATGAGCGGACAGGATGCTCCGTACACCTCCGAGCAAACATGGATGAGAAGTTGATTATTATTATGTTTTATATAGTAAAATCAGAAGTAGGATTTCACATAACTCTAGCAGCACCTTGTGAAACATCATATCTACCGCTTTTTAACTCTGAACAGCTTAAAAAACCTTAATTCCCTCCAACCTGACACAGCCAAACAAAACAACAGAAGTTTCGATTTCGCCACGGAACAGAACGCGTAGACGGCTTTGCCGCTGGCCGCCTCCCGTGTGTCAGGTAATTAAAGCGACAGCGACAAATTTCGCTGATTGCGGTCGTTTGTCGCCTCCCGTGTGTCGAGCCCCTAAGGGTTCTGTTTTTCATTTTCAACACATTACTGGCACCCCTCTGGCATAAATCCTGACATAACGCACCTACATAACATAACCGTATAATAATTTAGTCTGCTAAAGAATATAACGTGGTTCTTTTATGGTGGAAAGTCTTTAGCTTCTTTGGTTTATTCTAACATCTAAATCAATGCAGCTTAGTGCCAAGGACAATCTAGGGAAGCCCCAATAACAACAGGTTAAAACCTGCAGAACCCGACCCAAATGTGTTCAGACTCAACTAATTCCACATACATGTGCACACACACAAACATGTTGCCTTAGCAACAAACTGATATGGCTCTGCCAGCCGACAGGCTGCATTCAGAGACGCCTAAAATGTTCCTAACAAGAGCAGAACCAGACTAAACGGAAAGCGTGATCTCATTAAATGAAAATTTGCAAACAGAATGGAACTTTATGTCCGTTACACTAGTTAACCCGGCTCTGGCTTTGCTTCCTGTTCAGCTGCTTCAAGCAGAGAACGAGGGATTTGTGCTAACGGGGAGCAGTTAAATGGCTGCATCAGGGTCCGATCATTAAGAATGGGGACCAGCAGAATGATTGGATGAGGTTACTCCAGGGTGGTAGGTTTCAGAGGCAATTAAAATGATTAGTTTTTAACAAAACATTTAATTAATTGGTTACCATCAGTGTGTGAAGAGCATCTCATGCAATAGATCAAAAAAAGCTCCAGAAAAGCATCTCCTACTGCACATTTTTACGTTTATACATAAACGCCCACCTTTTATCTTTCAGTGGTGGAAAACATTAGCCTGGCAAGCCAGACTAAATAAATGTATTATTTAGTCTGGCCACGCTCCATTGACGGCTCTCGGTTGTGGAGCGGGTTCTACCGTTGTCTTTCAAATGATCTCCGCATTCCACTGGACAATGAATGTGACGTACTCTCGTTTCACTCTGTTGCATCATCCCACCCACCAGGCATATAGAGTGCCCTGATTGGCCCACAAAGCGGATAAAGCTCTGTGATTTGTTCTCTAAGCAGATAGAGCACTATGATTGGCCCACCATTATGGACCAATCACAGCTCTTTATGTGTTTGAAACCCCTCTAGAGGGTTGTGATTGGCTAGCCAGAGCCCTGGTAGGAGCTGCGGAGGTTCCAATGGAGCATGCCTAGACCAGACTTTGCAAAGCAAGAATTTGGTCTAGTTCACTAGGCTAAAGCAAACCTTCTCATGTCTCACCTGAGATGGCGTACTCTCCATTGGGGGAGGCAACGGTGATGGCGGAGGCATTCCCGATGCTCTCCACTGGACCCAGTCCAACATGGTTGCTAAAGCTCAGCACGTGCCAACCCATCACTTTGGCCAGCTGCTGTACTGCATGCACCTGATGCTGCGACATCTGTAAAAAGGCACGTCGTCACACAGAACAGCTCTCGACTTTCACCACAAACTCATCTACAAACGTAGGCGAGGCACCTGTGAGAGCAGGAAGTCCTGCAGCTCCTGCTCCTGGTGGGACAACGTGATGGCGCGTCCATCCCTGTGCACCACTCGGATCTGTTCCACGCCGATGTTGAGCTGAAGCTGAATGGATCTAAATATGAAGACATATAAGAGCAATCGGGAGACAGGAAGCAGACACATAATTCCTTCCTGGCTTGTCTACTTACTTGCAGATCTGCTCGTAACCATGTGAGGTGATGAGCACCTTGACACTGGACTCGTACACGTCGTTGATATTGGACCAGTGAGCCTGGATCTGAGGGTCTTCAATCCGGCTGGCCAAGCAGTCGATGGTTCGGGCGGTCCTGTCGACAAAAACAAGCAACTTTCCTATATTAATCGTTCGATTTTACAAAGGAAAATAGAATTTGAGATACTTACAAAATGCATTTGTACAATCCTTCAATAAAATATCAACAAAACCATGAACATGCCTGCTCCTTAGAAAGATGTGTTTGGCCTGTTTGATGATCTTCTCCAGTAGCCCTTCGCTCTGTTGCAAGCTGGAGATTTCTGCCTTGTCGTACGCCATCGGCCCCGCCAGGCGCAGGCGTTTGTGTCCGAACGGGGCACTGGCGGGATGCGGCATGACCACAGAACTCAGCTGCTGCTTGTGGAACTGCAACACAAACGAGGCTTGTTTTTAAAAAGGAGAAAACCTAAAATTAGTTCTACGTGAGACCTGCAATCACTGTGGGTCTCTTCAAATATCCGAGGGAGCATTTAAAACTGATTACACGAATAAGAGATATGACCAATTAAATTAAAAAGGTGATTTTTAACTTAAATTTTTTAATTTAGACAAAAATTAAAAATGTTTTTCTTCCTGTTTATTTATTTTTTATTCTTATGTTTGTAGTGTTACATTCGAAGCCAATTTAAAGTTTAACATATTCAGAAGGTTTGTATCTCACCTCTCGGATCATTTGATGCAGATTGTGCTCTAGCACATAAAGATGGTCGTCAGGTTTGGGTTTCTCCGGAGAAGAGCGGTTAATCTTCTTGTCTCCCGTGCAGTGGCAAAGTGAAATTGAAAGCTGCAGACCTACAAATATTAGGTAAATAATAACGTATTTTAAAAATCACAGTAAGAAACACGGTTTGTTTACTCAATGCAAAGAAATCCACTGGTCTGTCATTTGTTTATTTATTTTAGATAGGGTGACTAGCTAAAACGTACAAAGTTAGTCAGACTAAATCCATCTCTAAAGGCTAAATGAAAAACAGGAACAAACCCAAGACATTGCGAGTTCTGACCTGGAAAGGGCTGTGAGATAATCTGATTCTTTACAACAATGTGAGGAATCTGGGATTTAATCTGGACAGCTTCTCTGGACAGTTGAGCAAAGATTTCTTTACAGAGCAAAACGTTCTGAGCCGCCTCCAGTTTGATGTGCCATGGTGTACCTGAACATAGGACAATAATAATAATCAGAATGTAAATAATTAACAGTTATGGGTTTGGCTGATGAACCGTACCAGGTTTGTTTTTTTGTGGCCTCCTGAACAGGTTTACTGTTCCCAGATCACCGATGTCTGGAGATTGTTTCTGGATGGAAACCTGAAAAAAATTATTGATAAGACATTATTTTTATTTCTAACATTCAGTATTCCACATCAGTAATTCACAACTTCCTAATTAGTAAAATAAAAACGGACAGAAAATGATACGTTTTAAACATGAAGATCAGTATAAAAACCTTGATATAAGCCGATCCTTCCAGGTCACTGGGGATCTGAACATCCAGGGGGCAGTAGTCCTCTGGGATCTTTTTATCTAGATCAATGTCGGTGTTTTTGATCACTTCAAATGTGCCATGGTGAGGAAAAAGTGAACCTGTGTGAGTAAATGTTTTAACATTGGGTTAGGAAAGCTTTTTAAAAGTGTTGGAGGTACTTTTGAAAGACGTGGGAATCCTTCTCCCTCACCAGCACTCCGGTAGCTGAGGTCTCCCAGAATTTTGTCTCCCACTTTGCGGAGTTTCCACTGAGAGCGGAGTCGCAGAAGTTCAGTGTTGAAGTCCCGCTGCCTCCGGTTCTCCTGGTTCTCTGCAACTGACTTACTGAGCTTCTCTGCTCCTTTCAGGAGAAGCTGGGCTGCTGTGGCCAATGATTTCTTTTTACTCATCAACTGAAACACCTGGGGTGTCTGCAGAGAGGTGGCAAAATAGAATTCAAATTCAATTCAATTCAAAAATACTTTATTAATCCCAGAGGGAAATTGATTGCTGTAGTAGCTCAGAATAATAACAATAATCAAGTCATCAAAGAGTTGTTGTATAATACAATGGCTGTTGGCAGGAAGGATCTCCAGTAGCGGTCAGTGTTGCAGCCAAACTGAACAAGCCTCTGACTGAAGACACTCTTCCGTTGTCGGACAGTCTTGTGAAGAGAATGCTCAGAGTTGACCATAATTTTCTTGATTCTCTGGAGAATCCTTCTTTGCATCATCTCCTCCAGCAGTTCCGAAACTGCCAAAACTCTGGCTGAGTCCTTGAAAGGGCTTGGAGTTCCTCCATCTTGTTGGCCGGTGATCTCACATTGCCCATTATGATCGATGGAAGAGATGGTTTGAATTTCCTCTTTCTCTGTCTCCGTTTTGCTCCCGCTCTGCATTCACGCTTCTTGCGTTTCAGCTCATTTGGGATTTGTGGCTTCAGTTGAGGTATTATTTCAGCCTTTCCAATGTTAATCAGCTGCTCCTGATTGTAAACCAGCTTGTTGCCATGGTTACGCATCATAACAAATGCTCAAAAAGTGAGAAAAAAGCTAAAAATAGCAGTAAAAATCCTCCAAGCTTCACAGCACCAGAAACAGAAAAGTAAAGTGTCCAAAATACAGTTTTTCTTGAGAAACTAGAAGAAAAATGCCCAAGAAAAGGCTAAACTTACATATAGTCAACAGAGCTACTCCAACATGCAGCCACCCAGAGCAGCGCAGTTCCAGGATAAGAATAAGAATTAAATTATCTGACATATCCTCAGAGAGGAAGCACTGGTCTCATTCAAAAATGTTAAAATAGGAGCATACTTCTTCCACAGTTCTCCCAACTCTGCAGAGTGAGATTCTTTACCTTGCCAGCTGTGGGATCCTGAGACACTGGATCTAAAGCCATGTACTTCTTTTCCTTCACCACACTGAGGACGTCGTACAGCACGCACATCTCCGTCAGGGAACTGCGTAGATTGTTACGCACCGAGTCCCAAGGCCAGAGAGATGGCTGAAACTTCACTGTGTCTGTGAAAATAAACCACAAATAACATTTAAACCCAAAATGCACAAAATAAGTTACATAAGCTAATGGGATTCAGTTTGTTTTGAATTTGTTCTGTATGTAGTGAATTATTCCACGTTAAGATTTATTGTTAAGGGAATGTGTTGAGTTTCTTGTTTATTGAAGGATGGAAAATCCTTTACTGTGCCACATCGGGGGGAATTTCGGCAAATCAGAAATCTATTTTCTGATATCTTTTAAAAACACGTTACCTTCTTCTTCCTCTGGCTCCTGCTTGCCCCACTCTCCGTCCCTGGGCTCACTGTCAACCCCATTCTCCTCAGAGTCTGATCCCTGGCTGAAGTCAATCCTTTGAGCCAACTTTGCCAAGTTCTGGGACATGGACAAAGGGGGGACATATGTCTCGAGTCCATCCAAGCCCACCTCCTGCACTTGTTTCTCACAGGAAGACTCAATGCTGATCCTCACTGCTGGACCACCAGACATGGTGGCACGATGGCTAAACTGAGAAGAAGCAGAAATGTTTTTCAGATGTGGGGACTCTACAGTTTCTCCTATATAATCTGACATATTTTGTATAGGCTGAAAAGGCTAATTTAAAGAGAAAGTCACCTCCAAATCAATATTTTTTGCTGATAAACTGCATAAATATATACTTTTTTTTTCCCAGAACTGCGCTGCTCTGGGTGGCTGCAGGTTGGAGTAGCTCTGTTGACTATATGTAAGTTTTGCCTTTTCTTGGGCATTTTTTCTTCTAGTTTCTCAAGAAAAACTGTAATTTTTGGACACTTTACCTTTCTGTTTCTGGTGCTGTGAAGCTTGGAGGATTTTTACTGCTATTTTTTAGCTTTTTTTTTCACTTTTTGAGCATTTGTTATGATGCGTAACCATGGCAACAAGCTGGTTTACAATCGGGAGCAGCTGATTAACATTGGAAAGTCTGAAATAATACCTCAATTGAAGCCACAAATGCCAAATGAGCTAAAATTCAAGAAGTGTGGATGCAGAGCGGGAGCAAAACGGAGACAAAGAGGAAATTCAAACCATCTCTTCCATCGATCATAATGGGCAATGTGAGATCACCGGCCAACAAGATGGAGGAACTCCAAGCCCTTTCAAGGACTCAGCCAGAGTTTCGACAGTTTTGGAACCGCTGGAGGAGATAATGCAAAGAAGGATTCTCCAGAGAATCAAGAAAATTATGGACAAGCCTGAGCATTCTCTTCACAAGACTGTCTGACAACGGAAGAGTGTCTTCAGTCAGACGCTTCTTCAGTTTCGCTGCAACACTGACCGCTACTGGAGATCCTTCCTGCCAACAGCCATTGTAATGTACAATAACTCTTTGATGACTTGATTATTATTATTATTCTGAGCTACTACAGCAATCAATTTCCCTCTGGGATTAATAAAGTATTTTTTAATTGAATAAATGAGTGTCTAATCGTGTTGTAGAAATATATAGTCAGCAATTAGGCACTTTAGTGCATCTGAGTTAAAATTGAAATATTCTGCCTAAAACTGTCAGTGTTGAATAGATTAAAAACTCTGCACTACATTTGAATTTAAATCTGCCATCGCTATTGGCTAAGAGGTACACACTGACATTAGCTGGTACATTATGATGTCCCGATGCTGTTGTGAGCCTGTTTGTGTGTATTTGTTAGCAGTTCCACCCTTTCAGTCTGCCTGGCAAAAGCATTTGTTGCATTTTTCAAACATGAAGTGGGAGTGGAGTAAGTTTCTTGTGGGGGGGTGACTTGCTCTTTAAGATTGGGATTGAAAATGAAAAACAATGTTAAATGTATTCCTGTATTTTACGAAATGTTTGGGATCCTCAGCAAAATCTTGCTCAATTTCTCATCGTGCTTAGCTTCCAGTGGCTCAGCTATAATTTTAAAGTAATCTCATATAAAATTAGTTCGATTTCTCAAGAAGAGGCTATTATCTGCCTTATTTTTCCTCTTTTCATTTGGTGGAACTTTATATTTTAGCTTTTAGCACATCCTGTATACCTTGTCTACAAGGAAAGGTCCAAAACACAAAACAAAAATAAGAAGACGTTAAGACAAGTTTTGGTTTGGTTACGGATATTAAATTTTAGCTCTTGCTAATTAAATACCTTTATTTCAATGCCTTGTTAGCAACTAGCTTGTTTAGCCTGATTTAGCCTTTTGCTCGTAGGTAGAATAAAAAACTGAAAGCTAAAGGGTTCTCTGCTATCTGCGTGGCAACAGAGTTCATTTGTAATAAATCTTACCTTTTGGTATTTAAAAACACGAAATAAAACGTTTTCCGGCAGAAATTAGAAGGATTTAGGATTTTTAGCCGTGCGTCTCTCGTTGTGAATGGTTGTGAACGTAAGATCAGGATGTTCGCATCGCTTACACACACCGGACAGAGCCCTGTTCAAATCAAGCAGGACGCTTACCCTGTCACATTAGGACAATTTTACAAATATGCCCCTTTACCTGCCACAGACTTTCAATTAAAGGTTGATCGTTAAATTTGAGTTTATGTTTTGTAAATTGTAGACGCGTCAAAAGTAAAAAATAAAGCTTTTAAACCCCGACAAATTGTTTTTAATTTAAGGGAACATGGTACCGCTTACCATCACTTTAACCGGTGATGAATAAAAGAAGCGAACCTAGTGTCACAGCATAATAAACCCCAGGTGTTTTTATTATCGAGTGCGACTAAACAGTACACCAACAAGCTGGATGAAAGTAAAAATATTTTGATGTACATTTTAATTTTTTTTGTTTTGTGTGATATTGGCAACATGATTTTTTTAAACACAAGTGTTTAGGTAGGAACGGAAAACCCAAATCATTTTATACGTACGGGATGGATAAAACGTGCAGTTCAACTTCAAACTACCGGATGTGACGTTAAGAACGGCCGTTTTTTTCCCCCACTTTAGTATTTTCCTCTCAACAAAAGTTTCTGGTTTAAAGTTCTCTTTTGTGCAAATTTTTTAACTTAGTTCTCCTTTAACGCTGTAAATGTCTCATCGGTTTGTGGTTGTACCAAAACCAAAGTGTGGTTGTACATTAATTAAGGGAAGCTAGCCAAAAATTAGCCCGTATTAGCCTCAAAAGCTTTAGAGAAATGTTCGTCTGTGAGAAAAATGAAGGGAAAAGTGTCGCGATTAAGACTGAGCCCCAACGAAGAGGCTCGGATAATTCGAGAGGAGCATGAAAGAAGGAGAAAACTACGAATACAACAGGTGATCATTGACATTAACACACATTTGTATTGTTCGCTTCAAATGTAATTGCTAATTTGGGCTCAAAATGCGTTTTATTGCCGCACAACAAAATATGTTGTTTTTCATCTCAGGTGCGGGAGCAGCAGAGGTACATCGCACAGCAGATCCGTCGTAAGGTTGAGCAAAGACGGCAACATGAGCTTCAACTGCTGGAGAAGGAACTGCGGGAGAACTGGGAGCGTGAACACGGGGAGAAACTCCAAACACTGGAGAGGTTATACCAGGAGAGTCTACAGCTGGTCGGCCAGAGCCACAGGAGCGCAAAAGAAAATGTAATATAATTTATCAGGAATAGTTTTCACAACTTGTAAGCGCAGTTTATGGCACTGATGGAGCATCACCTTAATGTAAACAAGACGCAGGATTTGATGTGTAGCCGTATAAATCATAAAATTATGGAAATTAAAATTTGTCTTAAATCTAAACTGCATTAAAATATCTAACTTGCATTAATCTCTTTTTGGCTAATTAAAAAAATCTTTATTAAGGAACCCGACCTTACAGCCATGGTTCAGAAAGAAGAGGAAAATCATGCCAAAGCAGAGGAGCGTTTTCGAGAAGCACTAAAGGAGCTCAAAACACAAAAGATCAAAGATCATGAGAGGCAAAGCCAGTAAGACGTGATAAAATAAGCTGTGTTCATGTTTGATTGACAAGTATGAACAAAACTGATTTATTGTTTTGTAGATCCATCGGTGCCAGGAAGAAGGCTCTACAGGTCGAAAAGGAAAGATCAGCGAAAGTGGCCAGCCTCCCTCCACCTGCTCCAAACCTCATTCAAGTAATCAAAAAAATTTCACCATACTTGATAACCAGCAATGTATGGTTGAATAAATAATTTAATATAGTAATCACTCCTCTCCAGAGCAACTGCTTACAAACAAAACACTGGGTGAGAAAGTCACCCCCTACCAGAGTCTTACTCCACTCCCGCTTCCACTATTTGAAAAATGCAACAAATGCTGTTGCCTAGCAGACCGAGAGGGCGGAGCCGCCAACAAATACACACACACAGGTTGTTTCTCAATATGCATACTTGTCCGAACTTGTGTACTCACGTCCTTGTAAAACTTCATCAACGATGGCCCAAGGACTGTTCCAATCCTAAGTATGCGCAACGGCAAGTAGAAGAAAGTATCATTTCTATAGCGCCTCTCAAGATAAAATCACGAGGCGCTTCACAAAAAATGTAAAAATATAAAAAAGCATTTAGAAAATGTTTAAAAATATATTTAATATGAGTCAAAATAGGCAATTGTGATAAAAAAAATGTTAAAGAGAGAAAGTGAACACGAAAGAGGGAAAGTTCGTTTAAAGTTCACAGATGTGTTCTTGCTCTGCCCATTGTATCGAGGATGCATCAATGCATCCTTCTGCGGACTTGGGACAGCAAAGTTTCTCACATTGCATTGCGGATTGCATTGCATTTTTTCCGGGACTGCGCTGCTCTGGGTGGCTGCATGTTGGAGTAGCTCTGTTGACTACATGTAAGTTTTGCCTTTTCTTGGGCATTTTTTCTTCTAGTTTCTCAAGAAAAACTATTTTTTGGACACTTTACTTTTCTGTTTCTGGTGCTGTGAAGCTTGGAGGATTTTTACTGCTATTTTTTAGCTTTTTTCTCACTTTTTGAGCATTTGTTATGATGCGTAACCATGGCAACAAGCTGGTTTACATTCGGGAGCGGCTGATTAACATTGGAAAGGCTGAAATAATACCTCAACTGAAGCCACAAGTCCCAAATGAGCTAAAACGCAAGAAGCGTGGATGCAGAGCGGGAGCAAAACGTAGACAGAGAAAGAGGAAATTCAAACCATCTCTTCCATCGAGCATTCTCTTCACAAGATTGTCTGACAACGGAAGAGTGTCTTCAGTCAGAGGCTTGTTCAGTTTGGCTGCAACACTGACCATTACTGGAGATCCTTCCTGCCAACAGCCATTGTAATATACAATAACTATTTGATGACTTATTATTGTTATTATTTTGAGCTACTACAGCAATCAATTTCCCTCTGGGATTAATAAAGTAATTTTGAATTTGAATTGAATTGAATTTGCATCGCAAACCATTAAACTCCGAATGTCAGAGGAGAAAGCTAATAACTGTAATGTTTAATATTAGAAATACAAATAAAATAATCTAAAGTTGACTGTTATTGTAAAAATCACGTGTAAGCTATAAATTTCGCTGTGTGTTTGGGTTTTACTCTTCACGATCCTTCGTAATGCTAATTAGCTAACCCAGTATCAAAATAAAAGCACCGTAGGTCTGTTGTGATGAGAAATACTTTTTATTCATTAAAGAGCACGAAATGCTAGTATTTTAATAGTTTTGATCAAGAGTGGGCCAAATATAATACAAATAATATGTTGTTTTTGTTATTTAAGGAACAAACTAGACTTTTATTTTTATGTCAGTTTTTTTTATTTTATTTTTTTTACTGTAGCAGGAAGCAGCGCTTGTTTCCAGGACACACCGGAGTATGGTTCTGTTCCAAATGCCGTCCTCGTCCTCCCGTACTCGTTAGAACAGACTTTCTGGTGTCCTTGCCAAGAACGTACTTGTCTAGTACACTAGCTTCCTTGAGGATTGAGAAACGGCCACAGGCTCACAATGACATTGTGACGTCATGATGTACCAGCTAGCGTTCTAGTATACCTCTTAGCCAATAGCGATGGCAGATCTAAATTCAAATGCAGTGCAGTTTTTACCTGACGACGGCACAACACTGACAGTTTAGTAGTTTAGGCAGAAAATTAAAATTTTAAGTAAGATGCACTGAAGTGCAATATTATTGACTACATGTGTCTACAGCATGATTAGACACTCTTTTGTATAGTTTATCAGCAACAAAAGTTGATTTGGGGGTGACTTGCTCTTTAAGGTTCTCAGCTAAAGCCGGGCGTACACTGTGCGACTTTTTCACTTTTTTGAGCCGATTTTCCAGTCGTGCGAGAAGCCACGACATCGGGGCGAGTTTTGCGCCGAGCGGTCGTGTAGTGTACAGGGGGTTACGAGAGGCGATTAACACCAGCTGCCGATCAGCAGTCGTGAGGTCGCAGGGACTTCTGGTGTGTTTAATATTTCGCTCGTCCCTCGTGAGGGTATCGCACTGTTGAAGCGGCGCTGCGAGCAGCTGCGAGCAGCTACGATCCAAAAAGTATCAGAACCGCTCACGGCGCATGCGCGCGCAATCCTGCATCAACGCCGGCCGGTCGCTCGCTATTTCCCTAATAACACACGCTGTTCGTTTTTGTTTCTACACGTTTTTTTACTCACAAAGATTGTCAAGAAAGCGTGTTTGTCGTGTTCATGTCAAATTAAACTGATCACAAAACACAGATTCACTTTCTTTATTTCGTTTTCCTCATCCAACCCCCATAAAACCCTGTGTGTCCTCCTGCAGCACTCCCGAAGGACAACAGGCAAGACAAAAAAGTCTGACGTGTTGAGTAAAAACTGCTATTTTTAGCACATTTTTAGGGCCGACGTGTTGCTACCAGACGTACAGTGTGAGCAGTCAGGTCGCATGCGAGAACTGGGTCGTACAGTGTGAGCACATGACTCGTGAGATCTGCTCTGCGAGGAAGTCGTACAGTTTGAGCTGAAGCTGAACGCTGCGAGTGAAAAAGTCGCACAGTGTACGCCCGGCTTAAGACGCCTGTCTCTTCTTGTTCAAGCAGAACATTGATCCCAAAAAGCCACGCACAGGAAGGAGATATGATCCAAGTTTCTTCGCTAACACATATTACCACATGATTGAGAGCGCCATAGAGACCGAGGCAGAAGCGATTCAGGTAAGATCTGTAATTTTTGTCCAGATGTCGTTTGTCAGGATCTTTCGTGCCAGATTTGTCTAATCAGGGGTTGGATGTGCAGATTAATGCCCATGAGGAAGCTCAGCTGGAGGAGAGGAGGCTGCAGGGCCTGCAGGAGGAGGAAACCAGGAGACGAGAGGAGCAGGTGGAAAAGGCTCGTCTCAGAGGGCGGCAGGCTCTGAGGAGGGAGCATCTTGTGCAGGTTACCTGACTTTAAAACGGAACTAAAGCAGGTTTCTACAGATTTGCCATAAGATTATGATCACTGTATTACTGATCAGGCTTTGTCTATTGAAGGTAGTTTATCATTCTCTCTGATTGTGGTATTTTGGTATAAATCTTGCATAAGGGAAGGGAAAAAAGTTAAATATTTATCTTTTAGGACATTATATTATATTTATTGTATTTACTGTTTAGGGAGACTGGATTTGTGTTTATATCCATTTTGAGACATTTTTAACTGCTAAATGTTCACAACCTCAACGTCCTCTTTCATCAGATAGCTAACATGTCTTTCCCAGATGATGAATGTTTAAGTAAAGTAGGTCCACTGCAGCTTTTTTGTTCCTGACTGGTTTCTTCCTGGTCTTCAGGCTCGTGAGCGTTTCCTGGTTGAGTTGGAGCACCTGCATCAGACTGATCTGCTGAGGAGGAGACAGCAGGTGTCACAGATGCAGCCGCAGATCTTTCAGCCTCTCTATAAGAGACAAGAGACGAGGGAGGACTTTCAGAGGGAGATGGAGTTTGCCTTCGAGGACATGTATACAGGAGAGAGACGTGAGGAGTTTGATGTGTTCTGCGTAGATGTGAAAATGACATCCATTCAACACAAGTTTACATGTCGAGTACTAATAGGGTCATGTGTGTGTGTCTTCTCAGGGGTTAAAGGTGACCTGGTGATCCAGCTGGTTCCTGAGCCTCTTCCAGCTCTTTCTGCCAGTAGCCATGATCAAGAGCTGGATGTTACTTTGGATGAAACCGCCGTGCCTGAAGCAGAAAGTGCGCAGAATGACTCAGAACAAGAAGTTGGAAGCAGTGAGAAGGAGACCTCTGCTGAAGGTGAAGAAAAGAATCACATTAAAAGTCTTAAATGGGACCTGTTTAAAAAAGGGAGGAAAGCTGTTGCACCTTTGGCTTTTCAAAGTAAAACTTGTAATCTCAATACCTTTTTTAACATTTCAAGTGGAGCCTTCAAAGCCGGCTCCTAGACGGGCTCTGAGGAAACTTCTGGATCGGATCAGGAGCCAGAGGGACGAGTGGATTAACAACGGCAGTCAGGACTCTGCAGCGGATTCACCAACAATCTTCACAGAGCAGATCCCAGACAGAGACACGACCATCGAATCAGGATCTTTACCCAGTGAGGAGAAAGACAAACAGACTCCCTTTGAGCTCCGCAAATCCACCATCCCCCCTCCAGGTCGAGCATTTGCTTTTGTAATATTATGTGTTCTAAAAGCATTTAGTGAATGGTGAAAGTAATTATGGGATGTGAGCTTTTAAATCATCCCCCTGAAACTGGAGATTGATGTTTCACATCCACGTGTGTTTGACTCCACCAGGCATGGAGCCAATAAACCAGCCAGACCATTTGCTCCCTGACCCTCTCGCCAGCAGCATCCAACAATTTGAAGAACAAAAGAAAAGAGTACATTTCTTTTTCGTTTTCTCCCTTCACATTCGTTTATTTATGAAGAATTTGGGGCCATGGTCCAACATGAGATTTTTTTGGGGGGGTGACTGAAGCAGGCAACAGCCGTGTGTTTCCTTTGTAATTTTATTATATTTATTTATTTCTCAGGAGGAAGAGCTTGAGAAGGAGAAGCAGCAGCAGCTGTTCCTGTTGCAGGAGCTGGAGGAGCAGAAAGCCAAACTAGAGCAGATGCTGCTGGAGGCTCAGCAGGAGAGGGAGCGTCTGAAGGCGGCTGTGACCCGGGAAGCAGCTCTTAATCAACCTGAAGCACCTGTCAGGAACCAGGAAGTCTCTCCTGGGTCAACCACTGAGGTAGGCCCAGATACACTCAGGATCAGGAGAACTGATAGTGTGGATCAGGTGTTTTGATTTAGGACATTTTGAACTGAATGTTGTTTTTTATTTGCATGTTGAGTCGGTTCCTCCTGCTGGTGAGGATGACCACACCAGAAGAATCAGAGAATATCAGCAACGGCTGTTGGAACAAAACAGGTGTGAAACGTACCTTCTCATTCCACCTCTTCACACAGACGTCGTCGAAACCGCAGAAACTGAATGATTTGAGTTTCATTATTTTTAAGAGTTCACCAGAGATCAGTGGAAGTGGCTCGTCAGCGTTTGGAAGAATACCAGCGAGCTCTACAAATTCGCCACAACATGAGCAGCAGATCTTTTCTCCCTGGTGTCATTCAGTCGCCTGTGCGTGGTTTTAACTGTTCAATTCCTGTTCACCTCCACCCTACGCCTGCAGGGCGTCCAAGCGCTCAGAATCAACCACAGATCTTTATGGACACTGCCACAACGTCTAGCTCACCTCCCTGTCCTGCTTCCAGTGGCTCCAAGTCGCTGTTGGAAGAATCTGCTTCAAACACCTTGAAGATGCAGGGGGCTGATGTCTGTGATCAGCTGGCTGACAGCATAATGAAGAGAGTAACAGAACATTTACCAGAGAGACTGAGACCTTCTCCTGTTTCTAAAGAGCAGCTGTCTACAGCACACGACTCAACCATCTCCCAGTCAACCTCTGATCCTAGCCCGAGCATCTCCAGTGGTGCTCCTCTTGATCCAGGTTTGCAGCCCGTGTCTCTGTTCTCCAGGGAGGACGGTATGGAGCAGCAGAAGCGAGAGCTGCAGGAGGCCCGGATACGGGTGGTGGAAAAGAGGGAGGCAGTGGTTCAGCAGCAGAAGCTGCAAGAAGAAGAGAGACAGAGAAAGATGGTAGAGATGGAGCAGATGAGGAGGCAAAAGGAGACGCTGCAGGCTTTGATTAAGACGAATGAACAGGTATGCAGAATTATTGCATTCAGATCTGATTGTTTTGGCTGTGATGGTTATCGTTCAACATCCTGGTGTATCTTCTCACCTACAGCATGTGTCAGACCTTCCCAGTGAAAGATTGGAGTCAGAGGAGATTGGTCAAAATCGGCTCCGGTTGCTTGCCTCCCTGCTGAGGACCATTGAGGAGTCAAATGGGGGGAGTTTATCACATTTGGAGGAACCTGAAGACATGGAGGACCCTGGTGAGAAATGAGATTTCAGAATTAGGGATAATCTCTAAATATCTTTAATAAAAGACAAAAGTTACTTAAATGTGTTTTTTATTGTAGTTCAGGTCGCCGTTCCTCTTGGACCTCCTCAGATTTCAGATTTCCCATCAAGACATTTTCATCCTCGAGCCCTCAAACCCCCCGTGACACGGATGAAAATGGGCTTCAAAGAAATTATGGAACCACATGAGCTCAGTGTCATTCAGGAGGCAGAGACTCCTGTCAACATCAGTCAAGTTGCAGGTCTGATGAGTCTCTAAAGATTGTCCTAAACTCAGGCCATGCAGAGACCATGTCCAACTGATGCTCTTTCTGTAATCTCCAGGCCCTGAAGATGTGAACATTAATTTGTGCATCGCAGATCCAAGTCTGCAGGACGAGTCAATATCATTCGTGTCATCTGACGGGACACCGTCTGTGTGCAGCAGCGGACAACGGGCAGCTGAGAGACGAGTCGCCTCCGAGACATCCAGCCATCTTGTCTGGAGAGAGCGACTCCTTTCAGGGGCAGGATCCCCTCCAAGAGCTCCGGACTTTGGTAAGTTAATGACAACAGAGTGAAAATGGCAAATAAATTATAGGAATGTAGTTGGGATAACACTTCCTGTTTTTGTAGTTTCCATCCTGAAAACAATGTCGCCACTTTCTTCTGATTCTGGAAGAGGAGCGGACTTTTCTGGTCTTGCAAACGCCAGCTACAGATCTCCTACCGAGGTACAAACGTGCTGTTTTTCCTGTCCAGTTGCAGTTAAAGCCACATATAAACAATATTTCACACACCAGTGATTGAGCCAGCAAGCAGATGAATTTTACTGCATATTTTATTTTTATCCACATTTAAGTCCCCTCTGAGGTTCACAAGCTGTGGATCAATGATGAAAACAGCCAAATCTGAGTCTGAGAGCTCAGCAGCCTGAGCCTCGGTCTGTGATTATGCTTGAGAAGCTTGTGTGTGTGTGTGTGTGCGTGTGTGTGTGTGCGTGTGTGTGTGTGTGTGTGTGTGTGTGTGTGTGTGTGTGTGTGTGTGTTTACGTGGACACATTTTGACTTTAACCTGTAATGTGTGGACATTTCTACATTGTGGGGACATTTTACTGGTCCAACAATAAGCACCCTAAAACTTGGTTTTAGAGGTATGGTGTGAATTCGCCTTTAGTTCAGGTTAGGGTTGGGAATAGAACCCTATTGGTCATGATTAGAGTATGGGTTAGGCATAGTGGGGTCACTAAAATGAATGGAAGTCAATAGAGGTCCACACAAACATATACATACGTGTGTGTGTGTGTGTGTGTCTTTGTCTGTATGTTTCTGTGTTCTTCTGAGCGATGATGTGAAACCTTTGAACCTGAGGTGTATTAAATAAAAATACATTCATGATGGTTTATACACTTGAACTGAGCTCAGTGAATCTGTTTGTAATAATAATGTTTTAATCTAAAAACAGATACTTTATTACAGATTAATGATGTCACTGAGATGATGTCATCTGATAGAAACAAATTAAATACAGAAGCTTCTGTTTCTTCTGTCGAGTACATTTACATGTGTGTGTGTGTGTGTGTGTGTGTGTGTGTGTGTGTGTGTGTGTGTGTGTGTGTGTGTGTGTGTGTGTGTGTGTGTGTGTGTGTGTGTGTGTCAGCCTCTTGGCAGTTCTCCACGGTCGGAGTGCCTCTCCACCACGATTTCCAGCGGCAGCTACGTCACCACAGACCCCGAGCGAAACGTTAACACCGGTGTGTGACCGCAAGAGCATAATCTCACCTTCAAACAGAATCTTGATGTTTAACAATAAACATTCTGCAGTTCCATGATGCAAGAATCACTCTCTAAAGGCTCACTGAATATTATTCTTTCTGTTTTAATAGATACAATTTTGTCCTCCAAGCAAAGAAGTGGAGCAGATTTAAGCAACGTCTCTTCTCCACCTTGTCCAACTCTGCGTACGGAGGAGAACTCTTCGGCAGGCTGTTCTCCTTTGTCTGCTGTGTTTAATGGCCACAGCATCCAGAGTATTATTGATAAATACACCAGGGAGCTCGATGTGTCCCTCAGTGCTGCAGGAACTGCAGCAGGTACGTATCCTACATGCTTCCTTTCCAGTCTAACTCTGTGAATGCCCCATTCATAGTTGACACAATTCTTTTGTTTGTTTATTTTTGTCCCAGGGAGGAGGACGGACGATGAAATTTCAACAAGTCATCTGTCTCTGCTGTCTCACTCTGCAGGAACTCAGAGGAGTGTCCTGGTCAGTTTCTCAGACTTTCATAAGCTAATCCTATAACATCTTTTAACATAAATACTTTAATGTACTATTAAAACCTCCTAAAGATGGCATTTGTGAATTATTTTGGGGTTTGTAATGTGGGAATTGGGTCAGTATTCACACAAGTGTGGAAGGCTGTTATAAAATCTAATGTCCTGATTTTATTTATTATTGTTAAGAAATGCAGGTAATGCATATAAATTTTAAGCAAAGTTAAGAGTTGGAATAATAATAATTATCTTATTCCAGATTACTAAATTTGTCAAAACAACAGTTTACCATTAAATCTAGCTATTATATATATATATATATATATATATATATATATATATATATATATTAATGGTAATTTTGATATTGATACCAAATTTTTCTCACATTTTGTTGCAAAATTTATTAGGGGTGTTTAATTGTGAAAATCCGGCGATATGATATATACTGCAATGCTAAAAGCTGGACGACTGTTGCAAATTTGAATTTAATTTGTTATCGCAAGATTTCCTTGCTGCCACCTAGCAGTTGGAGTTTGAATTAGACCTCACAAAAGGAATACAGTAAATGTTTGCATGTAAATTCTCAATAAAAACGGATACACTGCTTTTAAATATTGATTCGGTATCATAACACAAAACATTGCTATATTTTAGTGTATTGATATTTTCTTACATTCTTAAAAGCTTTAAAGGGAAAAGGGTGCAGTCCTACGGTGGATCAGATAGACTAGTTGAGTAATTCACCTTAAAAACTGGTTATAAATGATCATAATAGTGAAGTTAGGAGTCAGTGCTGCGGGTTGTAAGTTTTATTGGATGTGAAAACATTCCTAAACCTGAAGGACGCCTCGTTTGTGGTGTTTTTGCAGGAGCGCTTTTCAGCTGAAGGCTCGTTTCTGACTGAGGATCACACACAGGACTCTTTCCGACCTTTGATTGGCCATCTGACCGACCAATCATCCTGTCTGGCTGCTGATCAGAGGGAGTCTGCCCTGGAGCAGCTGGTCGGTCAGCCATCAGCTCACTCTTCAATAATCGGCCATCTGCCAGGAACTTCTGCCTCTCCCAGCTTTGATCGCGGTGGATGGGACTCCACTCTGAGTCGGATGATCGGCCGGCTTTCCAACCTTCCCAGTTCTCATTGGCTGAGTCCTGGGAATGATTTTACAGCTGGTCAGCTTACGGGTCAGATGTTGGCCGAGTCGTCATCATTGGAGGAGAGTCGTATGAGACCGCTGGCTGAGGAGCTGGATGAGTCCGCTGACCAGCACAGCAGAAACTCAGGTAGAAGAACTGTGAGGAAACTCAAATTTACATTTAATGGTCATCAAACTCAAATATTCTGATTTCACTTTTAGAGTTTGTAACATTTTCACATTTTTTTAAGTTTTTGTACTTCATTGTTTAGTTTAAAAGTCAAATATTTTATCAAAGAGCTCCTAAAATACTCTAAAATATCCCAAAGAGTCTCATTATGTTAAAAGTTTTATACAAACTCAGCTGCTGTTTGCAGAAGAACATCATGTGGCTGTCTGTGTTTCCACGGAAGAGGGTGTTCTGTCACCTGGAACGTCGCCATCCGAGGCCTCGTCTCACAGTACACCGTTCCCAGCTGTAAGTCAACATCTGCAGGACCCAACCAGTCCAGGGAACAGGGCTAAAGAAGGTGAGAAGGAAAAACAAATATTCAGCAAAAGATGCTTCTTGAATAAGTTAAATACGTAAATGTTAATGCTTAAATCATAAAAGTAACAAATGAAGTTTGAGGAGTTAATATAAATAACTTCCAACATCTGTTTCTCAGATTCATTTCACCCGCTGCCCGCTGAAATCACCCACAATGAAACGGCCGACTCCTCCATGACCTTTCATTTTCCTCAACACAATTTGTCGGATGTTCCTGAAGGACTTCCCAGCCAGCATAACGTTTCCACACCTTCTGTAGATGCTTTCTCGTCTCCTGAGCAGTTGCGTACTGAGGATCCGAACTGTTGTGCTGCTTCCTCTTCCTTTCACGGATCCTTCTCCCAGCTCGTTATCTCTGAGCACCCCCCTCAGGACTCTGTTGTCATTGTGTCACCAAATTTAAAGGCTAATGAGGAGCAAAATTCTTGCACCCTGTCAAATTTAACCATGTGTGATGACGCACCAGGCCCGGAGATGGCAGATTCAGTGGTGGTGATGTCAGGTGGAAATGAAAACTGGGGGGATTCTCCTGCTTCAGATGACAGATTGGTATTCTTTATTCTTTAGCTGATCAGAAATACGTCAAAATGTGATTTTGCTTTGCTAACTCACTTTCCATCTTGTTTTTTCAGACATCAGCCAGTGAGAGAGGGATCCTTGAGCAGTCAGAGATAACGTTGGTAAGTCTGACAGACACCACCGTACAGGACGAGGAGGTGACGGTCACCGAGGAGGAAGAGGACTTACCAGAGGAAACCAGGACGGATAACCAGGAAGGCCATGAGATGATGGTAATGTACCCCAGTGCTGACATTAATGTTCAGCATGTGTTTATTTTTAAATTGTACATCAATTTCTGATTTTGTCCACTAGGGGCTTGAATCTACATTGTCATGCAATGAAACTCCTGAGAAGAACTGTCAGACACTTCCTGGTACAATCACAGAAGCTGAAAACTAAAATATGCTTTTTTTTTTTTTACTTTTTTTTTCTAACATTTCTTTTTGCCTAAATATGTGGAGTAATAAAGTTAGACACTTTTCCTGTCTTGTCTTCAGTGACTGTCCTGGAGTTTCAGTGGGGTCCTGGTGAAGACTTGCAGAACGTTTTCCAGCAGAGGCGTGACGCTCTTCTTCTGAGATCCAACCGCAGGGTGGAGGAAATCAAAGCCAAAGGTGCTTGTGCCAAGAGCCAGCGCAAGAGGCAAGCTCCATTTAAAGGAAGTGAGTCGGCAAAAGCCAGTGGTGGTCTTCCTGTCACCTGTGTGGAAAAAGCTTCACCAGAGCCTCAACAAAAGACAGAAACCCGGGCGAAGACGCATGTTCAACCTCAAGGTACTGATTTTACACATAATGCATGTTTTATTGTTTCCTTTTGCCATGAAAAAAAATCACAAGACCCAGAGGTAGGGACCTTTTGGACACAAAACACGTTTTCCTTTACCATGCCTGTGCATCCTTTCCTTTTTTTTCTTTTTTTTTTTTGTGAATGTAAATTAATTTGCAGCTTTTGTTTTAACTTGCATGTGTTTTTCCCCTCAGTGAGAAACTTCAGACTCAAAAATGCAGATAAGGTGAAGATCTGCACACCTGAGCAAAGGAAACATAATCTTTCTGAGATGCACATAAGAACTCAGAGGTACCATTTGGATAATTTCACTTCCACTCCTTCCACTCAGGAGGATTCATCTAGACTTTTCTCTGCAGACTTTATGAGCAGCTGGAGGAGGTGAAGCAGCAGAAAACCAAGACCAGACAAGAGGATTATGCCAAAAACCGGATGAAGGCAAAGGAGTTCCACAAGGTAATATTTAATTTTATACCGAAAAATTCAGTCCTGTTAACATTTGTGCTGACGATGAATTTTTCTCTCCACAGAAAACGTTACAGAAGCTTCGTGCCCAGCAGACTCGACAGTGACATTAAGTCATCTTCGTCACATTATCTTAGTGTTTTAATTTAATTTATTTCACTTTAGTTTTTTTTAAATCAATAAACTATTGAAACAGTTTGCTGTGAAAATCCATTTTTGATTTGCAAAACATTAACAAATTCAATCAAATGGCTAAATTCAAGATGATAAAAATCAACAGAAAATAGGTGGGGTCCGTCCCCCCCGTCCCCCCCCCCCCAAAAAAAACATTTGTTACGACGTGCGTAAAAATGGTATTTGTGCTTCCTGCTACTTTGCACAAACTGTTCACAATGGGAGACACACGTCTACATTCAGCTTTGGTGTTAGCAGCCCAGTAAAGACTGAAAACTACACAATTCATCTTCTCACACAAAGGCCACAGCGGACAGGTGGAACCTGCTGCTGCTCTCACAGTTTGGAGAAAACCACTGCTTTGGGACTCTTCTTCTCCATGGCAGCCTGAGCTGATTTCATCACATCTTCTGTCTGAAGCATGCTCATGTTCCATGTGGCCTGGAAAAGTGTCAACAGAGTCAACTTTAGCACAAGGAACTAACAGGAATAGCAATTTTCTGATAAAAATGAATGTAGCACCTACTACAAAAATCCTGGTAGCTCGATATTAATCTGATGTGCTCTTACCATATAGTTCAGTCCCTCGGCCACGCTGTGATCTCTGGAATAGAGCAGGTTTTTTTTGGTTCCCTGCACAGCCACAGGGCTGCGACAAGCGATCTGTCCCGCCATCTCAAGGGCTCCAGCCATCATCGCCTCTTTATCTGCAAACACGCGGCTGCAGGGGAGGAAAAAAGGTTTCTTTGCTGTAGTTTGAAAGTTTAAGGAGTTGAATTTGCCTCTAATCTTCAGTTGAAGTGATCAATTTCCCTAAAGGTCTTTCCATGGTTTTGTTGGACTTCTGCAGCTTTTTCTCATTTTAGATCTAGTCTACCCTAACTTAAACTGGGAGCCAACTTAATGACACAGTATTTTCTCTGACTTGACTAACAACCGCAGTCCATTTTAGCCCGTACGTGTGATCCTGCTGGTAATCAGGAATGTGTTTTACCTGACGAGTCCACTGCTCTTGGCTTCATCTGCAAACATCTTCCTGGCTGTAAGCGCCAACTCGTTCACCAGACTAAAAAAGCAAGAGATAATTACAATAAACATGGATTTCAACAGAAAATAACAAGAACCATAACCCCAGTTTGTTAAAATGTTAAGTTTCACCTTCGACTGCCTATGACTTTAGGAAGTCTCTGCAGAGTTCCAACGTCTGCTGCAAGTCCAATATCAACTTCCTGTCCAGTCAAAATACACAAACCCAGTGCTATGGAAACATCTCTACACATTTATATTAGTTTAAAAAATCATTAACTTTGGAAAGGAGTAATTCTTGCTGTCTTAATTTATTTTTTATTTCACCAAATGATAAAATCAGCTTAACACACCTTAACCTGAAACCAGGCATCCTGGGTGCAGAGACGAATGTCACAAGCCGTAATCAGGTCAACACCTGAAATAAAATAAACATTAATATTGAACTCATTGACTAATTTTCTTCTACTAAAATCAAATTCATGAAACTTACATTTCAATCATGCTAACTGTGCGTTTTCTATCTTAAAATTAGTGACTCAAAAAGAAACAAAACAGTGGTTCAGTGTTTAAATCTGTTTATGCAACAGGTGAATCCTATAGGAAGCACAAATCATGGCTTCAGCAAGTTCGTCTCAGTTTTAGTATTTTATCTAAAGATACTTCTTGGTGAACGTCACTTGAGAATTTCTTTTGTGCCCTACCTCCTCCAATACAGGCGCCGTGAACAGCCACCACAACAGGCTTTGGACACTACAAGCAGATAAGAATAACTTCATTAACATTCCTGCGTCATTATTTGTCCAATGCATGTGATGAGGAGCTCTGACCTTCTCTATGACGGAGAACGTTTCTTGATATTTGGTGATGGTTTTTCTGAGGTTCCAGGAGATTCTTGCCACGTCGTCGCCTTTCGGCTGGAGGATATCATTGGCCATGTCCATCAGGTCAAGACCTGGACATCAACAGAGCATACGGAATAAGCGCAGCTCCGCTGATGAAACTGGCATTAGTTGTGACCCGAAACACACCAGCTGTGAACATCCTTCCTGCTCCTGACATGACCACCACCCTGCAGTCTTGGTCGTCTGCAATCTCATTAAAACAGTCCACCATCTCACTAAAAAATAAAAACACAAACACTATGTCAGGGCTGCTTCAACTATGGATGCGTTTGCAGCTAAGTTTCCGTTAAACTGGATTATTATTAATGTAAGTGATTAAATTTTATTTGTGTGGCACTCCTCACAGACAAAATCACAAAGTCATTAAATCATAGTCATCATAATGATGTGTGATGTGATTTTAATAAAATTATCCAAATAAAAGATTAAATTTAGATGCTTAAACCAAATATTAATGACCTCAAAGCAGAAATCCAGAGCTTTACCCTTTTCAGGAATTCTGTATGATTTTTTTTTTAGTAATCCGTAAAAGGGATAGGCTTCCCCTGTTCTGTAATATAATGTAAATGGAAAATGGCCTGTATTTGACATAGCGCCTTCTAGAGTCCTGGGACCCCCCAAGGAGCTTTACAACACAGTCAATCACCCATTCACACACACATTCACACGCTGGTGGGGATGAGCTACAATGTAGCCACAGCTGCCCTGGGGCGCACTGACAGAGGCGAGGCTGCCGTGCACTGGCGCCACCGGTCCCTCTGACCACCACCAGCAGGCAAGGTGGGTTAAGTGTCTTGCCCAAGGACACGACAGCGACAAACTGAGCGGGGCTCGAACCTGCAACCTTCCGATTATGGGGCGAGCACTTAACTCCTGTGCCATCATCGCCCCTAATGACGATAGGCAATAGTCGAGGTTATTTATCACTTGTAAGTCGCTTTGGACAAAAGCGTCTGCTAGATACATAAACATTTTGTTTTTTGCTAAGCCCACCTGCCCTATAGGCTCCCATACAATTTGAAATGAACTAGCCAATAGCGTTCGACATCTGCTTACGTACAAATGTCAATCACAGAGTGCGTGAACACCTGACGAATCATAGAGCGCAGCTACAACTGCCTTTTGAGGGACTAAAAATACAGAACAGATTGCCTACTTCTACTCAGCGAGTGAATGTGTGTGTGTGTGTGTGTGGGTGAATGACCGGATGTGTTGTAAAGCACCTTGAGGGGTTATACGACCCTAGAAGGCGCTATATAAATCCAAACCATTTACTCGAAGATAGACAAAAGTAAAGAAAAGCCCATGGACTAAACGATCGAGTCGTTTCAACTGTATCATGGAAGCAGGGGGAGGGGCTTGAAGTTGCAATACAATTCTGCCTGTAGATGGTGCCCTCTGAGAAAAATGGATTTCTGATTTATGATAGCATTTTAACTACTCTGCACTGCCTCCTTACTGTATTGTATACAAGCTCTAAAGCTATTATTTCTATATGTAATATTTTAGAAATAAATCTATAATATGTGTGTCCTTATGCATATGTGTGTCTAGATAAAATACATCTTAAAAGTTTTAAGAAAATGTGTGTTTCCTCAAGAAAATTGGCATAAAAACTATTACATGACTTCACTTGAAGAAAAGGTACCCCAATGTCACGGAAAAAAACACACATTTTGTATATTTATTGCTATAAAAATGCTCACCTCCAGAAAGCTTTGTTCATGGCGTTTCTCTTCTCAGGTCGGTGAAGTTCGACATGTGTGAGGGACTCTACTGGGCGACTGATGGCCAGGGTCGTGTATGGAGATGTGGGTCCATCTGAAGATGACATGTTCCTGACCAAAGCCTGAGCAGGCAGCCACAACCTACTGTCTGAAAAGGAATTAAACACGCTTGTGTTTATCTACATTAGGTCACTGATGTATACTAGCTAACCTGCTTTAGGGTGGGCTGTAATGCAAAAAACAGGATCAGGTGACTTGTCACCAAATGCTGCAGAACTGTTGTGTAAAGGGCCTGATAGCATTAAGATGCTTATTATTATGAAAAAATATCCAAAGTTTAATTATATATAAATACATATAGTTTGCAATATTTTGCAGCACCTCACTTGGTCATACATGAATATTACAGCTATGATCAAAACGACTGTTTAATTTCCTTTTCCATCAAAGTAAATCTGAATAATAATAATAAAACACCAATTTCTGTTAATTCCATGTACATTTTTTTATTTAAAGCATTTTAAAGGAATTTCAATCACCTTACAGCTGTAACCCTGCAAAAAGAGACTTAATTGTGAAATAAAAGTCTATATTGTAGACATGCTGTGACATTTGTTAACGCAATGCAAATCAGTAAAAAGGTTAGATACTCAGTATATTTATGCTACAACCTCAGTTATAACAAAAGTATATAAAAATACGTTAGAATGCGTGTCGATTAAGCAGCTACCTTTCACCTACAAACCTCTCCAGGCTTTGTTCATCTCGGTCAATTTGAGGGTTAAATACAAAGTAGAGCTAGTACTAATGACTAACATCCAAACAAACGTGCACATCATGTGACAAAAGAAAACATCTGAACTAAAACAGAAACACAGAAAAAAGGTTAATCCGTTACTTACATCTGGGGAGAGTTGACCTGATACTGACTGACAACATCGCCCTTTGAACGCTGCAGTCGGGAAGCTTTGGTGAACGGTTAAACCAAAGCAAACTGGCAAAAGACTAACGACGTCTAGCTAACCCTAACTAGTAACCAACAAGTTGGCTGGCTTGCCAAAACTCTTCACTGCTTCATTGGTTAGCTTCCAAATGACAGAAAGACTGCTTGACCGCTTTAACCTAAATCTACATGAAATAAGAGGAATGTTTAAAGCAAAAACTGGCCATAAATGTTAACATTTCGCTCTCCTGATTAGCTTAGCCTCTCTAAATTGGTTCTACGGTAGCCGAGTTGGCGCAAACGCTCCAGAAACGCTCTCTTTCGTCACTGTGACGTATAGAAAAACTGGACGAATCCTATGCCATATATCCATTTTACTTATTATTATTAATAAAAGACAATGACAATAATAATAAAATGTACTCTGTTGTTATTAGTTTTACAGTAGCCTAGGTTTGTAATTACATATAATGTCCATTACAATAATGTGCTTAAAAACTGTACTATAAACAAAAAAAGTTAATCATTCTAAGGTTTTAATTTCCTCCTTTTTTTTTTTTTTTACCTCTTTTTACTTTCCAGTTTGAATTTATTTTTAGTCAAAGTGCATTATCTTCTGGGGCACAATCTGATATTTTCATTTGTTAATTTGACAGCAGTTTTTATTGTTTTTTTGTTTCACAACTTTTTAAAAGTGGCTGCTTGAGGGCTTCCAGTTATAAATGTCTGATCATTTCATATACAAACACTGAATGTGGACATTCTTGGTTTTTAAAAGAATGTACGCAAATGGGCAGAGATTTTTGCTTGGTGCCCACAACAGAGATCAGAAAAGTGCAAAGCCATGAACATATCTTCTGCTGAAAGTAATTAAGCGCAGATTGCAGAAACTAATAAATAGAAATTTACTCTTTAAATTAAGCTTTCAATAAATGAGTAACATTAAATTTAGTATAAATTAGGTGTGAAAACTCAACAGGAAATAAACTACATTAATTATAATGTGCTCAAATCTGTCCCAAACAAAGTCCAATAATATTTCGGATCAATTTTTTAAACATAAACAATATAATGGGTTGGCTCACATACAGTTTAATTTAAACTGAATTTAGTTCAATTTAATCTTTAAAATGAGCTTTTAATCTATAGTTTGATTTATTCAACAGACCAAACAATAGCTTTAAATTCAATATTCTTTGAGAGATTTGTGATTTTTTTAAAGATATTTCTAACATATAAATGTTAAATAAAAATGACTTTTTCATGTACAACATATTTCCATCATGAGGTCTCAGTAGCTGTTCCAGAGTGTTATTTTTTCTCATCTGTGGTTATTGACCTGTAAATGAGTATATTTTTATTTTAAAAATAAATTAGTAACATGAGATAAAACATTAAATGACAGAAAATCCTCAAAATGACTATCTAGTAAAAATCCACCTCCAATCCTTGGAATTTGTTTGGTTATTAACCAGATGTGGAACATGTTCCCTCAAAAACAAAAGTTAGAGTAATTAGATGAATAAAACACACTGGATATTAAGAATGATTTTATTCATTCAATATATAAAACATCACTAAAATAGAAAAGTTTTGATCACAACTGATCATAAATAAAAATTGACAAAATAATTAATACAAATATTTCCAAAAACAGAAAAACTAAAAACTTTTTGGGCATTTAAAGACACATTTTATGTAAGAGATTTTATTTGTTTGCCAAACCTGTTTGTGAACCAATGAAATCAAAGTTAAAGACTGAGGTAGACATGCAAAAGAACAAATACATTCATGTTCAAGAGGTAAAACACGGACTTTGTCTGGTTCTGTCTCTGGGGTTGATCCAACATCTCAGACATTTCAGATGGAGTCAGGGTAGGTGTTAAGGATTTGATCACAGTCAAAGTTTTCTAACTGATCTTTAGAGATGCCTCTCATTGATTTGGCTGCCCATTCAGGATGGGCAATGGGTTCTGACCAGTGTTTTCTGGAGGAAATAAGAGTCAAAGGAGGTACCACGGAGGAAGGGCTGCATCTTAAAACAGTAAAGATTACAAAGGCGGTTTCCTGGACTCTTGCATAGAAGCTGAATCAGCGAAGAGTTAAGAGCTTTTTAGTTGCTTTAAATGTATACATTAGAATTGAAATGTGTTTCTGTGTAAAAATGTCCATCTTATGCAAACCATTTCCTGTAAGTCCTTTGTTTGGAGAAATCGAGTTTAAGTCCAACAAGATTGATCAGCCACTGCCTGGTCTTAATGTAGAGCCAAGATCAAGATCTTGAACTGATCATTAAAGTACAAATTCGCTGAAAAATGTATAATACATGTTCGTAACAAGTTCTAGTTCAGAGCAAGCGTTTATAAAGAGGTTAGCGAGATCCAGCTTTTATTTTGGTAACCAATTTCCGCCTATTGGCAAGCGAATTTGCATATTAGCTAAATGTTTGCCGTCGTCGTCGTCGTCGTCTTCCTCCGCTTATCCGGGTCCGGGTCGCGGGGGCAGCATCCCAACTAGGGAGCTCCAGGCCGTCCTCTCCCCGGCCTTGTCCACCAGCTCCTCCGGCAGGACCCCAAGGCGTTCCCGGACCAGATTGGAGATGTAACCTCTCCAACGTGTCCTGGGTCGACCCGGGGGCCTTCTGCCGGCAGGACATGCCCGAAACACCTCCCCGGGGAGGCGTCCAGGAGGCATCCTGACCAGATGCCCAAACCACCTCAACTGGCTCCTTTCGATCCGGAGGAGCAGCGGTTCTACTCCGAGTCCCTCCCGAATGTCCGAGCTCCTCACCCTATCTCTAAGGCTGAGCCCGGCCACCCTACGGAGGAAACTCATTTCGGCCGCTTGTATCCGCGATCTCGTTCTTTCGGTCATTACCGAAAGCTCATGACCATAGGTGAGGATTGGGACGTAGATCGACCGGTAAATCGAGAGCCTGGCTTTCTGGCTCAGCTCCCTCTTCCCCACGACAGATCGGCTCAGCGTCCGCATCACTGCAGACGCCGAACCAATCCGCCTGTCGATCTCCCGATCCCTCCTACCCTCACTCGTGAACAAGACCCCGAGATACTTAAACTCCTCCACTTGAGGTAGGACCTCTCCCCCGACCCGGAGGTGGCAAGCCACCCTTTTCCGGTCGAGAACCATGGTCTCAGATTTGGAGGTGCTGATCCTCATCCCATCCGCTTCACATTCGGCCGCGAACCTACCCAGCAAGAGCTGAAGGTCAGAGCTGGATGAAGCTAGGAGGACCACATCATCCGCAAAAAGCAGAGACGAGATTCTCCTGCCACCAAACTCGACACACTCCACACCACGGCTGCGTCTAGAAATTCTGTCCATAAAAGTGATGAACAGAACCGGTGACAAAGGGCAGCCCTGGCGGAGTCCAACCCTCACTGGGAACAGGTCCGACTTACTACCGGCTATGCGGACCAAACTCACGCTCCTCTGGTAAAGGGACTGAATGACCCTTAACAGAAAGCCACCCACCCCATACTCCTGGAGCGTCCCCCACAGGGTGCCCCTGGGGACACGGTCATAAGCCTTCTCCAAATCCACAAAGCACATGTGGATTGGTTGGGCAAACTCCCATGCCCCCTCCATCACCCTTGCAAGGGTATAGAGCTGGTCCACAGTTCCACGGCCAGGACAAAAACCACATTGCTCCTCCTCTATCTGAGATTCAACTATCGATCGGACCCTCCTCTCCAGTACCTTGGAGTAGACCTTTCCAGGGAGGCTGAGGAGTGTGATCCCCCTATAGTTGGAACACACCCTCAGGTCACCCTTCTTAAAGATGGGGACCACCACCCCGGTCTGCCACTCCACAGGAACTGCCCCCGATGACCACGCAATGTTGTAGAGACGTGTCAGCCATGACAGCCCTACAACATCCATAGCCTTGAGATACCCAGGACGAACCTCATCCGCCCCCGGGGCTCCGCCGCTGTGTAGTTGTTTGACTACCTCAGCAACTTCTGCCCCCGAGATCGGACAGTCCATCCCCAGGCCTCCCAGCTCTGGTTCCTCCTCGGAATGCGCATTGGTGGGATTGAGGAGCTCCTCAAAGTATTCCTTCCACCGTCCGACTATAGCCTCAGTTGACGTCAGCAGCTCCCCATCTCCACTGTAAACAGTGTGAGCGAGTTGCTGCCTTCCTCTCCTGAGGCGCCGGACAGTTTGCCAGAACCTCTTTGGAGCCGATCGATAGTCTTTCTCCATGGCCTCACCAAACTCCTCCCACGCCCGAGATTTTGCCTCGGCAACTGCCACTGCTGCACCCCGCTTGGCTATCCGGTACCTGTCTGCTGCCTCCGGAGACCCACAGACCAGCCACGCCCTGTAGGCCTCCTTCTTCAGCCTGACGGCTCCCCGAACCTCTGGTGTCCACCAGCGGGTACGGGGGTTGCCACCACGACTGGCACCGGCCACCTTACGACCACAGCTAGCAACAGCCGCCTCGACAATCGCAGAGTGGAACAAGGCCCACTCGGACTCAATGTCCCCCACTGCTCTCGGGACGTGGTCAAAGCTCTGCCGGAGGTGGGAGTTGAAGACCGTCTTGACAGGTTCTTCTGCCAGGCGTTCCCAGCAGACCCTCACTATGCGTTTGGGTCTGCCAGGTCTACGCGGCATGTTCCCTTGCCATCTGATCCAACTCACCACCAGGTGGTGATCAGTTGACAGCTCCGCCCCTCTCTTCACTCGGGTGTCCAAAACATACGGCCGCAGGTCAGATGATACGACTACAAAATCTATCATCGACCTGTGACCTAGGCTGCCCTGGTACCAAGTGTACAGGTGGGCATCCTTATGTTCGAACATGGTGTTCGTTATGGCCAAACTGCGGCTTGCACAGAAGTCCAATAACAAAACACCGCTCGAGTTCAGATTAGGTGGGCCGTTCCTCCCAATCACACCCCTCCAGGTCAAGCTGTCATTGCCCACGTGAGCATTGAAGTCCCCCAGCAGAACAATGGAGTCCCCTGATGGAGCACTATCTAGCACTCGTCCCAGGGACTCCAAAAAGGGTGGGTACTCTGAACTGATATTTGGCCCATAAGCACAAACAACAGTCAGGACCCGTTCCCCGACCCGAAGGCGCAAGGAAGCTACCCTCTTGTCCCCCGGGGTAAACCCCGACACACAGGCAGAGAGTCTCGGGGCTAACAAAAAGCCAACCCCAGCCCTCCGCCTCTCACCTGGAGCAACTCCAGCAAAGTAGAGTGTCCAACCCCTCTCCAGGTCTCGGGTTCCAGAGCCAATGCAATGTGTCGAGGTGAGTCCGACTATATCTAGCCGGTACCGCTCAACCTCTGCCACAAGCTCCGGCTCCTTCCCCGCCAGCGAGGTGACGTTCCATGTCCCAAAAACTAGTTTACTTGTCCGGGGATTGGACCGCCAAGGCTCCCGCCTTGGTCTGCCACCCGATTCGCATTGCACCGGACCCTTCATGTTCCTCCTGCGGGTGGTGGGTCCACAGTTGGACGAGCCCATCTATCCGGTTCGGGCTGGGCCCGGCCGGGCCCCATGGGCAAAAGCCCGGCCACCAGGCGCTCGCTCACGGGCCCCAACCCCAGGCCTGGCTCCAGGGTGGGACCCCGGTAACCCTCCGGGCCAGGTACTCCGACTCTTCGTTTTAACCGCCATGAAAGATCCTTCGAACCGTTCTTTGTCTCACCCTTCACCTAAGACCAATTTGTCATGGGAGACCCTACCAGAGGCACTAAGTGCCCCAGACAACATAGCTCCTAGGATCATTAGGGCACTCAAACTCCTCCACCACGATAAGGTAATGTTTGCGTACCACCTAAATATTTATTTCCCACACTATATTTTATATTTTTGGGTCAGACTTAAATATTAATTTCACAAATACTGATTTTGCAAATTAAATGTTTAGCTCCAAAAAACATTTAGCTGGGATCTAAATATTTATTTTGGAAAATAAATATTTAATTTACAAATTAAATATTTAGTTCCAAAATAAATATTTAATTAATAAATTAAATATTTAGTTAGTGAATTAAATTTTTATTTTACAAACTAAATATTTAGATCAGACCTAAATATTTAGTTTGCAAAATAAATATTTAACTGTAAATTAAATATTTAGCTTGCTAACTAAATATTTATTTGTAAACTCTTATATGCTAAATAACCAAAAATATTGCTGTTAGATTATGACTGTTTGACTTTACAAATGGCACCCCATAAAATCCATCGCTTTGGTGTATGATTCCTGGTTTTCCGTCCATGCGTTTGGTTTTATTAGATCATTGGAGGCGTTTCCGGGCATATTCCTCTCCAGCTGAGCTGTCAAATCCAGGATCAATCACCCACAAAGAAAAAAAAAACACATCAGCCTTTTTATTAACACTTTTATTGACAGATAAACAATAAGCCACTGAAATGTGCAGCTGCTGATTACTCTCCTTTAATCGTATAAATCAAATGCCAGAAGCAGCTTTATTTCAACAGAAAACAAACGTGATTACAAAAATATCAAATTCTTTAGCTGAAAAGTGCTCCAGTGTTAAAATTACACAACACACACTCAGTAGTTAGCTGCAACATTGTTTACTCAACACATCAAGTGGCACATTTTACAACATGAACACTTCTTGTTCTTGATCAATTGCACTGAGGTGAGGTACAGTAAAATAACACGCAGAAGGTAAAATAGAAGACATCTAGAGTGAAAACGGCCTTCCTGTCTGAGCAACAGTCATATAGCCACAACAAGATTCCTTAAGTGATAAAACATATTCTTTTTAACATTTAATAATCCTAATCTGTATACAGCATTGAAGGTGCTTTCAGTTAATTCCGATTGAACCTTCATGTTCCTGAGCCAGCAGGAAGAGGATGACGAGAAGCAAAGTGTGGAAACCCTGACAGAGAAGCTACATGCTGTAAGTCTTCCTCGCTACATTCAATCTGACCACAGTCGTCCTTATTTCCAGAGTTTCTGAAATGCTGAGGCTAATTTAATGGCATGCAAACACAAGCAAACACATATTTGGTCAAAACGGCACCTAAGGAACCCTGGAGATGTCTTGAATTCTTGGTGGAACTTTAAAAACAAGATCAGCAGGCTTACTGCATTTCCTCCAGAAAAACTGGAAATGCTTCTTCCTTTTTCATTGTTATCCGTAAAAGAAGGAACGTCTGGTGTAAACATAGAACCATTTGTTTGTTCACTTGCGTCGACTAAAGATACTCTTCTTGCTGGAGCTCTTGTCTGAAGTGCTGAGGCCGATGAGGAGCCGTGCCTTCTCATCTTCTTCCTGTTGCTGCTGCTGGTTGTTGTCGGACTTCCCTTCAGGTGCTTTTCCACGCAGGTCTGAGCCTGAGGCCGGCTTCAGACGCAGCTTCTCCTTTATCATCTGAGCAGCAGGGAGGGAGACACATCTCTTAAAAACGTCAGAACATGAACACACATTTTCTGCTGAGATATTTGCTACAACTCATCAGATTTCAAATTAAAAACATCCAGCAGAAAACTAAATATGGTTTCAATGGTCCAGATTAATAAGGCTGACCTGCGCTACAAGTGCTTTCCGACTGTCCCTTTTTACTGCCATGGCAAAGTCAAGCCACGTCCAGGTGTTGTTGTGATATTCCAAACAAGGCAACACGAGGTTCAGGTCTTTCCAGTCCACACTGCTCTTTTCTCCCTGGAAAGACATAAAAACAGTAATGAAAGAAATCTGAAAAGACCCTGGGCTGGTGACAGAAAATTACACTGAAGCTGCTGTTTATTTTGTATTTATAATGCCAGAGAATTAGTGTATTAGTGGAAAATTTTAGACCAAGTTGAAATTCTTATTTACTCACAATAAAATTAGGAACTAACACCCAATGGTGTTCACATCTTCCCATATAAAATAAATTGGCTACAGGTGATCTGACACATAGGAAACTGATCCAATAGGGAAAGGCCAGCTCACCAAGTGGGTGGAGCCTACCTTAGGGAATAAAACATGATGACAAATTCAAGAGCCTTTTAAATGACTATGGCAGGAGCAGCTTCAGGGGTCCAGGTGTTTGAGTTTACTGTACCATTTTATCTGTTTTCTACAGAAATCAAGTTAACTGGATCCACTGAAACATGGTCATTTGTGGAGTGCGCTGAAGACGAGGGTAAAGTGTGCCTGGTCAGCTCTCCCCTGGTGGAGATCTGATGACAAGGAGCTTTCTACTGAGCTAAATCATAAGTAACAATAACATCCAGAGAAAAAACCTCCACAGCTAATTTCTCTCAGAATAGTCATGAGTGTCTGGAACCTGTCTCAATTCAGTTCCTGTGAGTCAGAAAGTTTAAGAATTTTTAAGAAGAGTTGGCAACCAAACTGCAAATCAAATAAGGGTAAAACTCCAAGTAAATGAAGACATGATCAGGAAACATTTTGATTAAATTGCAACTAATAAATAACTAAATAAATAACAGTTGTATGTGCGTCACAGTTTGCAGCATGTGACTAAAACTATAACTTGTTTTACAAGATATAACTCCATATGATTGGAATTGTTTTTAAGCCACAGGAAGCAACAAGAACATCCATCAGCTGTGTAATCTCACCTTGTAGCTGACACACAAAGGCACTTGGGGAATCTTAATGTAGATGAAGGAGTTGTTCATCGCAGCGCGCTCCTTCATCTTGTCAAGGTCATCAACTGGATGCTGCGAAAATACAAAAAAACTAGTTAGTTTATCTCATAATGACTTTGTAATGAAGGATAAAGGTTTTACATTTTAATTAATGACCAGAGATATTAATGATCCATGTCTAGTATGGACCCCATCTCTGGACACTGGGCTTTCTAAATCAGAAGAGTGTTTTTTTTTATTACAGGGAAATTTAATACACTTTGCATGAAATGAGAGACAAGAAAAGAGAGAGAGACCTCCAACTTTTAAGCAAAATGTATTATCTAAATGGTTTTAAACAGTTTAACAGGACTAACTCTCTAGTGATGGATGCTCATGGAATGAATGTGAGGTGGAGTGTGTGTTGGTGCGATGTCAGTTCAGAACCTCCGTTCTGGAGAAGCGAGTCTGAGTGGGAGATGATGTTTTGCTCCTAACTGATCAACGTTTGAACCGTGGTCAGAAAACAACATGAGACGCCATCTGTGCCGATCTACATTACCCGTCAGTGAGACCTCCGTCTTAGATCAGGCTGCCAGGTTCACGACCTTCCATTGGTACTGGAGCCGATGAAACAGCGTCCTCAGCACGACAAACCAGTCTATGGATAGTCTCCGGGTAAAAAGCGGCAGGTGTTTCACAGCGTCAAAGGGACCCCCCTTTGGGTCAGCGAGTTCAGCTTTTATTCTGAAGGAACCGTTGTTTTGTTGATAACGACAGGTTTTCCCAGCTTGGCAGTTCTAGCTTAACAGTTTAAAGTACAGATGGCCGGTCCGTACTCCACTTAGCAATGATGAACTTCAGGGGATCTTGAGAGCCGGCTGAATACTGAACTCAAAATGGCGTTGTTCTGTTTTATTAATCTTGATGTTTATGATTCTGGACGAATCACAGCTGACAGATTAAATAAACACCACAGAGACTCCGCCACGCTTCAGAGTGAAGGTTCTGATTGGATTTGCGACCGGAATGTGTCGTGATTATTTATCTTTTGTGTATCAGCCGACTAGTGGCTAGAATACGTCATTTACTTATTAAACATTAATCATAACATTGTGATTTCACAGATCGGTCACATGGTTATTCTTGACTAACAGTTGTTTTGATTAGCTTTATTAAAATAGAGTTCTTTGATTAATTAAAAGAAAAGAGTTCATTCTTCGTTCTTCTGTCTTCACTGCTGGAATGTAAACATTAGAAGTGAATGCATGACCTTGAGGCTGTTTCATGCACATTGACACTGTGTCAAACAGAACCAGCTGATAGAGGGGAGAAATGGCTCCTTCATCACGTTACACCGCGTGACCCATCTGAGCTGAAAAAAAGAAGAGCTCTCTACCTCTGGAGGCTTCCTGAATGACCTCCTGACCCCAGCAGTGCGGTTCAGTCCCTGGGTGACACTTTTACTGGGGCCCATTGCACCCATGGTGTCCTCTGACAGAGGACGAGGTTTGACAGCGATACCTGTAACACATCAGGCACCGGCATCAGAGCTGTGGCCTCTCAAACTCCATCAGATATTCCCACTGAGTCCCACAACTACACACACTCTCAAACACACACTTCTCAAGGTCAGATTCAGTGTCAGCGTTCCACGGCTCTGAGCGATATGACCAAGTAGTTCAATAGTACACATGCCCGGTAAAGAAAATGGAAACTTATTGAGCACTTGCAGGACATTGATCACACAGGAGGGTAAACGCTCATCTGACTGCTTTTATCATACCAGTAGTAACCATTTTAGACTTGTCCTCCTCATCAGTGACCTCTTCCTCCTCAACGTTTCGTCCTGGGAAGAAAAAGCCCATCATCCGTTTAAAGAACTGATACATGAGCTGGATGGTGAGAGGAACCACGTTCACCTGAAGGTGCAGAGAAGGAACATTAAAATAAAATGTATGGTTTCACAGCAGCCGCATGTCATCTTCCTCACCTCAAAGTGCTCCTTCACAGAGATTCCTCCCACCGGGGGGCGCACTTTGCTGAAGATACGGAGAGCAAACTGGCGCCCTGACTGGCAGTTATTCTGGGGACGTAGCACCACCTGGAAAAACAACAGGGAGTTTTTAAAAACAAATCGATCGTTGAGTTTGAAAATGAACCATACAGCACATTACTGATGAACACAGGCGGGATAACATGTAACAAGTGGAGCTGAAAAGTGATCCCAACAGGACAAAACAAGACGAGCACGAGCATCAGTACATACCCTCACACGCTGCACGTAGGAAATCAGGAACAAATACATTAACACAGGTTGAAAACTTCCCTCAGAAAAGTTTTTTTAAAACATATTTTTAAAAAATTGTGTCAAAAAAGGGGCAGTGTCAAAATATAAACTGGGTGTTAAAAGAAAGCATGCATCATATTTAAACTAAAAGTGTCCAGATCTGACTCTTCTTAATACCTTGTAAGCTGCATTTGGCAGCAGGTTGTTCATGGTGAACCACCCGAGCTCCAGCAGATGCTCCGCTGTGTCATCAGACTTGTTCAGCTACAAGAAGAAATATCTCAAATGAAAACTATTATACAAAAGTCAGTCTTATGTCTGGATGGATCACCATCGTCTCCCCACCTTGCTGTACATGAATCTCTGCAGCTCCAGCTCAGCAATGCCAAGCTGCCCGTCCTCTTCAGTCAAACACCAGCGAGCCTGAGCAAAGTAGATCTCTGTCCTCCTTGCCACGCTCACGTCCTCTGGAGGCTTACGCAGCTCCAGCTTGTTTGCTCTTTGCAGCTGGAAGTCTTTAAAACATCTGGATGAGAAGATATTCCCACACGTGAGCCAAGATTTCTTATTGGAGGATGAGATTTAAAGCAGGAACAATACCTGATGAGGATGTTGAGCTCTTCGCTCTTCATCTGCATGTCGTTTTTCTCCTGGTTCAGCTGGTTCTGCAGGCGTATGTTGATCTCCATCAGCTCGTCGCTGCTCTGCTCCTCGTTTTGAGCCTGTGAAACCACAAGTCAATTCAAGCACCATTGGTTTGATACACTCACTAGTGTTATATTTTCATTTATGCCTTTACTAAGATGTAAACTAAAAACTGATCATTTATCATAACTAAAAGCAAACAAACAAAACGGTGTCTATGGGATCTGTGGGGAGTGCTTTGTGGATTTCCAAATCAAATTAACTAATTTTGATGTTTAAATAGTTGATCAGATCAATCCACACACCCTGATGTTGGAGTAAATTTGTTTCTCGAGGCATCTGATCTGAGCAAGATGCTGCCTGACCGCTTCCTGCAGATGCAAGATGCTGCTTCGCTGCTCCTCTGGGTTACTAGAAATCTCCAGCTGGAACCGCACACGCTGCTTTTTCTCACTGTGCTCCTGAATGTACCGAAGAGAAAATAAAAGCAGACTAAATCAACATTACTGATCAAAGAAACCCAAATGTGCATGATTTTATTTGACATGTGGTTTAGCTGATGGCCTTGTCTACCTTGCGCCTGGGCTCTACGTGTAAAAGCAGGTTGTTGACAATGTCCAGGATCATGGCGTACTGATCCGGGTTAGTAGAAATCTCCAGGTCATGGTGGATGAGAGTGAAAGTTTCCACGGCACCTAGAAGCCAAAATAAGAGGGCTCAAGGAAAATGTTTCAAGTCAAACAGGATTTATTTGCTGCTTGTGCACCCATCACATACCAGCCTGCTTATTTAGCAGGTCCTCTTTCTCGTGGTTATTCCTCATCTCTGGTGGTTTGATCTGAGTGGCCAGTTCAGGGTTGATGTCATGGCTATAACTGATGTAATGCATCCGGCAGCTGCAGCGTGATATGATACGTTGAACCTGCTGAGACTCGTTCACCTGAGATGGCTGGTTCCAGTCTGTAAACGAGCATCAAACGGAGACAACACATTTTTACGGCACTAAACCAGGTTTTTAAAACAGTCTAACTTTTGTTTAAAGAGGTCCTTCACTCATATCTGAATACATCTGCAGCAGTCTATAGTAGGAACGAATGCCTTGGAAGTCATACTCTGGGGGGGGAAAAAAGCTCTGGTGCACCTCTTTCAGCATGGAGAATTCAGCCAGAGGAGAAAGTAACTTGTAGTCTTATTTCCTGATATTTGCACATCTCAGCTCTGATTGGATAACAGCAAATTTCTGTCGTGTGGTGGAGTTGCTAATGCTAACAGTTAGCTTCTACTAGTCGAGATTTTCTCTGCTGTTTCCTGGGTACTACACCAACATAAGCCTTCCCCGTCACGAGTCAAGATGGATGAGTCCATGAATGTTCAGGGACAATGTGACGTAGATCTGTAAGGATTTTCAAATTCTAGAGTTTCACGGTCTATTTTCTATCTGAAGCAAATGCAGGAGATGGACGTAGGACCCAGTTTTAATGTTCACCCTGCATGTTAAACTCAGAGTGACCAATCATTTTCAAAAATAATAGTTTCTCAGTGAAGGACCTCTCAAAAAATAAATAAAATAAAATAAATAAATAAAAAACAACAGTATTTCACCTGTAGTGGTGCTAACCATTCCTCCCACCGCCTGGCCACCCTCCACCAGCTCCAACACGGCATCCAGGTTACGTTGCCTGTGCTCCTCAATGTTTTTCACCTGAACACAACATTTAACGTAAAAATCTTATCTTACATGAGAGGTAATTGTATGCATTCAAGGTCAAATGAACTATGTCACTCACAACTCATCCTATTGCAACCAGTATGTACCACCTAGCTTGAACTTACCTCCAGCCACAGCTGCCGGTCCTCTCCCTCTGAAGGATTCAGCTCCATGGTGGCAAAGTACTGCATACCGTCCAGCAGGCACGTCCAGGTGGTTTTCTGCTTCAGGGTGTCGTTGTACCAGGCAGGGTGGTGTTCACACTGCAGCAGCTGAGCCTTGGCTGCAGACACCAGCACACAGCCTGCCGTCTCTGTGCCACGCAACATCATCTGAATAAAACAAGATGGGGAGATTAACACATTGAAAGTGTGAGCAGGAGCATTCAAAGATTTCAATGATGATTTATCATTTTTGCACAATTGCTTTGTAAGGGCACAAGAATGTAAACCCACATTCACCTTGCTAAACAAAGGCAGATTGGGGTGTTTAATGAAGCATACCAAAAAGCCTGTGCCGCCTTTGATCTGCTTTCCTATGCAAATTAGTAATGGTCACGGAGAAATGGTTCGTTCTGAGAAACGCTGGTTAAGACACAGCTCCTTAAATCTGCATGCCATCAGGCTTCTGATCCGTGTCGGTACGCGCCGGCACTAATGCCCATTTTTGAGTTGTTTGCATTGGTTACCAGTATTTTTTAGAATCTAGTTTAAGGTCCTTTATTCGTTTATAATCCTTTAAATGGCCTTGCCTTAACACTAGCCTAAGATACAGCTAACGCTAGCACAAGTTACTGTAAATGCTAGCCTGAGCTAATGCTGACTTCTTCGTTGGACGAGAGGAAAATGAAAAAGATTGTTGAAGCACTCAATATTCCAGGATGTGCGAGGACACTTAGTTCCTTGTTTATCAGAAAAAACCCACAACCAGCTGAACAGTAACAACTGTAAATAAACAGCGCTCTACTGACCCTTTAGATATTATCATTGAAATTACCTGACCGTTAACCAGCTCAATAAACCAGTTGCGGTTGTACACATCATCAGTCTGACAGGCTGCGATGCCACACAGCTGGTCACTCACACCAGAGTCCTCCTCTGAAAACACCATGAACTTGTCAGTTTCCTCAATCAGCTTCTGTAGCATTAAGGTTCCTACAGAAGAAAGAAAACAACAAACTGATTAGATCATCCTCACACCTGGCTGCTGTTATACCCTCGGGGGAACCCTCACCTTCGTTTAGGCTTTTTTCTGCTCGACTGACAGTGGGAATGACTGTGACTGGAGCAGTCGTAGGAGAGTGGTAAGAAGGAGAGCGTTTGAGCTTCTTGGTCTGCAGCTGTGTGTCGATCTTCAGACCCTTCAGAGCTTCAGTGGAGAGATTTCTCTTCAGAACAGAAGCCTTTTTATAACCATCATACAGCCCAAAGGCTATGTTTCTGTTCACGGTTGTCCAGGAGGCACGCAGGTCTACCAGGCGTAGTTTGTGAGTATAAGAGGCGTTTGATTCATCCTTTATGTCCACTTCCTGTCAGAAAACATCAAAATGATCCGATTCATTCATCTATCATCTATGATGAATCTCCAGCCCCAGGAATGCACCCTTTACCTCCTCCATCCGGTTGCTCTGTCTCTGGTAGCTAAGGGATGAGAGGCTGAGCAGATGAGTCTTCTTCACCTGAGCGTTCATCTGGTGGTCGGCATTTTCATCCCAGGTGGAGGCCATCAGGTGAACGGTAACCTGAGACAGTTCACTGACCATCTGAGTTACGTTCCATTCTGAGATCAGCCGCCGCATCACAGTTCCAGCTAAGAGAAAAAACATAAAATTAAACATAAAAAAAAAAAACACTAATATTAAGAACTACCTTTTCTGAATCACGTGACATTTTACCCTGAGGGATGAGTCTCTGCTCCCCACGAGTAAAGACCTCCCCTCTGTTACACTCCAACTGGATTCCTCTTTGCTGGGCAAAGGAAGCCCAGTAATCCACCTAAATAACGTATGATAAACAAGAGAAATCTGATTAAGCAATTAAATTACGTTAAACACAGTTTTAGACTGTAACTGCAGAAAAAACATCATACCTGTAGTTGTGGGAAGGCAGCTGTGTAGGACATCTGTTTGTAGTGCTGACCAAGCTTCTTGCGGATTGGCCTGAGGCTGTGGAACAGCTTGCCTCTGCAGATTGGTCGGGAAACGCTTGTCCAGGTAGCCCAGAAGTTTTGCATCCAGCGCAGAGTGCTGCTGTACAGCAGGACTTTAGGCTGGGAGCATTCTTAAAACAAACAAACAAAAAAAAAAAAACACAGGTTTATACACTAGAAGACACACAGTGAGAGAACTTCCATGTGTGCTGGGTTTGTACAAACCGGATGAAGAGTGCTGGTTAAGGTCCATAGTGATGGAGAGGTTAAGGTTCTCTGAGCGAAAGGCTCTGTAGGAGTCATGAGGCTGTCCTGACGTCACGTCTGCGATGTTCTCCGCACAGCAGAGCATGACAGCGTGGTGGTCATAGGGGTTGCCATGGCATAGCCACTGGAGGTCAAGGGTCATACACAGGTTGGGCAGTTGCAGAAAACGGATATCATCATACCTAAAATGCAAAACGGGGTTTTATGACTAAATAGTCACAAACATTGCAGCCACTGTAATTATTACCATATGTACCAGTGCTTACTTCGATGCTGTTCTGACATTTACATCCAAATTCCCTTTAAAAATAAACTGTCCAGGGTTCCAGTCAAAGTTCAGCTTGTTCCACTCCCAGTGCAGGTTCTCAGTAGTGTTATATGGGTCCTACAAGAACGGAGGCTCAAATTATTAAAGAATACTTTTAAACAAAACCGGTTTAGCATCAACAAGCTGTCCAGCATGGAAATTTCAACTGTTCCTGTAAGAAAACAAACTTAAACTTAAAGTCTTTCAGACCAGATGGGGAGCCCATCAAAGACGTTTAAACGGTCTGACCTCTGTGGCTAGCTGGTGGAGATTGGCATGTTCAATGTTCATGGCCCAGCGTCCATGAAGGAGGAGACGACTTTTGTCCCACCAGGCCAGTAGTGGAGAGGGGTCAACGGTGGGTTTGGTTAGCAGGTCCACAGACTGGCCAATCAGAGTCCAGGCGGGGTCCCAACATGGCCCCCACACAATGGTGTACAGAGAGATGTTGGCTGTAGGAGGAGAGAGTTCAAAATTCAGTGACACTGGAGATGATTGTATAAAAAAAGGTTATAGTTTGACCACCAATACAATTTTCAATAATCTATAACAGATTTGTAACTTACATTTGAAATCATAGTAGAACTTTAGAGGAGGCATATTCCGGTGGACTGTCACGTCTCCCCATGGTGGACCGAGCGGGACCGTCTCTTTGCGATGAGCTCTCGCCTGTCCATCCTGCTCTGTCCCAATCAGACGCCCTGACAGCTCCCATTCCCGGATCTCAAAGAGGTAACGAGGGTAGTCCCGGATTCTCACTGACAAGGATTTTATAAAATGGAAAAACGAACCTTAAGCCTTTTAAAGTCTTTAAATTTAAAGTTTGAAAATGACATCCAAGTTGAGTCTGCCTTACCCAGGAATGCAGCTAGTTTAAACTTGACAGCCCGACACCACTGAACCACCAGTGGGAGACCCTCTCTGGGGAAAGGACTAATCCTGTCAATGTCTCTCAGCTGCTCTATCACCTTCTCCGGCCCATGAAAGGATTCATCAGCTAGCACTACCAGCTCAAAATCCGACACGGTCCAGGTCAGCAGGGACTTTCTCATGGGTGTGTTTGCATAGAGGCGGCGTGAGCGCTGGATGTAGATCTCTATGTGCTTCTTTTCCAGTGAACTGTAAAGCTCCTCGATCTTTCTGGCAGGCAGAAGTTCTCCGTGCTGCTTTCGCAGGTCTGCCACCTTTTTGTCCAGAAGCTGCAGACGCTTCGCACTTTCTTTACTCTCATCCTTCATGAGCTCGTAGTTGTCTCGCAGCTTGATCTCAAAGACGTCATCCAGGAAAACGAAGGAGAACTGGCTGATTTTAAACAAGAGATCAGGAGGCAGACATTGCACTGAGGAGGCCCGTCCTGGGAGACGGTGGAGCGTCTTCAACCACTTCTGCACACTAATGGCCATGTCAAAGGTTTTTGAGAAGTTGTACTGGTAGGGGAACTCGACAGATAAGGAGGGACAAGAAAAGACCCAGACGCGGTTTTGAGGAGTGGTCAGAAAAGGAAACGCGTCTCTGTGCAGCTGCATTTCAGTCGGCTCGTCGTTGGTTTCCACGTCCAAACCGTTAAAGGAGACAATGTTGTTGCCGTCAAAATTGAAGATCAACAATGGGGAGCTTATGTGCATGGAGGTGGCGTGCTTTGCGACCGAAAGGGCATCTGTGTGCAGTAGAATGTAGTTCTTCTCACTGACGTGGGCTGTTAAACGCGTAGATCCCATTTCAACACGAATAGACAAGCTTCTGGTCTGAGCTGGCACGGCTACAGCTTTACTGGCCTTTTCCTCTCTTTTCTCTCCGAAAAGTAAACACCAACAAGCCTGAGCTTCAGTCATGTGTTGATATAGGACCATGTGGTCTGGTGGAGCCCAGTCGACAGCGAGCTCCTCCTCACAATCAACCTGTTGAACATAAATAAAGATATTATATCAAGGCTGAAACTCCACCAGTGATGATAAAAACAGAAACATCGGATTACCTGTAAGGTGTGGGTGGTAACTTGGTACCAGATGGTAATTGCTGTGAGTTTGACTACTGGGTTGATGGTTTGGGAGGCGGGGCAGCATGTTTCCATGTTTTCTGTCACAGTTTTAACCACAGACAAGCTCATGCCAAGGAGGATCACTCTGGAGCTTTCAGCAGACGTCAGGGCGCTGACTGTGTCCATCCGCAGAGACACAGCTCCTAAAGAGAATGTTTAACATCTTAATTCTCAAAATAAATAAATAAATAAATAAATAAATAAAAAGTCTCTTATAAAATCAGTAACTAGAAATGCTGCACTGAATAAACTGAGGAACATCACTACAGAAGTGACATGTTTATTTGAACTGTCACTGAAGCCTCGAGTCTAATTCAAAATGCTAGATGTAGCGACATGAATGGCCTCATTTCTGACCCAAAGGTCACACTTCCTCAGCTGGGTCAAGCTGTACTGGCTGAACTTCTATTTACAGATTATCCTTCACAGGAGACACAAAGTCTGCTGTAAACCATCTTTTATCTGACTGCTGTTCCATCTGCAAGATGAAGGACACTTCAAGATTTAAAAGAATCATTTTTAATAAACTCTTTTCACTGTTTTATTACAATGTTCATAAATAATCATCAAGGTTCATTATAAATGTATTTAATTACTGAAATGAATTATTATTGTTTGGTTAATAATAATTATTATTTATGATAATCAGTAATCTTTAACAGTGTAAAGAAGGTCATGTGCACTTACACACACCATGCAGGACACTGAAATCAGGTTAAAGGTTACTGCACTCACACGTCTTTGTTCCATAACCAAAGCTTTCTATCTCTGAGAGGGCGTGTCCTGAGGTATCTTAAAACCAAAACTCCTCAGTTCAAGTTCAGTTCTTGAGCTCACCAAAATCTCTCCGTGGCAAGAGAGTCCAGAGTATCGGGTCGGCCGCTCGAAACCTCTACTAAGCTGTTCTGTCACGCTGATAGAATTGCTCCAGCTGACGCAAAACTCCTTCAGAGTTAATTTGAGACGCAAAACCATCCACCTGTCTACCTGCGGCAACTCTAGGACCAGAGAGTCGGTACCACTGGTCTCCTCTACTGGACCTAGTACCCCGAGGCTAATCAACATCCTCCCTTGACCTCCGGATCCAAACAGAGGGTCGTCTGAACGGTGAGGTAGAACCCAGATTGCGTCTGGAATGCCCGTTTCTTATTAGGAAATAATTTAGCTTAGCTGCAAAACAAACTCTTTCACCCAGAACGCGTATTCTCTCTCTGATAGAAACCTTCTGAGACTACATTCACACATCCAAACACACACATTTCATTTTAGTCCATCCAGACACAGGTTGCTTTAATACCAAGTTTTAATATCAAAGCTTTTATAAATTGTCATTTATGAATTGTCTTTTAAATTTTCATCTTTAAATTGTTAGTAATAAATTCTTAACTTTTTAAACCTGACTCTTCTTTGAATAAAACACAGAGTGGTGTATATTTGGTCACTGAACGAGCAAAGATCTCTTTAGATCTTCTGAATTAAATAAACTTTTGCTATTAATTTAAATCTCTTAAATTAAATATTAATCTTTGGAATAAATATAGACCAAGCCAGTTGGTGTATGAACTTCTATCGATTATATAAATATCCGTGGATATCTATATATAATATAAGTTCATTTGCCAATTTGTTAGATCTTTCTCAGGATTTAGCCAAGCTGATAGCAAACAGCATTAAATCCTAGTTCTGTAGATTAACTACGCTACATAGACAAAATATTCTCACCATGAAACACCTCACCTGCCACGGTGGAGAGCGTGAAGACATTAACATCCTCCAGACAACAGTCCAGTTTGAAGAGTAGATGCAACTGTGAGGAAGAGTTCTGCTGGATGGTTTGGTCACTAGAGGGAGACGTTGCAGCTACATCTGACAGCTGTGGCTCCGTTTCAGGACGTAAACACATCAGAGACATCAGGCGGGAGAGACACAGGGCACACGTCTCCGAAAGCTCCACCTGAAGACCCCTCAGGTTGGACTCCACGCTCAGGCTCGGAGACTGGCTAGTGGACTCTGACAGCGGTCGGTTGAAACTTCCCTAAAAATAAATAAAAGATGTTTAAAACCATACTTTTTATGAATTAAATAGTTTTCCTTTGGTATTTAGATTATATCAGATTCCCACCTGAATACTCAAGGTGTCTAGGATCAGGGCTTCACCCCAGACATGTTTACCAGGTGGGTGAGGTGCCTGTTGGATGTGAGAACCTTGACCAACTCTCCACCAGAAGTTTTCCAGGCTCAGCGAAGCTCGTTGGTGCAGGTTCTGAGACTCTGACCTCTCTTTGTCGCTTTTGAAGTCGAGAAGATGTTGCAGCTCTACAAACATAATAGGATGCTTCAGCAATTAGGAAAAATGCACAAGTAGGTGAGTCATTTTTTAAAAAGATCATAAAAGCAATAAACTCAGTCACCTGCATTAGCAGAGATGAAGCCAAGAGCGAAAGGTGTTGTGTCTCCCAGCTGGACGGACACGTTGATGTTGGACACGCTGGAGGAGATCCTCACAGGGGCATCCAGGTGAGGGAGGCGTCTGACAAAAACGAGGATGGGAAAATAATCTAACGGACTACACAACACGATGAGGTGATGGAAAACAATATGGAGTGTGTGATTCATAAAAATGGGTAAAGTAAAAAAAAAAGAGGTAGGAAATAAAGTACAGTTATAGGAGATTGTTGTAAAACATTTTCAGGGTCAATAAAATATGACCCCACAAATTGATAATAAAAGCTGTGACATCTGATTTTGTAACTTGCCTTTTCCTGTGTGCCGCCTTCCTGTGTAAAAGCTGTTGCCATGGGAATAGATTTAACCAATGGGAAAACTCCTGGTGACGATAGTGAACAATGCAGGTGTTGACTGTAAATGACCCACTAATGTCGATCGAGGTAACCTATAACAAAAAATAAAACCCGCAGACAGAATAATGAGTGACATCATTCTGGAGCTAGGTGTGACCATCAGGCATTTGCTTCACCTGCAGGACTGTCTTCAGACTGTTCACACACAAAATTCTCTGCCTGCTTTGAGAAAGAAGCAGCCCATCTGTTCACAGACAAAGTAGAAAGAAGAAAATGTTATTTATAGCTTCTTCCAGCATCTAATGCTGTGTGGAGACCAGCTGTCCACTCACCCTCAAGAAGGAGCTCCAGGCTGCTCTGAGGGAAGCTCAGCTCAGGGGTGAAGCTTTTCAGTGGATGCTGCTCATCGTCACGCCCATAAACCATCTTCAGAGACTTCAGAGTCCAGTTCAAATGTCTGCACAGATCAGATTAAGTGTCTAATATAATATTCAAATGCTGATCAAATTATGCAAAGCAATGCCTGTACGTGGGATGTAACTGGACCCGCAGTAAAATGTTGACTCACCGTTTCTGGCTGTGCATGGACAGGATTATGTTCGTATTATCAAATTCCACATTGACTTTGTGAGGAAGCAGTCGGTGAAACTGGTCAACAGCTTCAGTCTGGATGAATTTGTCATTTTCCCACTCTAAAAGGGAAGAAACATTTGTTCAGATTAATAATTTGTTACACAGACATTGAAGGGATATTCCACCCTAAGTGAAATTTTGTGTATTTCCGTATTCCGCAGAGTTAGATGAGTGAGGGAAAAAAAGCATTTTGTAACCAGTGCAGTAATTCTCCTGGTCTGGCTGCAGTCCGTCTGCTTTAGCTTAGCATAAACAATGGAAGTGAATAGCAGGTACTAGCATTTTGTGTGCAAAAGTGACTAAAATGACTCAACAATGATACTAAATATTCCTGGTGAGCTCAATAATCATGTCAACTGCAACTGAAAAGTAAGAAGTAACACAAAGGATTTCCAGGAGCCAATAAAGACTTGGGACTACATTACATCAAAGCCATCTTGAGAGGCACTATATTAAAAAGATCATTTTCTTTCTTACTTTCTAAACAAACAAAACAATAGATTTTAACACCAAGTTATTACTATCAAACTGGTTTCAGTGGTTCTTGAGTCAGAAACTCGGAGTAGATTCGCTGCTCCTCCACATCGAGAGAAGCCAGTTGAGGTGGCTTGGGCATCTTGTTAGGATGCCTGTATTGATTTAAATAACTTTAAAAAGTACTTTTGAGGGGGGGGGGGGGGGAGTACAATTATGGAAATACCAGACACTGCATCCGCAGATTTTCAATTGTCTCCTCATAAGTAGTGTGGACAAATTTGGACATCCGTACTGTAGAGTCTTATTTGTCCTAAGCATTTATTTCAAGTGCAGCATGAACAGTTAGATAAAGATGAGTTAGTTCATTTTGATGCTCCTTCCTTAAGCATTAGAGAAGGGACTCACCAGATCCAGGATGCTCTAGCTTCTTGTGGGCGATGTTGGGGGGCAGCAACAGCTGGCTGAGGAACAGCCCCTCATGCAGCTCTGCTACAAGCGTCCTCACATTCAGGGACAGAGATCCTGGTTTCATCTCTGGTAGGCTTACATCCCCGGACAGTAGCAGGCTCAGGGCCAATTCAGCCAAACATATGTCCTACAAAAGATAAAAATAAAAAAAAAACGTCAGTCACACTCAAAATGTTCTGTAGCAAAAATGGTAAATAAGCTCACCAATTCACTGCTTTTGAGCACTTTACTGCTCAGCTGCCCCACTGAGAAGTTCCATCCTAACCTGTAAAAACACAAACACGCTGCTCAGTTTCTTTTCAGACTTCGTTTCTATATAATTTACTGCATAGAAATAAGATTAGAGTTAAACAGAAACACCTTACTTTTTACTCTGATGATCGAGTAACAGGGTGATCCCTGTGAGAGTCATGTGCCACAAAGACTCTGAAAGCGCCAGGTTTAACACCATGACATTGACTGAGCTGACGTGGAAGGACAACAGCTGTAAACATTAAAAAAAAAAAAAAAAAGTTAGATTTTGCTCCCAAAAATCTCTGTATACAAGGTAGCACTGATCTATTATGAGCCTTTTTACCTGAGACAGAAAGCGCAGAGTCTTGGGTGAAATCTTCTTTGACTTCTTTCCATGGCCAGCTTTCACCAGAGAACGCAAAGGTGCTTGAAGGTCAAACCTAATTCTTGTGTCACCAACACACAAAGCCAAGCATCTCCTGAAATAAAGAAATATCAGAATCAAGTAGTTTTGTATTTTTAATTGTTTGACAAAAAGTTGTCCCACTGAAACAAGAACTTACGGCAAATCTTGGTTGAGAAATTTACTTGAAATCCATATTCTGTCAATTTCCTGTCACAAGAAAAACAAACAATGATGACAGATTAAAAAGTTAACTTTTGATACAGTGCTGCTCAAACAACCCAAGGTTTTCCTCAGACTCCTGCTGGATTTTTCATTCTAAAATACTTGATTTGTTCGTCTAGCTTATTTAAAGGTGTGGGACACTCGTTTAACGAACACATTTGCAGTGGTCTTTAGCAGGAATGATCAGAAGGTAGCTTAACAAGGCAGGATTTGGAGTCCTTTCCTGATATTTGGACATCTCACCTCGGATTGGCTAACAGCACCATGACGCTGCCACTGGGCTCGTTCGAGATGAGCCAGTTCTGCGCAGATTCGATCAACGGTGATCGGTGCTCAGTGCATGCCGGTTAGATTTGTGTCCAACTTGACGCCGACTTGGTCTGACGTCATGCCTACGTAGGCAACGATAACCTCGTGAGATCAAGGCAGCGGCAGATTTTGGAGCAAGGTGCTGCAGTTGCTCTCCACCGGCTGCAAAACCTAGGGGATGATGGGAAACGCCTGGCTCTCACCTGATCTAAGATCTGATTGGTTCACATTCTGATCACATCCGGTGGTAGAACATGAAATGTTAGTTGGTCACATGTATTCTGTAAATCATGCAACGTTGATGATGACAACTATATAGGCCATGAAGAGAAATGTGATTTGTGTTATTTTCTCACGTTTCCTATGAGCACACTAAACTTACAGCTGTTAACCTTTACTTATTATTACAGTCATATCTCCATATGCATCATATTATATCCACAAGCACGTGAGGATGTGTTTCAGTTGCTAACGGGCACCAGAATTAAAATAAATAATTAAACAAGTATGAACACTAACGCAATATCTTCATCCATGTCACCTGCGAGCTACACATGTAGGGAAATCTGTCCGACTTAAACTCCGGCTTTCAGCCGCACCCCCTGCTGCTTCCGTCTGCTCTCGTCTGTTTTCCAGGCGAGGCGCTGCTCAACTCGAACAAGCCCACTGACACTGCGACATGGACATTTTATTTTTCACAAACAACACAAGCCTGAAGGAGTTCTGCTGTGTGGTGGAGTTGCTAATGCTAACGGTGACTGCAATGATGTTCTTTGCTGTTTTCTGGACGCTAACCAACAACAGCCTTCCACGTCATGAGTCATGATGGGTGAGAAATGATTTAAAATAGTTTGTTTCAGCATTCCACACCTACAAGCCCTAGCACTTTGTCTGAAATATGTACATTTTTATTATTTGCAACGCACCAATTGCACAACTGAATGGAAAAGCACACTATATTCAAAGAAAACCTTCAATAAGCCTGATGCACTCTTGATCAAAACCCTTTTTAAAAATTAATATAGTCTGACTCCTTAGAGGATATTTTTCAACTTTTATGCAGTGCATTTTAATGGGGGAGGAAAAAATGCACCAAAACCTCAAATAAATCGTCACCACTGAAATAAACACGTAATCTTGTCTTGGGAGCAGTCATATTGTGTGAACTTGTGAGAGATAAATGTCATGCAAACACGATTTACCCTACCAGAGTGTGCTGAGGGTGAAACTGGATCTTAATCCCTTGGACCGAAAACAGTCCAACTGATTTGATCTTCAGCTCTGCATTCAGTGCAGTCTGGAAGAGACGCACAGCCAAAGTACAGATGAGCCACCTGGAAACAGAAGACAATAGAAAGTATATTTGATCATTTTTCATTTAAAATGACAAAAATGAGAAGATTCAATTAGGTTGCAGCTTCCAAATGAAATTTGGATTTTCTTACCTGGCAATGATGCATAACACAATCCCCAGCACAAAAATGAGAAGGAAGGATATCAGCACGAGAGACATTGTGTCCCAAGTTGTTCACACCCAAATCATGGACATGGGTCTGGCTTTGTTAATCAGCTGCTGCCAAACAGGAACAGATTGAATAATCACATGAATCCTGACAGTTCGACTGAATTGCATGTAAAGACGAGCACCACAAGCGTTTCTATCAATAAAAAGTGTATCGTAAACAAACAGTGTGTGCTAAAACGAGCCCCAAAGTGCTAACCCTGCTAATTAGTAATTATAAAGTAGTTACCATCGGTAGTTACAGAAAGCCACGAAGCTGAACTTTACCAAGTTAGCAACAGTGTTAAAACTCTTTTCCTAGGCTAAAGGTCCTCCTAGTAAACCCGTCACTGGGTGGAAACCCGTAATTTGTTGTCAGCGAGTGTAAAACGTTAGCATAAAGCAGCCAAACACGAAACAGTTAAACAAATTCGCTGCCGCGTCACCTTAAAACGGCTGCTAGCATCCTAGCATGCTAGCGCCATGGCTAACGGCACAGCTGCAAGACTGCAGCGCAATTAGCCCTTAATTCTGCTACTACGGAGAATATGTCTAGTATACAATAGCATCCTCTAGTTAATTGGCATATTCACTTACCCTGAATTGTGCAAATGGCTGGGTTGTTCCTGCATAATGGTGCAGAGAGAAGGTACAGTTGGGTGTTCAGGCAGAGTAAACAGAGTTCAGGTCTGCCCTGCTCAACTGGCAGGTCACTTGACATGCATGAATGACGCACTGGAGCATAACTGTTCCATTTTATCCCTTTTAAACTGTACATTCATCTATTTAGTGTTGCTCAGTATACACATCCTTTATTTTGTTCACGCGTATAAGAAAATACACAAAACTATTAACTACAAATAGATGGCTTAAACCGGTCTATTAAGAAATGCTGCAGGAAATTTTAAACCATAAGAATCCAGCTTCAGTTTACATTTAACTGGGATCTTATTCGCAAATCTGAAAAAGTCACAAAAAGTGCACTTCAAAATACCACTTAGATATATTCAGCATCACAGTTTTGTGGTCGTCCTTGTGTTTGAACATCCAACGCTTGCATTTTTTCAAGACTTTATTTAACTTTGTGCGTTACAATTTGTTCAAATCAAGTTTCTAAAGTTGCAGTCAGGTAGTTTTACAGCAGATGTGTGAAGTATTACTTCTTCCTGGAAATGCATTCAATAGAATAATATTAATGGGGGGGGGGGGGGGGGGAATAAACAATCTTGTGGTTCATTTTTATTCAGAAACACACTTCACATCCCAGGCTAAGCAGAACAGGTGTCTTGTTCTGTCTCGTCATCCTGTGAAGAGATCAGAGAGGTATGGCCCTCAGTTTCTCAGGCAGCTCATCTCATCTTATGCAGCTGCCTTCTGTCTGTTGTGTTTGGCAAACCACTCGTCACTTCTATCCTCAGCCATAGCCTAAAATATTAAATCAAAGACATAAAGAGCATAATCAGCATGCAGATGCATATTAAACATAGAAGGTGAATTTAAAATGACACTGACCTTATCAAGCAATTCATTTCCTTGAGGATCCACAGCAGATAGCTGCCTAAAGGCCTCATCTCCCACAAAACAAATCTCATGACCATCCTAATAAAATATTTTTTACAGTTTGAAGTGTCATCAGATTTTATTTTATACCACTGATGCATTTGTTGTTTAACCATTTACTTACTGGATCAGTTAAAATAACCACTTCTACTGTGGCTTTTCCCGGTGTGTCCAGGCTGACTAATGGAGTGAGAATGTTTTGATTTTCCTTTTTCATCAAAGCTTCTAGGTCTGGCAACTGCAATATGGAAATAATGAATGAGACAAATTATGCTTCTTTTAAGTGCACAATTCAGAGTGTCTTAAATAAGAAAGAACATTTTACTTGCTCTCGTGGACATGAAAATGCTATTCTTCCAAACGCTGTTCCATGGTCCACTGTTCCGCTGATATCCCGAAGCTCCAGTTTACACTACAAAAGAAAACAATTATACATGCAATGCACACATTGCACATTAGATTTATTTCACTCACCTGACATTCAGCAAATCCCAACAGCACATTTTTATTTTTCTCATTTTGGTTCATCAGTTTCATTCCTAAAAGTGTAGCCCAGTAGTGAGTTGATCTCTTGAGGTCTGAGACTCCAAGAGAAACCTTCTGAACAGGATCTAGATGGTAAGAAATAATCATAAAAGCACCATTAACATTCAAAGTTCGACAGAAAGCTAAACATCATGTGTCTCCTGTTCAAAGTAATGATAATTGCCCTGATAACTATTCAATTGTGATGTGGTCGATAAGCTTGAATAAACATCACTAAATTCGATATTTTAGTAAATAGGAGTTTAAATCTATGAAAAGAACTCCATGTTTGCCATTTTTACTTGTATTATTTTCTATCTGGTCATTTGCACAATACATAAACCATAATACATCTTATAGCTTGCACAAAAGAGGCAAGTTTCACCAGTAGTAGGTTGTTCTTTGTCCACAATGTAGAAAGGGTATCCTCCAGGAGCATGCGTTAAATACAGAGCATCCTCCACCTGAGTCAGAGGCCACCCAAGTCGTTTGGCATTGCTTACAGCTTTGCTGGATTGTAGTGTGAGACCCTAAGTGGAGAACACGTTGAAATATTCACCTGCACAATGTATATAACAAGTTCTGAACACTTGGTACTCCTATAGGAAGTGTTTAATTTAACCCTCACTCACCAAGAAGTCATTGCCAAGCTGATAATCTCCCACCCCATAATTGTATGTCAGTTCAGCAACAAAATGGTTATCCTCTGGGCCGAAGCCAACCATTGTTTTACTCCATTTTCCATCGTAGGGACTGAAAAGATAAAGGGGGTCAGCAGCTCTGTGATATACGGAGTGCAAAGTTCAGGTAGTTTGAGATCTCTCGTTTTCTACCCATTGCAAGTTGCTTTGCAGCCTTCCTCAAATTCTTCATGTCGTAAAACCTGTAATAATAATAATTAGTCAAAATAACCTCAGCGTTTCTGTGCATCTAAAAAAAGAATATGTCTAGGTTTGTAAAATATTAAATAGCACATTTTCATTCACAATCACTTTCCTCCAAATGCAGTTTCAAATACCTTCATGCCAAGGACATCTCGGTAAAACGTCGCTGTTTTGGCCCGGTCGCCAACTTTGAAAACAAAATGCAAAGCTCTTCTCGAGGCCATGTTTATGTCTCTTACGACTTACTTTCCTGGATGATAGAATTTTCTGTTATCGATTGCTATGTTTAGCATTTCTGGTAAATACCAATAAGCCTGTACTTAAAATAGGCACAAACACAAACTGTGCAATTATTATCTTACTATAGCAAATAAAAATTAATGTCGTAAATTAACGAAGCAACCTCTATCGACATCATACATCACATCAAAGTTTTCTTTAAGACTATAAACATTTCATGACCTCCCTCTGATGGTAGTGGTATCGCCTGATAAATTATCGCGAGATTACATTTGTTGTTGCGTTGAGATGTGTTTCGTCGTCGACCTGTCCCCCTCCCAGTTTGTGCTTTTAGCCCTACCCCTTAGATGTAGTTTACATTAGCATTCTTAGCTCAGTGTCGGCCTCTAGCCTTCTTTACCCAAATATAAAAAAGATGCCTCCGCTTGGGTTACAGGAAATAACTCAGTTACTTATTTAGGGTTGCTCAGTTTCTGATTTTTACCAATCTCTTTAATTTCCTAAAACATTTCTCACTACTAAAGCAAAAACATGACATCAACTAAAAAAATAGAAACCGATTAAACGTGACAATCCAATTCCTTCCTAAACAATAAACCTAATATATACCTAACAAGAAAGAAAAATGCTTTTTTCTCAGTAAAAACTAAACAAAATAAAAATGAATGAAATAAATATCTAACCCAAACACAAAAGCGGAACCAGCAAATCACAACTTTTTTTTCTTGATAAAATAATTCAAAATTTTGTTCATCAGGAAAATAAAGCGTGTAAAACACACACACACACACACACACACACACACACACACACACACACACACACACACACACACACACACAGTTCATTCCATAGGTTAATTCACAAGGAACACATCTGAAGATTCTTATTTCTTCTATGCCAAAATATCAAGTATATAACACATTCTATTTGAGGGTGCCTTTCTACGACCCATGCAGGGTCATGCGGAGATAAAAAAGAAATAAGAACCTAAACATTAATAAAACAGTTAAGAGCAATATAAAAGCTAAAATCAGGTAAAATCTCTATCTAAAGTGAATCTGCTTGAACAGATGTGTTTTGAGCTGGGTCAGAGTAAAAGATTCAGTGTTTGGGAGGAAGTGAGTTCCAGAGACTATAGGGCTTATTTTTGTCCCTTAACTTCACAATATAATCTTAATATAATTTTAATTATGTTAAATAAGCTTATTTTTTTGCATTTTGGGGAGGTCAAAGGCACATGACGTTGCTTCTATTTGTAAACTTTGCTCCTAGTAACACTCTGGTTGTGCAGCACCAGGCTAAAGACCAAAGGTGACAGATCATTTGCTGCTGTGGCCCCCAGACTCTGAAACTCTCTCCCCCTGAGCCTGAGATCAGTGGACTCAGTGGTTTCCTTTAAAAAGCAGCTGAAAACTCACCTGTTCAAGCTGGCTTCTGCGTGACCTACGTCACCACCCTAGAAAGAAGCCTAAAGAGCCTAGAAAGAGCAGAATAAAGAGAGCTCTCCTTATTCTGCTCTTTCTATTTATTCCACCTTTCCCCCACAGTACCTCTTTCCTATAAATTTTCTCTCTCCCTTTACTTACATTATTATTTTTATCACTCTTTTTATTTTATTTTTCTCTCAGTTTAAACATATTTTTAATCTTTTTAAAAAAATTTATACTATATTAATTTTTTGTGAAGCACCTTGTGATTTTTATCTTGAGAGGCGATATATCGTTTTCTTTCTTTTCTTTCTGCCTGTCACTCAGCAAGATGGCTACACATAATTTATGACTAGGTTCTATCTCAGGGGTCAACCTGGTGCCCCAGGAACTAAATAAGCACAAGTCTGCAATAATAATAAAAAACATTTCTGCTGCCATCTTTTTGATCACAAATGCATTAATATATATTTTAAATCTACACAATACATTATGTTTATTGTACATGAAGTTTAGTTTAACTGATCTATTCCAGTTCAAAGATCAGCCTGGTAGTCCTTCGTATGGCTCAGTACCTCTGAAGTAGCTCTCAGCTTCACAAAGGCTGGTGACCCTAATCTATCTGAAGCAAACTAAAACCTTAGAAATTATGGTGGAAAATTTAACACGTACAGTTCACTTTACCTTCCAGCAGGTGGCAGTAACGTTTTACCTCGTCTTACAGCAACGTTTACGGACAAAAGAAGAAGGTACAAGATGGCAGCGTTCGTGAGAAGCGTGTTATGTCAGCTTTCCACCGAACGAAATGCATTTCTAACCAAAACTAACACTATTATCGTCGAATCCAAACGACTTGTTCGTGGACTGAGGAGGAAACCTGTCCGAGTTTTGTTTCCTGAGAACGACTCTAGTAGAGTGGTGAATTCTCATCAGCAGCCAGAAGAAAAAGCGACAAGAATCACTTCTAAAACACAGAATATTGAGAGAAAAGATGCAGTTAAAATGAAAATCACTGAGCAGTCGAGTGGAAAGCGTCCCCAGGTTGCTGTTACAAGGGATCAAGTGGACGGAGTTCGCTTTGAGAGGGCTTTTCCCGGAGACAAAAGATTATCGTGAGCAATTGTATTAAATCTCATATTATTTTTAATTGCCACGAGCTTGATTGCATCCCATTGTGTAGTCTATTATCTTAAAACAATTATTATAATTGTGATTTGATTTTTTTCTTGTAATAAAAAATAACCATAAACGCTCAGGCCTACACATGGGGGTAAATTACTAATATTTCGGTCCAGAAAGTGTAGGTGATATCACATGATGAGCTGTCTCTCCCTCTCCACCTCTCCACCAGGAAGCTAGTAAGCGTTGCTCGCTCCAGGACATTCCGTGAGCACCAGGGCAAAATCCTCCTTGAGGGCAGGCGTTTGATCTGTGACGCTCTGGAGGCCAACGCCAGTCCACAGATGGTGTTCTTCAGCACCGTGGAGCGACTCCAGGAGCTGCCTCTAGACAAGCTGAGAAGAGCCACGCTTGTCAAAGTCAAGTCTGAGGACATAAAGATTTGGTCTGATCTTGTTGCACCACAGGGAGTGATCGGTAAGAGTTTTATTTTGAGGTGTAGGTATCCTGAGCTGTTTGACATCCAAATCACTCTTTAAACTTTCTGCAGCCATATTTTCTCGGCCAAACCCGGAACGGTTGAACTTTTCACAAAGAGGACAGTCCGTGCCGCTTTCCCTGATATGTGATAATATCCGGGATCCGGGTAATCTTGGGACCATGCTGCGATGTGCTGCTGCTGCTGGCTGCCACAGAGTCCTGCTCACAAAAGGTAATGCTGATACTTCCAGTTTAACATCTGAGCATCCATACACAGCTTTTAATGTCTCTGCTTACAATCTTCATAACAGGTTGTGTTGATGCTTGGGAGCCTAAAGTTCTACGTGCAGCCATGGGTGCACATTTCCGACTACCCATTTATCCCAATCTGGACTGGGATGATGTTAAAAATCATCTGCCTAAATCGGTGACTGTCCACGTGGCTGACAGCGGCCCCGACATAAGTGCTGAAACAGGGGGAAATGGGTCTCACAAACCGTCCAAACCAGGAGACTTTGGATGGGTCAGCTCAAGGCCTGATGGTAAAAACATGTTGTACCAGGAATATGACTCTGACTCAGAGTCTGACTCAGAGTCTGACTCAGATTCTGAAGACGAGGGCCCTCAGCTCTCCAGAGTGGAAACCAAGCTGTACCACGAGACCTGGACTCGGAGTCCCTCTGCGCTTGTGATTGGTGGAGAGACGCACGGTTTGAGCGTGGAAGCGGTCCAGTTAGCTGAGGAAACCAGCGGTCACAGGCTTTTTATTCCTGTTGTTCCTGACGTGGACAGTTTGAATTCGGCCATGGCGGCCAGCATCCTTTTGTTCGAAGGCAGGAGGCAGCTGTTAACGCTGCTGCAAACATCTGGGAAGAAACGTCAGTCTAAACCTGAGAGGAACTTTTCCTGAGGTTTCCAATTGAATATGGAACCAAATGTATCATAATCCATCTGTCTTGCAGTAAAATCCCGAGTTTAAATTAGGTTTTGCAAAGCTTATGTATCAGGTGTTGTATTTGTGTTCATATATTTTGTTTTAAGGACTACTTTTAGCTATGTCATTGAGCCAATTTATGAATATTAACTGATCTGTAATTGGAGGCTATTACAAACTTTCCTCAATCATTTGACATAAGTCTTTGGAGTTTCACTGTTTCAAATAATTGTATATCCTAATTAATCAAAGACAACTTGAATTTCTCTTTAAAACAGCAAAACGCATGTTTTAAAGATTTTAACTCAAAACATTTTAACTCATATCACGAGTTCAGAAAAAAACAAGGTTGTTTTTGAAATGTCACTATGGATTTAATGGGTAGATATAATAAAATGCAACAAAACACAGCTATAGTTTATCTGCAATAGTTACAAAATCACTGCTTACTATAGCAACTAAATGACAAATGACTTAAAATGAGCCTTAAAACCAGATTGATCATGAAGGAGCTACCTTTCCATAGCAAACATTTCCTTTTTGTATAATTTAAATTGAGCTGTTAGAATTAATAGTTGTGGATAGTCTGAGAAGTAAATTTAACCTTTAGAAGGGAAGGCGAGAACTATAGTTAGAATAAATTTGCATAAATAAAAATGAAAAAAATTGGATTATGCAATAAAAATTATGAATCGAACTGAATTGGTTGACAGAATTTCCTGGATTAGCACGTCCTTCAGAAGATGAACAAAATTCTCTCCTTCAAGCCGAAATCTGGAGTTTGTCAGAGGACACCACCTAGAGGTGGAAACATGTATCACACTTCAGCCCCTCTCCCTACTTCCATGACTACAGCTGGAAGCAACACCTCGTGTTCGTGAATGCAGACCTCTAGCTGGCCAACAGAGGTATAACACATCGTTATATAATTATTATCACATTATGCTGTTTGTTTATATATGTATATAAACTTGTTTATAACAAATCACCAACTCTGCATCAATCTAGATGTGTCCAAAAAACACGCATGCCCACTGACCGATATATAGCAGGTGTCTAACACTATTGGCTATCGCTGAGCGGTGTTCAATTTAAATGGCATGGGGCTCTACGAGACGGGGGCGGGGTTTAGCAAAAAAAGATATGTTGTCTAGATTATATCATACAGGGTAAGACTATTGACGATCACTTTTACAGATTTCCCCCAAAAATCATGCATATTTCCTGAAAGTGAGGAAATTCCAAAATGTAGCTTTATAGTGTTTAATTTTTAGGGTGAGGAGCTTGGAGAGTAGCTCCTCCACGTGGAGAGAAGCCAGTTGAGGTGGCTCGGGCGTCTGGTCAGGAGGCCTGGAAGCCTCCCTGGGCAGGTGTTCCGGCCATGTCCAACTGGGAGGAGACCCAAGGGAAAACCCAGTACATGCTGGAGGGACCATGTGCCTCTCAGCTTAGGCTGCTGCCCCTGCGACCAGACCCTGGACAAGTGGCTGAAAATGGATGGATATTATTCAGGTTCTGATTAAACTCGACAGGAAAAAAAACAAGCTTGCAAGTGAATTTTTTTTTATTGTGCACTGAATGTGGCTGAAGTAACAGAATAAAACAATTCATACATTCGACAATTCTCAAAATACCATTTTTTGTGCCTCCAGAAACAATCTGGCTATTTTTTTTTTCCTCATTAGGGGACCTTCACAGAAAATCCTCAAAATGATTCTGAGATGAGAATCGTCACTAACAGCTGGCTAGAAATGACTTTCACAACAAGATTTAAAACATCAGTCATTGGTCAGTTACAAGCAAGCTATGTGCTGTTTACTGTGCGTGCACCTCTTAAGAGTTTTCGGCTACATCCAACTGAGATTTCCACTGTCTGCACGACTTGTGAGCATGTTTTATTTTCTTAACATCATCCATAAACCAAAGGTCACACTGATTTTGCAGTCAAAACAGCAAAGCAAAGCCTTAACAAGTAGGTCCACTGGGTAATTTTCTGGTTTTCTCTAGAATTCAGAAACACTGTTGTGCTACTGTGTAAAAATATTTAAAAAATAAAAAAAGGGGGGGGGGGGGGGAACTCCACATATATTACTGTATGGACTAAAGTCAATGCAAAGGCACCACAGGAGAAAAAGAGGACTCCATGGAAAAAGGAACAAAAGACAAAACGTCAGTAAAAATGAGATTTTGTGTTTTTAACAGTCAGGAGGGGGGAGGTGAAGACGAGGCTGAGGCTGGTGAGGGGTGAGTGAACAGATCAGGGTCAGGGTGAGCCCCGCGCATTAAGGTCCGGCGGGCTTTTCTCTCCTCAGATGGGTTCCGGCTTGAGCTTTTCAGCCAGAAAGTCGTTGACAAACTGCTCCACAACAGCCGGCGTGATCTCCTCCACGTCACGGACGTACTTGGCACGAGCCGACATGTCAAGGATGGTGAGCAGAGGAGCCGCTTCGGGGAGGTTGGTGTAGTCTCGCAGCGAGTCGCTCATGTCATCCTGAGGAGGAACACAGTCGTGTGAAATTTTACGAAGAAACTGTCACAACAGATGTTCGTATCAGATGCATATGTTATTATTTAGATGGAGTTCTTGTCTTTCAAAAGAACACGACTGTAAACTCGACCTATTGAGATTAGTGGCTGCATAAAACCACGTAAAGGGCCGCAAATGCCCCACGGGTCACACTTTGGGCTCGCCTTCTTTAAAGGATGTTGATTGAAATACACAAAATTTAAAATTTCAACTGAATGTTACTGAGGGCCACTGGAAGACCTTTTTTACTCTACCAAAACAATCAAAGAAAAAAATTGCTCATCTAGTTTATTTAATGCATTTACTTTTTGAAATCTTTTATTTGAAAGCTTCAGATTAAAATGACAAATTAACATTTAAAGAGTGCCCAAGTATAAGGTCACAACGGGTTCAATCGTGGAGTTGAGCTTCAGAGGAGAGGATTTACATTTATTTCTGGCTAGAAAGCCTTGCTGCAAACCTGAATTTTAATGTCTGCCAAAGACAAACATGCATGCCTTGCTGCTCTGAATGTGGAATGGTGTGTGTGCATGCATGTGTATGTGTGTTATAATATCTTCTCATCAACCATCCTGCATGGCGTCTAAATTACAAACACACTGTCAAACACTTGATATCTTCCTCTGAAGATTTTTTCTGCAGCTAAGGCTGCAGAAAACCAGTTCCCTTTATTTGAATGCACCTATTATACAATTACCTCATAAAATCCTGAACTGCCTGACACCATCTTTATTACTGCACACTCCTTGAAAGAGAATGTGAAACTCGTCTTCCTTTAGGCGCTGTGCCTGTAGAGCCCCCAGTTTCTGCTTATTCACACGTCCCGCTGTGCTGAAAGATGAGGTGGGGGTCCGACACCAGCCCCTTACATCTCGCAGCTCGCTCAGTGCAGGTTTAAATCTCGCTCTGGAGCGTTTGGCAGGAGGAGCCGACTCATAAATATTAAAGCAGAAAATAGATAGCTGCAATATCATTTTTTGTTATTACTCTAAAGCTTGATGTCATCTTTCTCCCTTTCAACAAGTCAGGATTACATCTGTAGCCATCGGTGATGTGACGTTAACCACAGAGTGTCATGATTCAGCTGCAAAAGCAGGCGCTCTTCAGGTTTTACTCTCATACTAAAAATCTGGGAAATTTACAAGAGAGAAATGCATGAATGTATCCTGATGGTTCACGTGTTGTCCTAAAAACAGAATCAAGTGTTCAGACACGTTCCCATCCCCATGACCTGATTTCCCTCGACTAAATTTTCTGGCTCAGAAGTCGAACTGACTTAGATTAAACACCAGTTTCATATGGAAAAGATTAGGTTACTGGTCCTGAAGTTACGAGTACATACCAGAGGGTGGCGCTGCAACAACAAACTGGACAGAGAAGCAGTGCCTCTTGTCCCTTTCTGAGTTTAGTGAATAAAAAGCCAATGATAAATAGACTTTAGATGCATTTCTGGTTTTGATATTTGCTCCTTCTTTCCTTAAAAACTCTTCCTAAACAGATCAAATCCCACAATCAGATCAAAGATCTTATATGGAATAGTTTGGCTGTGCTGCTACCTAACAAGGATCTGTAGGCCAAAATGAAGCTGGTGACCTTTGAAAACTCCTAACAGATGGAGGAGATGAGCTGGATTGTGGTTTCTTATAAACTCTGAATGAAACTGGTTTTATCGAGCTGCAAATCACCAAACATCTAATACTCACAGATGTAAGCTGCCACTAAGAACAACACGGTTACTGGTAAGTTACAACTTCATTCTCCCACTACAAATACAACCCTTCCCTTTCAGGCTCTCTTGCAGCTCCATGAAGCGTAGATTATAGATCATCCGGGTGAGCGGTGCAAAGACACCACAAATTTCCACAATCTTCCACTGTGGCCTTTTCCAGCCTCTCAGATACGATTTGTAATCTTGCATCCTTCATGCCTCCATGGAAAGTCATGCATCTTCTTTTGTGTGGCTTCCTTGCTCGTGTGAACACTTTTGGTGAGGTGTGGCCATTCCACAGCCCACCCTCCTTCTCCCTCTAGACAAAGGGTCTTTTTGCAGCTCGCACTCACAGTTGTGATAAGGCTCAGCATGTGTTTACCGTGTAGGACCTGCTGGGCCCGGTCAGGATTATTCTGATCACTGCCTGTAGCGTTTCAGACAACGGCCAACTGGTTAAATGCTCCACTGATAAGGACCCCTCCCCTCTGACCTCTGAGCCAAAGCAGAGTCCGTCTTCACGTCTCGGGGAACAATCACAGATCGCAAGCCTCTATGAACAGGACTGAAAGCATCACAGATGAAATCATTTTTAAAGCTAAAATAATAAAATGAAGAGCTCATGACATTACTGAGCATACTAAAGGAGTGAGAGTTGAGTAAGTTTTCAGTTGAGGTCATGAAGAATTTGGTATTTAGGTCCAAACTGCCAACAACTTGTTCAGTATGATATTTGGGCAAACGTCACAGATAACACCCAAATGCATCATATGTTTGCAATTCATCCTCAATTTGATTGCAAACTTCTCTCAAAGTTTCTCACATTTGTTTTTGTCATGGATACTAAATGGTGACAAGTTTGGAAGGAGAGACAACTCAGGTAATGTATGAATAACAATTCTACCCACACAAGAAAGGGCGAGACTTTGTGACTCATGCGGGGAACAGAGAAGCCTTGAGGAATGATTTGAGACAATTTGGAAACTCCCTTGCAAATTGCAGCCCAGTGAAATACCGGCTTAAAAATGACTAAAACATTGATAACTGAGTTGTTATATGCTAAGGTTTGTCATCAAAAAGAGAGGAGATGTGGTAGAGTGCTTTTACAGGTGTGGTTTACTCGTAGTGGTGTCCAGTAGGAATGAATGCCTTGTAAGTTGTACTCTTGGGGAAAAAAGCTCTAGTGTGCATGTTTGAGAATGTAGAACTCAGCTAGAGGAGGAAGTGGATGGTTTAGGAGTCTTATTTCCTGATATTTGGACATCTTGCCTCCGACAGGCTAACAGCAACACAACTATACAACGGACTGTTTGCTTTGCAACGTGGATGCAGATAACACAAGCCTGAAGGGGTTCTGCCAAGTTGTGGAATTGCTAATGCTAACGGTTAACTTCTACTAGCCAAGACGCTCTCTGCTCTGTTCTGGACACTAAATCAACAACAGCCTTTCCCGTTGTAAGTCAAGTTGGGTGAGTCCATGAATGTTAAGTGACAGTAGAGCTGTTAGACTTTTCTGAACCAAATGTTTTTCTGTCAATTTTCTATCAGACGCTAATGCAGGAAATACTGGTAGAGGACCTTTTTTACATTCAGTCTGCATGTTAAACTCATAGTGAGTGATCATTTAAAAAATAGTAAGTAAAAAAATCTCATCCACAGCAGCTCTCCTCCAGGTGAGAGGGGGTTATATGTTGATTTCCTCGTTTGTGACATCACAAATGGGAATTGTTTGAAACAGCTTGTTTTAGACACATAATTCCTGAAACCAAACAATTACAGAAAACCAATAGATGGATGGAGTTTTTTCACATTTGGAGTGTTAATAGAGGCAATAGAGACCCACATGGCAGCAAAAAAGAATGCAGAAGATATGTTTTGCATAATATTTAAAAGGCAAAAATTGATCTGGATGTTTATGTATTAATGTTTAAGCTAAAGAAAAATTCATAATGCTGGAACAAATGTGCAAAAAATTATTATTTTTAATACCATCAAAATGTTAAACTGTAATTTTTAATTTAAACTTCCATAAAAGCCAAAAATATTAAAATGTAGAAATGTGAGACCTTATTAAATAGACAATCAGTAATTTTTACCTTTATTCTCTGAAAATATCAATCGAAACATTGTTGAAAATGAATGAAATGTTGTCCAGCTGTTGAAAAAAATTGACGGCTTCTAACCATATAACTATAAAAATCGGGTCTAAAGTACATAAACTACACACTGCCACTTTAATGTCCAGCGTCTTTTGGGGACGTCACGTTTCCTTCTGGTCAGCTTGGGGTCCTGCGCCTGTCGATGATGTCACACTAGATGACTGGCTGGACATACGACTCACGTAAGTTACATCACCACGTTCAAAAACATTTAGGCAGTAGGAAGCACATATTTAATAACAAAACTATTTCCAAAACATATGTGAAACAAAATAATTGAAAAAGAGATGCAATATATTTTGGCCGAGCGGTATTGCCATAGTAAGATGATGTCATCGGCAGGTGCAAGCCCCTGAGCAGGTTCGGAAAGTACCGCGCCAGAAAACTACAATTGGCATTGCATTCTCTCATGGTATTACCTGAAGGACCATCAAAGTCTGAGGAGTCATGCCAAGATTGCATTTTTTCTGCTCCACAGGTAACATTTACTGTAATGTTTTTTAAACTGGCAACAGTCAGGAAGATATGGTGTAAAACTACCCTGAAATGTATGTATGTACTGCCCTCTAGTGGCAGGAAACTACACACTGCCACTTTAAAGTCTAGATCGATTACACTTTTAGTATTTTTGCTAGAATAACAGCAGAACTGCAATTTCTGCTCTAACTCTGAACATCGAACCAGGACTCAAATGTCACTGCAGCCCACTAAAATGTTGTTAAAACATCAGACTCATCCCTGTGTTTAAACACAGCGTTGACGCTGGAAAAAAAAAAGACCTGAAGGTGTAAAATAGATGTAAATTTAGTAGAAAAGAGTAAAGAAAATAATTCTGTTTCCATTTATAGATCAGTAGACTAAATCAGATCCTGGTGTCCCCCTGAGGGACAACGACCAGCATGCTGCTGTCTTCTGGACACAGACGACTCAGCAGCTGGCTTGGCACCGAACCGAGAGACAAACCCACACCGAGGTGAAGTCGTCTAATTTGGAAATCAAACCTGGAGATTTTATCACCGGTTGAGCCACAGCCAGGAAGCAATACCTGCGCTACAATGATGTAAAAATATTTGATTTAACATTCGTGTCACGGGAGAAACAAGACGACACAGACTGAAGAGGTGACGCAAGAAGCACCTGAGTGACTTACAGGCAACAACATGTCTTTGTGTTTAGTCGAATAAATGTTGGCTATGCTCTGTTCCTCAAACCCAAGCGTTTCTCCTTCTGCATTTATGAGTGCCGGGGGACATTTTAAGGCTGACATTGGAGCAGGCAGGGTGACAGCACATGTGCAATCCCCGTGGCCGAAATCTGAGCTAGCAAGTCACACGAGAAACCAGCACTGCCCTACCAGAGCGAGGAAGAAGGGAAGCTGGAGGGCAAACAGAAGGGGGACTCAGGAGAGTTAGCCAACCTGCTCATTAAATCTGCTGGTCCTAACCCTAACCCTCTGGTTCGTCCCACACTGGGGGGACGCTTTGGAAACAGGTGAAGGGATGAAGAAATCACACATTTGAAGAGTGGTTCACAGGTACAGCTACAGGTACAGTTGATGCTCAAAATCTGGGCGTTTAATTTGTAAATGATAAATGTAACCTGAAGGGGACATATTATTCAAAACTCCTCTTTTGCATCTTTTTGTGCTGCCATGTGTGTCCCAGCTACCTCTATGATCACTCCAAGTGTGAACAAAGTCCATCCATTAGTTTTCTGTCAGTATTCAGCTTTAGAATTTATGTGATGGAAACAAGCAGTTTCAAAAAGTCCCTGTTTGTGACGTCACAAATTAGGAAGTTAGAAAATAGAACCACCTCTCACGTGCATGAGAGTGCTCTAGGCTGGAGCTGCTCCTCAGCTTATAGCAGCCTGAGTGGGGGATGGGTGGGTGAGGCCAGCCCTAGCCTGTTTACTAAAGTGATATTGCCCTGAAACGGCTCATTTTGGAAAGTACTGAAACTGCCAAGAATAAAACTATGGAAACTGTTTTATACAAAAGAGTTTCACTTCAAAGAGCTTCATAAACACGAACATCTCACCTCTCCAGCGACAAAGAACAGCAGTGGCATCTCCTCCTCCTTGGCTTTGTATTTGGCCATGAGCTTCTCTGCTATTGGCTGAATCAGTTCTTTAGCTGGGTCGAGTTCTCCTTCCTCCTCAGCGTCTGAATAAATCAGGGGAAAAAAAAGAGTACGAATAGTGTTAAAAGTAAGAAAAAGAACTCCTGTGAGAGGAATGAAAAAGATGAGTGAAAGCAGAGGTGAAGGAAGAGAGATGACTGGTGAATGAGGAGATGAAATAGAAGCACACAGATGGTCTCTGTCTCGTCTTACGGTTTTTGTTTCACCTAGAGAGACACCAGAGGGCTCTCACACTTTAAGGGTAATCACTGCGCATCTTCTCTGAATTTTGTATTGTTAAAAAAGCCGCTCTGCATCCATGTCCTGCTTCCATTCTGGTAGGAAATCTACTTTTTGCACATTCTGCATTAGCATATAAATCAAATAATTCACACACACACACACACACACACACACACACACACACACACACACACACACACACACACACACACACACACACACACACACACACACACACACACACACACACACACACACACACACACACACACACACACATTCTCCACACAGTCTGACATTCAGCATACTCTATACAGTAAATGCCACTTGGTTTTGTTGGAACCTCCCGTGGCGCCGCGGCATACTGGAAACCCTGGCCGACTCACCCACAAACAGGACAAGGCAGGGCCCCTCGTGGAGCTGCACGGCGTTGGACTCGCTCAGCTCCAGCACTGGCCGCGGGTGCCAAGGGAAAAGCCGGCATTCCGGGTCGTTCAGCACCTCCACCCGGCCCTGCCGCGTGATCACGTGACCCTCTGCGTCCAGCAGAATCAGCGTGGGAATACCTGGAGGGCCAAAGACGAAAAGGACAGTGACGTGAAGGGAAGACAAACAGAGGAGGGGAGGAAATGGGCGAGAGAGTGGGAGTTAGTTTGGGTCATTTCCGTCAATTATCTCTTGGCGATGCAGACGTTTCCCTCTCCCACTGAGACTTTATTTGCTGTTTGGGTATTTTAGCTTTTCTGGTGACCCTGTCAGATCTGTCCGTTTGACTTCAGATGTGTGTTTTTTTTACAGGAAGGAACATTTAGTTCACGTCGGTTATCCTTTGTGATTAAAACACTTGTTTTACGACCAATCTCATGAGAAACAGACACCGTCAGCCAGAAAACAACACATGAGTCAGTGCGTTTCTGCCTTCACATGTGGATTGAGGTCAGCAGAGACAGGGACGGGGTGGGGGGTGGGGGGATCATGTACTGCATTCCTGACATTCTTCTTAGGACTGACCTACAAGCAGCTCCGGCAAACTTCATCCACGCTCCTCGGAAACACGGGAGGGAAACATTGAAGCGGAGACGTTTGCATTTCCCTTAACTCGATAACTAATCCACATTCCTCAGGCTCCAGGAAAAGTCCTGAGCTGCTCCGCACTGCGAGCTCTCCGCTTTCGTATCAGCATTCTACTTAAGTGATATAACTAAACCCGACAATGATTTAAATACCCGTCTCGGATTAGGGATCTAAAGCATTAAAGGACGGAAATACCTTGGATTCCAAAGAGTCTGTTGAGTCGTGACCTCCGAGCCTCATCTGAGTATGGCACTGCCAACCACGGCATCTCGCTGAAGTACTGCTTAAAGGAGTCCTCTGACCTGGACAGGATGTGAAGCGCTGGTTTAGATCAAAACACTGATAAAAGTGATCTTTCATGTCTCAGTGAATCCCACCTGTCAGCGCTTACAAACACAATCTCAAACTTCTGACCCGATTCCTTGATTGTTCGATAGGACTCCACCAGAACCCGGGTCAAACTGCGGCATGGTGGACACTATTAGAGAAAAACAAAAGAGAAAATAAGCGACTGCGTGACATGTGACCCATGTTTGTCGTCATCAAACACTTTTCCCACAAAGTAACTGTTTTCTCATGCATCTTTAATAAAACCAACACTAATCACTATGCAAAACTGTGGATTAAAAGAAAATGTTTGTTCTCCTGAGTGTGTTTGGAATTCCCAGTGCTTCCAGGCAGTGGGAGTGGCAGTACGGCTGGCATTAGGATGACATCAGAGTGTCATGGCAGCCAGGAGGAAAACAGACCAGATTTAACTCTCTGCCATGTTCTATGTCCTTCTTTACTTAGTTACTAAAATATGGTAAAGTACAACAAGAACTTGGAAAAGTAATTAAAATCTGTTTGTTTTCAAAAAGTAAAGTTTTTAAATTGGTCCTACTGGGACAATTTAAATTTCAATATCAGCAAATGTGTTATGTTTGGTATGCTCATTTCTTCTGCCTCATTATTGTTAAACCCTACAAGTGTAACCCTCCAGTGGATGATAGAAGTACTGCAGGTGTAAATTTTATTTTAATTTGACATAATTCTGTAATAAAATGTGCTAGATGATTAATTGATTAATTAGTAAATATGAACTAAAAATTAGTTGAATTAAAATCACTTTAGGTTTCATACCTTTTAACCCTAAACACTTGGTAAAAGCTATTTTAGCATCACCTGAAATTATCTGAAGAAACAAGCAAAAGCAGCAGGGTTTCCCCCAGAAACGTCTCGCAGCGCTCCTCCGTGAGAGCGGGGGTGGTGGGGGGGTGTTTGCACACGTTCCACTGCGGTTTCTCACCAGTATCAGCTGATTGAGGGCTCTAGTTTCGTTGCGCCGTTCGTGTCAACGGACACGGTAGGGTCGGGGAGGGGGGCGGGGCATGACGCATAGCCTGGTGGGCCGCCAGGCTCATAAAACGCTGGGGGAGACCCTGAGCAGTGTATTGATTTTTTAAATTGAGAATTTACATGCAACATTTTATGTGTTTTTGATGTGGTGTAATTCAAACTCCAGCTGCTAGGTGGCAGCGGTTTTTACTGATGGAACAATTAGATCAGTGAGATTACTGAATGTGTCTTGCCTGATTTTTCTAATTAAATTCAGACTTAAAAGTTGCACACGTCATCTGGTTTTTTGGTATCAAAATATATGCCTCCCCTGTATTGATATATCATCAGATTCTTCCCAATACCTCTAAATAATAGCATTTCTGCAATTACACCAAAGTTATCCCAACAGATATTTTTCATCCACAGTCCTTGAACAGAAAAAATCTAAATCAGCACGATAAAATAATAACGTACTCTTGCATAGCGTAGCATGGCATATTTGAATTGACCCTCAGGACCAGAATTGATGAATCTCTTGTAAACAGATTGTCTGTTGGCATAAATGTAGAATTCACAGCTGCTTTGCACTTTTTCTACAAAAGATGGAGGTTTAATGACAAAATTTTAATTAGATGCAGCCACTACTTAATGTTGTAGCTTGCTAAAAGGACGCGACACGTTCCGTGCTGTGACTGATCCATGAACACAAAGGAGATGATGGTATAAAGCACAGAGCTTTGATCGGTCCACCTCTAATTAAATACTTCACGTCGTGTTTCATACTCACTGCTCTGTCTGTTGCAGTTGTGTTATCAAGCCTTTCAAAGGTAGTTTTCTTTATTTTCCAACTCGTTACTGAAGTGGCTAAAGTCTGATCATAATGAGGCCTTTGAAAACGAATCAACACTCTAGCTGTGAGTAGAAATGAGTTTGGATGGTTTTTCTGCCGCAAACCTTTTCAGCTCCCCAGAAAAAATACATAACGAGGTGCTGTAATCTTCTGTTTTACAAAATCCCTTTAATAGCAGATCAGTCTGGAAGAATAGCTAGGAGGAACATGATTGAAAACCACTGCAAATAAACTCTTTTAAGTGCTTCAATGAGGAGTCCTTTTTCGGATTTTTTTCGGGTTTGAGCCAACTCGTTCAGGCGTCAACACTCCGAACAGTCAGTGTCTAAGGCTCTGGCAGCTGTTCTGCTGCTCACTTGGCCTCGGAGGCCTGTGCTGCATCTCATCAGTAACAGTCGGTTGATGATTTAGTGAATCACCACTGTGCCATGACCTTCATGGGTTATCAGCGGGTCCAGCAAATATGCAGACAGAGCTCAGTGCCACTGGGGTGTGGTGACTGATTTAGGAGCGGTGGAAATAGTTAACTACTGGTGATGTAAACAAACACAATGGAGTCCCCTTCACACTCCTGCTCCTCTATCCTGCTAGATCTGCTACTGTTTAAATAAAAATCCTAGAACTGGGAGGCGAAAAAGGAATTCTCTTTGTCTTCTGTAGGCACTCACCCAGTGTGCTGAGAAATACACTCCCACGTAGTGCCCTTCCAGAGAGCTGGGGTCTGTTGTCTGCCTGTTGTTCCTGAGCAGAGGCCCTGCCACCACCTCTGCGAACGGCTTCGGCCCCCAGGGGAACTCCAGGCCTAAGAGAGGACCAAAAATGTGGGGGTGAAAGGGTGGGGCAATACAAAGGGGGAAACGGTGACTGCTGAGCTAAAAGCTAATCAAGACCAAATATTTAGCCTGCAAACTCAAAATGTCCCTCTTAATATTTTATACAAGTTGCTAAAACACTTTAATAAACTATTACATTTATATTTATCTCAAAGAAATATTCAAATTATCCTACCTGTAGTGTTTCATGCTGAACCAGAGGTGCACCCTCTCCTTATTCTGCTCTTTCTACCTATTCCGCCTTTCCCGGGATCCATCGATTTCCCTCTTTCCTATTCATTATCTCTCTCCCTTTCCTTACATTTGTTTATCACAATTTTTTTTCTCATTTTAAACATTTTCATCATAAAAAACAACTTTTTTATATTTTAAATTTCTTGTTTTTGTGAAGTGCCTCGTGATTTTTATCTTGAGAGGCGCTATATAAAAGATCTCTTTCTTCCTCTCTTTCTTTCTCTCTTTCTTCCTCTCTTTCTTCCTCTCTTCCTCTCTTTCTTCCTCTCTTTCTCTCTCTCTTTCTCTCTCTCTTTCTTTCTCTCTCTCTCTCTCTCTTTCTTTCTTTCTTTCTTTCTTTCTTTCTTTCTTTCTTTCTTTCTTTCTTTCTTTCTTTCTTTCTTTCTTTCTTTCTTTCTTTCTTTCTTTCTTTCTTTCTTTCTTTCTGCAACTAATTAATGCATGTAAATATCCATTGAATAATATGTCGACCACCAGATGATGTTAAATCAATGTTTCTGACCCCTTAGTGAAGTACGTAGTTATTGGCGGTCCTAAAACTAGGGCATAAATTGAAAAATTACGTCATAACCTAGTTTACATAATTGGCCACATGCATGTAATTTGTAATGGATGCAATAGGAGAGGAATAACGCTGTGAGAGAGACCTTACACATGGTTGGAAGAGCTAAATCCAAACTCCCGTACTTTATGTGGGCTGACTGATCTGCCAGCAGTTCCTTATCGTGATTCATCTGCAGTTTGGGATGCTCCAACTGCAGCTCAAAGTACTATGAGGCCTCGGAGTGCTTTGGGATAGGGATACGCCGATATATCACCCAACCCATATACTGGGCCAATATTTACCATTTTTTTTACATTCTGGCATAGGCTGACATACCTCTTTAGTAGGCCTGATTTAATGATAAATGATAATAATAAATGACCTGTTATTGTAAAGCGGCTTTCAAAGTCAGAGGACTCCAAAGTGCTTTATACTACAGTGTATCATTCACACATTCACACCCAATGATTCACACACTGATGGTGATGAGCTATAATGTAGCCACAGCTGCCCTGAGGCTCATTGACAGAGTCAGGCACATCCGCAGGCAGCCCAGTACTGTTGCCAAATTTTATTTAAATGTATATTTACAATCCTTGAACAACACTCTGTAGCCCTCTGTTGGCCAGAAACCACACTTGACAGTTTTGTGGCTCAGATAGGTGCACCAGTGGACGTTTCTAGTACCTGCTTTATGGCAGTAGCCATTTACTCTACTGGTAGATAAAATAAAGGGTAACAGTTAGCTTTGTCACTTAGATAACAGTCAATAAAAAACAGAAGATGAAGAAAAAGAAGAAATTAGCCTTTTTGTTGGCATCATGGCGGAGCATGGGAGGAAAAATAAGATAGTAATGTTTTTGGAGGAGAAGCAAAGAGCTAGAACCAGAGTGAACATCTACACTAGTTTGATGGAGCTAAAGGAGGCTACAAAATCACAGGGTGATGGTGACCTGGCTTTGTTGCTACTGGAATTGTAACTTAAGTAATAATATTCTTGTCCAAACGTTTGGATCTTTTAACTTTTTGGCTTATTTTAGTACCATCTGGCTCAAATTAGCATTAGCTTGTTGTTAGTGCTAGCTACATCAGGCTGCAGCAGGGTTGTTTAGGACAGTTTTAATTCCCCAGTAAGAAGGAGAAGCTGAAAACACTTATTCAGTGTTACTTTATACATTTAGTTTCATATTTAACAATAATTAAGCCCAGTGGCTTAATATCCACGTAGTTAACGGGCTAACACACAAGCACTCCATGACGAAAAATTTAAGCCATGCTCCAAATAACTGGCTCAAAATAAGAAATGTGTCACTATTGGGAATCTTCAGCTGTTCAGATAAATAAAATACCACTAGTGTTCATATTATCCACACTTTACTGAGAAAACCCCACAATGAACAGGGGAAAATAACGATTTATTGAACATTGAACACCAAGCCTTTTGAGCAGATGAGGGCTGCCAGTAACGATTTTCTTTCACACTTTATTTCCTTTTAAAGATGTTTTCATTGTTTCCATCCTGCTCTGGAGCTGCATTTACTACAGCTGAATCTAAAAGGAGGGTAATAATAAATAAATCTTTGAATAGCCAATCATAATGGGCTCTTTATGTGAGCACGGTCGTCTAGTGCTTCATTAGGCAGGAAGGACACGTCTGCACTGCACTGGTGCACCATGCCTTTGTTGTCCTGACTGTAAAAGTGCACTCCATCTTTACGCTGAAAGCTAGTCTGCCGCCACTCAAGTCAGGCCTTTCATTAAGAGTGAAAGGCTCAGCGATCCGAATTGTTCGACCAACCTTCCTAGTTTCAATACGGCAAACTTTCTACTGGCCATGCTCCTCCCAACTGCTGGAGATGGATTAATTTCTCACATTTTTTTTGAACTGCCGTCAAAAACAGGAAAACATGGGAAAAGATATGATCACATTAAATAAAGAATAAATCTATTTTTTAAGTTTATTGCCTCTCCTGCAACATCTACCTGGTAAAATCTGTCACAGCGTTTATGCAAAATCCATCTCGCCTCACCATTTCTCTGCTTTAAGTGCCGTCATTCTCCATTCACACATCACACCTTTTTCTTTCCCAAGCGGACTGAACCTGGCATTGAAACGAGGCATTTAGAAAGTTTTTGATTTTTTTTTTTTGCAGCCACAGAGGATGGCCACTGCAGATGAGTGGAATGTGAGCACACGCTTGTTAATTCTCCCTTGCCACTTCAAAATGCTTAAATTATAGGTTTGGTACATGAGGGCTGAGCAAAGACAGGCTGTAATAATCACAGAGAACAGTGATTAAAGCAGCATCAATGCAAACAAGAGAAGAAAATTGTTTTTGGCCAAACTCAAAAGGCCACAATCTCCACCAACTTAAAAATGATGATGAAAAATAAAAAATCAAGTTGCATTAAAAAAAAAAAACGAAACAATAGAAATCAAGTTTAGATTTTAGACAACGATGTCTATTCAGGATCCAACTGAAGCTTCGGTCTTCTGGAAAATAAAAAATGAGAGGCAGATGAAAATCTCAGATTCATGTGGCTAAAGGCCACAATAATGTTCTCGATCTTGCTGACAGTTTGTTCCACTGTCTGTGGTATCCTGTTAGAATAATCTTCTGTTCCCTTCCAAAAAAGCACCATAAAACCTTATTAGAAAACCAGACACAACAGGCTAGAAAAGATATTTTAAAACATTACATCATCCCAGGGTTAAGTTTACGCAACCAGTGGGAACGTGCAAAGAAAAATTCCTAATTTGCGTCACATTTTCCACAAGGTTTTCCATTGTGGAGTCTTCCACAAGGGTTTCATGGTATCTGACAGGATAATCTGGAATGCATGCTGAATTTGAGACCAGTTGTATACAACAATAAATACATATTTGTTTTATATCTCAGTTACACAATCACAGATCTCTAAAATGTCCCTACTCATAATTTTCAAACACATTTTTTTGCTTTAGACTGCAGTAAACACCTAATTATCATCCAGCTCAGAAATGTGGACTATTATTAACAAATGCACTCACACGTGTGTGCGATGTGTGTGCTTGTTAGCAAATATCCCATGAACATTTGGGAGGATTTTAGGAGAACTTTACAGAAAAAAAATAGGATGTCCTTCTTCAACAGGTTGACTTTTATAGTCAACATAATGTCTAATGAACACAAAAACTCTGTAACGCTGTCCAGATAACCTGACAGTCACCAAGCATGTCCGCTACAGGACCATCCGAGTAATTTTACCAGACCTTTGTCTCCATTGCAAAGAGCTAGCTCAAAAGTACCAATTTTTGGCCCCTTTCAGGAACCATCTGGGTAACTGAACTGAGGTTTCTACTCAGAGGAGACACAACAGAGTCACTGGGCAGTGATTAACTCATGCTGATTGGTTGTAAGTCAGAAGAAATTATTTCAGCATATGTCGCCAAACAACCAGATGTTGTAAAATTGGAAGTTGCAGGTAAAGCAGAATGGAAAAAAAATGGAATCACCTTTTCTAAACTTCCAATTAGGGCCGGGTGTCATGGTCTGCGTTCTGCGTCTCCCTCATGTGTCTCCTTGTGTTTTCCATCCCCCTCTAGGATCCCCTTATGTGTCTCCTTGTGTTCCTCATGTGTCTCCTTGTCTGCATCCCTCCTCATGTGTCTCCTTGTGTTCTCCATCCCCCTCTAGGATCCCCTTATGTGTCTCCTTGTGTTCCTCATGTGTCTCCTTGTCTGCAGCCCCCTCCTGTTCTCCCTCCAGGTGTCCCCTCAGGTCCTGTGCTCCTTGTGGTCCCCAGCCCCTTCCAGGTTTCCCTCATGTTTCCCCCTGGTCACTTTATACTTAGTTATCCCACCCAAGTTTGTCTGGTCTCCCCATAGATCCCCTCTCTTTCGTCCCTGTCTCTTTAGTTCCCCAAGCAGAAGATTTAGTGTTTTTTCTGGTGTCTAGTTTTCAGGTTTATTAATTCTCTTATCTTTAGTTCTCTGTATAGTTATTTTTTCCAGTCAGTCTTTTCCTGTAACAATGTGTTCCTTTCCCATTTAGCTAATTAATCTCTCCTGATCCCTTCAGCTCACACTCTCCACACACCTGCTACCTGTTTCCCTGATTGCTCCCCTCTGTGTATATAACCCTGTCTGTTTCTCTCGGTGTTGTTGGTTCATTGTTTGTGTCGGCGTTGTTTTGTCCCCCCCTCCTTCTAGATTTCTAGGTCTCCAGGTTTTTTGGCTCCGTGCCCCACTAGGTTTTCATTGGCTCTTCCCTACTAGAATTTTTTGGCTTTCGTGCCTCTCTAGGTTTTCTTTTGGACTCACCATCTTAATAAAGATGTTTAATTTTACGTCCTCTCCTGCCTCGTGTCATTCTGGGTATCTGCGCTTTGGGTCCTACTCCTCCAACCCTCAGCGTGTCACTGGGCAATAAATTGAAAATGTATCGCTATCATCGAAATTTCTGACTCTTATCGTGATAATTATTCACAATAAATTTGATAATAAAAAAAAAGAAAAGATGTGCGTAGATTGGCAACATTCATGTCCCTTTAAGAAGCTGTACCACCTTGAGTCATTTAAAAACGTGACAGCCCCATCTAGTGGACAACTTTTGTTTCTGTACATACCTGTAGTTATCGTCCATTTATTGTTATTGAGGAGAAATTCTCGTTATATCGTGATATTGATTTTAGGCCATATTGCCCAGCCCTACTTCCAATGCCCAAAAATGCAGCGGAAATCTCTTCACAATGCCACCATTTATGCCGTACTGTGGTCTCCTACAAAGCACCATAAAAAAACGACGCTACTTGTGGTCATTGAATGCAACTCCCTGTCCACTGAATGGATTAAATTATGGGACACTTTGACATAATAAATTTTTTTATTATCATTAATGTCCGTGGACAGCTTTTGGTGCTGATCAGTGACGCCACTAACCCCCTAATTCCACTACCTCCGCTCCGGTCCGCCCCCGACTTCCGCAGCCGCTCGCTTCCGAACTCAATTTTCACTAGTACCCGCTCTACAACGGCTCCGCTCCGGTGCGGAGACCTGAGGTGGGCAAACAAGCATGCGCGGGATTTTCGAGATCTTGCGATACAGTCCGAGCAATAAACGCGGAAGTTATATCCAAACACCCGCTGTGTGGGAGAAGCATCGAAATGAGCTGTTTAATCTGCCCATCATTTGTGTAGAGAGATCAGCAATGTTTGGATCAACAAAGTGTGACTACTTTGATAGTAGAAACTGTATTTATGGCTTACTTTCATGCATTTAATCTTCAGCCGCCATTGATAGTTGTTAAAAGTTGTTAAACCTGTACATATGAAACAAAAAACGCTTTTTGTTTATCGATTTATTGTGAAATAACGGAAGTTGTGCTCGCTCCTTTTCCTGTTGGGCGGTTGTGATTCCTGTCCATTGACTGCGGAGGTGCTCCGGCGTCCGGCAAAAATAGGATCGATTCTATTTTTGCCGGACGCCGGAACAGAGGGCGGCGCACTGCGCTGCACTGCCGGAGCACGGCCGCAGTAGTGGAATTGCTCTGATTGACTACAACGGGACCGATTTTGCTCCGGAGTTCGTGCCGGAGCGGAGGTAGTGGAATTTGGGGGTCACTCGACTTTACTGACGTCTTAGCAAAGTCCTGAAAGGGACAATTTAGAATGGAAAACAAAACAGCTGAGAAATGCCCAAGCCAATGCATATTCCCTGTCACCTTCTACCCTTCGAGTAACTTCCCAGAACTCCTTATAGTGGATACGCAGCTGTTCACAATCCCAATTAATGTGCGAAAACTATTTTCCCCCTCATATTCATCCTAATTCACCATTAGTTTCTTTTAGCTCTTAAACATTTACGTTTCTCTGCTTTCTTCTCTCCTTTTACCATATGCTGTTCTTACTAAAGTGATTTTTATAAAAAAACCAACAAATAACTTGAACTTGTTCGGAGCATCTTTAACAACATGTCCTACCTGCTTGTGTTTATTGCAACATATTGATTTATTATGTACCTATTACAAGACAATTGTTGAATGTAGGTGGCTTTAAGTGTTTATGTGTCTTGACCTCACCTTTGGGGTCATCTCTGACCACCAGAAGACCATTTCGACACACGATCTTTCCCGTAGCTGCGTCCACAAACACCAGCGAAGGGATGCTGGTCACCTTGTACTTGTTCCACAGCTTCATCTGCAGAAGGACGACGAGAGGAGAGTGTGAGTTAAAAATACTAATAATCAGCTTCTGAAGACGTTTTTTTATTCAAACATTCTGTTCTCAGTGGGTGCACGTGTGCCACAAGTAATACAGTGCAAATAAATGTCACCAGTAGTTTATTGGACAAACACCCTTGCTGTTTAAAGGAGAAGCACGGGGACTGGAGCACAATAAAAGCACGGAAGTGAATTAAGAGAGGATGGGAAACAAACAACTGGACAAGGCTGAACTGGACCAAACTCACACTCTACTCTGACGGGCATCTGCTCATGTTAAATTTATCCTTAGCACTTTCTGTATGACGTTATGATATTAAGCAAGCGTCATGAAGCCAGATGAGACAGAAATATGCGCATGAACTGTTCACAAGAGTTCAACGATAGGAGCGGTTCTCAACTTCAAAGAGCAGACAAACCATTTGTACGACTTGCTTTCCACATCAGAGACAGAAACCTACCTCAGGAATAAAGGCAGCCATTTAAAGAGCTACTATCAGAATCACACAGCTGCTTCAAGTGCAGAAGCAAAAGACGCGTCACATAAAATCCTGAGCTTTGAAACAGAAGAAAGAACATTTTGTCGCCTTAAACTGTGAGCTTCAGCTTTATCTTTTCTGAACAGACCTGCAATCAGAATGTGACACTGTTAGTCCACAGTAACGTCAAAGTAAAGCTGAAGTTTGGTTCTATTGAACTCTGAGCTGATAAAAATCTTTATCGTCCATGTGCAAACCATGACTCCGCTGCACAGATTTAATAAAATAAGAAACACTTGCACATAATATTTTAGGAGCCTCCTTCTTTGCTTCAGAGGTCAAACTCAAGCCTTCTCTCTGACAGCTGAGGGTAGACTGTCTTTGCAATAAACAAGACCTGCAGCCTCCCAACTGTGCTGGTCTGTTAAGTTTCTCAAAAAGCTAGCATTTACCTCTTTCCACATTTATAAACCATGTTTCCTCTGGAAACTCCATCTTGTTCACAAACTGAGGATTAGTCTAATAGCTCATCTGTGCATCCAATCTGATGATGACAGAGAGACAGATTTAATTAAAGAAGTGTGAAAATGAAAAGAAGAGCAAAAAAAGAAAGACCAACAATGATAAGGTGTCAAGAAATGCACAAAAATGTCAATATTTTACAATAAAAACACTCAAAAACTTGTCCAAACTGCAGGAGCACGTTCATCTGAACCACGATGGTGGTTTAAACCCAAACCTAAATGCAAATTAACATTTTTTTCACCATTCAACTGACAATATGATGCAAACAGCCAAAAATAGCCAAAACAAATCTATGCAAGCACTTGACAGAACCATGTTCAAATAGCTGAAGTCAACAGACACTTGTTCGTGCAGAAATGGGGACGGTGGCATCAGGGGACACATGATGGATCTTTGAACTACCTGTGTCGTGGCTTGGCTGACGATCAGAGAAGTCCATGGTGTGAAATCTTTCCAGGGTTTGTCTGACTTCAAAATATATGTGGCGGTAAGAACTGAGAGAGGATGCATGATACTGTTGTTGCACAAAAAATAAAATATAAAATACTGTGATGTTGTCAGGTGATTTTTTGTAAGATAAATCTGCCTTCAAATCAATAATTTAACTGTTTGACTACATCTCAAGGATCATACGCCACACAGCTGTATTTCCCAAGAAAACACATTTAATAGTTTAAGCTGCAGGCTGTCTGCTATAGCGCTGGCAATAAATACAGTATGTGACTGGACAGGTTGTAAGAGGAAAAAAACCTCATAAATCATGCTTTCAAATCTGCCCTCAATCCTTTTTTCATTACAGCACCGACGCTGATGAACAGGAGGTAATGACATTTCTGTCACTATTTGATAATCAGATTTGCTGCTGTATAAAGCACAGGACCAACCAAAAATAATGCATTTTAGAGATTACTACTGTAGAAGTTGCACGTGAGATTTAAGATAACACGTTTACCAGCCAGCTGTTTCTAGAGAAGCAGGGTGTTACGTTTGAGCATCGCAAATTATGCGTACACAACTGTCAAATTCCAGCATCTGCTGCGTAGTCGGAGGCAAAAGATCTCAATGTGTTCTCATCTAATGTTAAGGGTACCTGAATTGCAGCGATTCACTTTTAGGAACAGGCAAGATGCCGAACAAAAGTTTGAAGCTAATAGGAGTTAAGTTAAATGGAAGTTACAATTAAAGGGACTTTACGGAGTTTTGAATTTTTATGCTCGCGATTGCCCCCTCAGGCCAAAAGTGAAACGACAGCTTCAATAGGAGGCTCGTGCACGAGTCGCGCATGCTGTAGTACGTGCACACTCCTTAATGAAAATAACAGCTGAGATAGTCCCTTGTGTGTGTGTGTGGCCCGGAGGACAGGAGAACGCGCAGCTAATTAATTAAATAATTTGGTTCTGTACCTTTCTCTTCAGCACAGCCAACAAAGGTTTAAGATGGGTCAGTCCTCCTGCATGCTCAGATCATTCCCTTCCCTTGCTTGAAAAATTGTTCCAAAATGAAAGTTGAACCCACATCTTTTTTATCTGTGAATTCAATGCCGTTTGGCGAGTCTCAAATAAAAATTTGGGCATCTTACTGTAAAAAAATATACCATTAATGTAAAAAAGAAACTCTAAATCAACCATGTTCACATCCAGAGTCAAACCCGGGTCTTCCGCACGAAAGCCCGAACTCTTACTAGGCGAGCTAAGCGCCAGCGACATTTTCTGTATCTGTAATATTTATATACTTGATGACAGCCGAAACAACGTTCAAAGAACGGTTCGGAGGGCTATGCCTGAGCGTGAACGTGCACGAAGCAGCCTGCTCGACCCGAGCAGCTCTCTTTTTCTGTGACCTTACAGAAAAATAGGCAATCACAGTAAAAATGCCAGGGCTCATTCTACAGGACCAGGGCATTGCAGGAGAATGTATTAAGAAGAAATTTATTATTTCTATACATGTTTTGGCTGTCAAACTTCCATAATGCCCCTTTAAACATTTGCAAAAAACAGACATACCTCAAAGTAATTTCAAAGTTTCAAATGATGTTGGATTAGATGTAAGACTTGTTGAGGACAAACAGTTTTATTTGATGCTTCTGGACATAAAAAATTCCATTTTTGTTGTAGATGGGTCTATTCCACGGCTATTCGAGTTCGGGACTCGAGGGCCGGTGTCCAGCACGTTTTAGTGGTTTTTCTGGTCCAACCCACTAGATTTAGTGGTTAGTCACCTGTGCAGCAGCTCATCAGGCTCTGCAGAAGCCTGTTAATCACCTGCTGATTGAAATCAGGTGTGTTGAAGCACGGTTAAAACTAAAACATGCTGGATACCAGCCCTCGAGGGCCGGAACTGAATAACCCTGGTCTATTCTGTCAATTATTTGAAGCTTAGAATGACGAGTTGGACATAATTTTGAACTTCCGAGTGGTTTGACAAAGTGTTATAGGTATGATTGTATCATGTTGCAAAAAAAATAAATAAATAAAAAAGAAACCCAGAGTTGACCCAAAAAAAAAAAGCTATTTAATTTCTGCGATACATAAAAAACACTAACAGGGTTAATTGTCAACAACACTGAAAAAATGTTAAAAAATCCTATAATTCTTTTTATATCGCAATATATATTACAGGGTTATAAAAAATATCATGCAGCCCTACGAAATACTGAACGTCACATATGTTACTACTAATTAACTCTTGATTACGTTTTGATAAATATTATCTAATTTTTATAACTTCATAACAATGTTTTCACACTCTTCTGAAAAACCGTTCAACAAAGCAAAGTGAATGTTTCCATTTCATTTTATTAAAGGAGAGTTTGAATGAGACCATATTCAGCTAATTAGCCAATAAACAAACGAACGCTTGCAACAGTCTTGGACAGATATTTTACTGTGTAGAAGATGTCAACCCCAGGCCAATTGAAGAGGAGCCAATTACATCAACTGCTGGGAAATTTACTGCCTCATAATTGCAAGTTGCCACATCGCTTCTCTTAAGGGTCGCTATTCATTATCAATATCACCAGAGTGTGTCACGACAGAGCCCAGCCAGGGCGTCTGAGTATCATTACACACTGGTTTAACTATGCCAATAACCCTTGTAGGGAGGTCACCAACTGTTAAGACTCCAGGGAGCTCGAAATCCATACTAAGAATCCATTTACTCTCCAAGACACTCAAGCATAAGCCTCACACTAAACCCGCAGCTCATCATACTAATTGGATCACGCATGGCTGCAGCTCCATATCCGTCGCTCACAGTGGGACCAGTTTGTGTGGAGATACCAGGGCTGAAAATCTTTTCTGATCAAAGAAAGAAGCAGATTTTTTTTATAGATGCCACTCAGTGGATCACTGTCTGACCACTGGAGTGTGAATGAGAAATGGGGAATAAAAAAGGAGGGAATCTGATCCTTAATTCCAGGGTATCCATATTTCAATGTTAAATGTCATGCATGGATATTGCCTTCATGCATTCGTGCACTGCTGGTTTTAATGGCTATGTTCTGCTCTTTAAGGTGGGAGAACCCTCAATCTGCACACACCACATGCTTTCAGCTTTGCCTGAGCACTTCTTAAAACTTGGCCTTCCCTCAGTAACCAGTGGGTGAAATAATAATAATAATAATAATAATGCATTTAATTTATAAGCGCCTTTCAAAACCCAAGGTCACCTCACAAAACATGATAAAACTTACACACAAATAAGAATAAGATAATTTAAACAATAAAATTACTAAAAGTATGCTATAAATGTCAGAGTAAAGAGTTTCTGGGCTAGAGAGTGTAAGCCAGGTTGAACAGGTGAGTTTTGAGTTTGGATTTGAATGAGAGGAGGGAGTCAGTGTTACGGATGTCAGGAGGAAGTGAGTTCCAGAGCCGAGGAGCAGAGCGACTGAAAGCTCTGTTTCCAACGGTGGTGAGATGAGTGGGAGGAACCACAAGGTGAATGGCAGAGGAAGACCTGAGTGAGCAAGATG